TACTGTGAAAGACCAGGGTCTGGTGAAATTAGATATGGAGTGCAACTTTCTCAGGGGAAAGAGAGAGCTGGTCTTGTTTTTTGGCAGTGACTGGCGTTTGAACTCAGAGCCTTGCTCTTGCTGACAGGCACTCTACCACTTGAACCATACCCCCAGCCCTTTTTTAGTTATTTTTCAAATAGGGTCTCACTTTAATGGCCAGGCTGGCATGGACTACAATCTTCCTGTTTACACTTCCTGCCATAACTGGGATGGCATGCACATACCACCAATCCTAGCTTTTTTGGTTGAGATGGGGTCTTGCTGACTTTTTGCCTAGGCTGACCTGGACTAGGGATCTTCCTGATCTCTACCTCTCAGAGCTAGGATTACAGACATGAGAGATCTAGTCTTTATGATCGATTTCGGATTTATAAACTTAGCTCAGTGTGAAGAGATCCTTGTGTCAGAGGGCTTTGCTGTGCACTACAGTGGGGGCATCCAGGTCTTCTGGCCCCCAGCTTGTCCCCTCTGTGTGGTCACCCTGCTCTCCATTCTAGCAGAGGCCAGGGTAAAGTATAAGCCCTTCTTCTGTCCTCTCTCCTCCCTTTCTTCCTATCCTCTTCCAGCAAGGCCTCAGTGGGGTGGCCCAGATCCCCTCTGCCATGGACAAGCCTGGCCCCTGGGGCATGGAAGGCCAGCTCTGGCACCAGGCTCTAGAAGCCCTTAGGGTCATCAGGGCCATTCCCCTCCAATGACAAATTTCACAGGGTACCTCCCCTGGAAAGGTGGTCAGGGACCCACATCTTATGAGGAAAAGAGACAGTTGCCTCAAGGTGGTCAGGGCCAGGCCAAAGCCTGGTTCTCAAGCAGAGTCTATGGGGGCTTACAACCAGGGCTACTCTGGGCTGGGCATGGGATAGACGAGAGTCGCTCTGCACAGGGTATGAAAAGCCTGCACACACCTCAGTGGATGTGAGGAATGCAGTCGCACTGGCCTCCACATCTCTGCGGTGACCCCTGCCTTGCCCTGTCTGAATTCTTTGCTCTGAGATGAATCTGTAGGCAGAGAACTCATCTTCCATGGCCTGCAGCTCAGTGTCTTCCTTGGGTTCCTGTCTGCATACTCAGCAGCCCCTCCCCAGCCTGAAGTGAGGGTGCAGAGGCCCCATCAGCCCTGAAAAGTTAGGGTTTCCTTCCGAGGCAGTCCTTCCCAAGGAGCGCCAGGGCATGGGTATGGGGGGAAATCCTGGGAGCTGGGAGGCCAGGAACCAAGTTCTGCTGTGGCAGGAACTGTGCCCTTGAGTGACAAAGCACCTCTGAGGTACCTCACAGTAGCAGGTCTCAGATTGGCTGCACCCTTTGCCCTTTCTGCCTGTTCTCCAGAGCTGAGCTCCCCATCCTGTACCGGAAGCCTCCTCTACCCTCTGACTTTCAGGGCACTGGCCACTCAGACAAGCTGACAGGGGTCTGGGCAGTGTCAGGAGCTGCCCTACTTCTCTGAAGGCCATAGTGTCTGGGGGTTAGCCCCTCCTTCAATTACAGTCCCCCCACCCCCCGTCCTGGTGATCACTCTGTTCCTGCCCCTTTGAGTCCAAGGCTGATGACAGCTGTACTTTGCCGCCCCTCTTTGGCTTCCTTTATGTCCACAGCTCTGTAAGTAGTCCCCAGGTTAAATTCTTCCAGTTACATCTTTTCTGGTACCTGCCATCAACTTCCTGCCAGGAGCTAGACCGATCCAGCACTTAAAAATATTTCCTTAAGTTGAGCGTGTGGGTGCACACCTTAATCCCAGCTACTGTTACACTGTCTCAGCTCTGTCACTCTAAAATCAGAAATCACTTTAGAGACCAGCTCCAGCCCTATAGAATCCTATTGTAATTTTCTAAATAGCTCCAGACACGGGAGCCTCCGTAGCTGCTTCTGCTAAATTCTACACAACGGCCAGAAGATGGCAGCACGCCACCATGTGCACCTCACCAACCCACCTAAGGCCAACCACCAACAGAGGATTCAGCATCCAAGTTTCACATTCCTACACCTGCAGGTTCTTTAGGAACCAGACAGCCCACAGATCACTGTTTCAGCTGTGTATATCAGCTGGATAATCCAAATTCTGATGAAGAGAGCCCCAGCCTTACAGTCAAGGAAGAAATTCCCTTTCAAGAGTGGGCACAATGATTCATGCCTGTAATCTTAGCTACTTGGGAGGTGGAGATGGAGAGAATCTCAGTTCAAGGCCAGCCCAGAAAAAAGTTGCCAGACCCCTATTACAAGCAATGGAAAAACAGCTGGGCAAAGATGAGTACCAGTGGCTCACGCCTGTAATCCTAGCTTCTTGGGAGGCTAAGATTGTAAGGATGTGCTTCAAGGCCAGCCTGGGCAAATAGTTCACGAGATCCCATCTCTGAAATAACCAGAGAAAAATGGTTATGTCCTGCTTTGCAAGACAGAGCACCTGCTATGCAAATGTGAACCCATGAGTTCAAAACCCAAGCACTGCCAGAAAAAAAAAAAAGCTGGTTATAGCGTTGTGCACCTGTCACTTCAGCTACACCAGAGCATAAATAGGAAGATCATGGACCAGGCCAGCCTGGGTATACACTTGAGACCCTATTTCTAAAGCAAAAAACGCTGGGGGTGCGGTTCAAGTGGAGCAGAGCACCTGCTTAAGTGTGAAGCCCTGAGTTCAAATCCCATTACCACTACCACCAGCACCAACAACAAAAATTCCCTTTCAAACATCCTATCCTAGTTTTCAATTTTTGGCAAACTTGGAATTGGATACATCATCATCCTTAATTAAAACTTTTTAATTAGAACAGTTTTAAAAGCGATCCATGAACCATCATGTCAGCTGACCTAGGCAGTTTGGGGTGTTTGTTTTCTAATGCATTACCTTACAGGAGCCTGGTGGGTGGCACACAATAGATACTGACCCACTTTGTGGCTGCTAGCAGAGACAAGACCACCTGTTGGCATTGGCCTGTAGGAGCCAGGGTCCTTCTGCCATTCCCAAGGTTCCAGTGCTTTCCAAGCTGATTCCCACATTTATCAGCACACACTTGACTGCATGAGTCTTTCAAAACAATTAAAATGCAGAACACCTGAATCTTCTAACCATTTGGACAAACACTCCAATATATAAATTAGTGAGAACTATTTTAATAAAGCAAGTTCCTCCATTAAACTGAAGAAGCCTGGCTGATGAGAAACAAAGTCCTTGGTATTGCTAATGGGTTTGTAGAAATCAATAGAGGGCATGCCTTTGCAGTCCTGGTAAGAAAAGATTGTTCAAACTGAATTACAAACATTCTACTTTGACATTCTAGATCCAAGTGAGCAATTACAAAATCCTATTGGTGCTAGGATCACCATTCTTGGCCAGGGGTGCGTGAAACTTTCTACTGTGGGGGGGGGGGGGAGGGGGGGGGGGGGGGGGGGGGGGGAGGGGGGGGGAGGGGGGGGGGGGGGGGGGAGTGGGGGGGGGGAGAGGGGGGAGGGAGGGGGGGAGGGGGGGGAGGGGGTAACGGGGGGGGGGGGGGGGGGGGGGGGGAGGGGGGGAGGGGAGGGGGGATAGGGGGGGGGGGGGGGGGGGGGGGGGATGAGGGAGGGGGGGGGGGGATGAGGGGGGAAGGGGGGGGAGGGGGTGGGGGGGGAGGGGAGGGGGGGGGGATAGATATTTGCTTTTGCATGCATTTATTACAAGTGTTCCTTAAGAGTGAGACGTGAGTGGCTCAGAGCATGTTTAGTGGTCACCCCTCCCAAGTGCACGTGCCCAGGCGTGTAGGCACTTGGCCTTCCTTTCCCAGAAGCCCTCACCTCGTTACAGGCTTCCTAAAACCTGCAGAGGCACAGCTCTGGCATGGTCCTTGGGATACTGATCAAGGCTGCCTCCCTCTCTGTACCTGCTTGAAGTCCAACTCAAACTGCATGCCCCACCAGCCCTTCCCCCTGAGACAGTCAACTCCATGGTTTGACAAAGTAGCCGCTGGGGGAACTTTAGAAGCATTTCAAGTGACTATAAAAACCTGGCTAGGGAACCTATTGGAAGAACTAAAGTTCACATGCTCCCAGACGGCACTGACTGCTGAAGAGACCTATCTGACTGTGGATCCTCATATCAGGCAGAAATGAGGAAGAAGGGGCAGTAGAGCTGATGCAGAGAACAGTAGCTGTGTCTGCCCCTGGTATGAACAAGACCAATGTAGCTTCTGCTATCTTAGAGACAAAGACTTTGCAGATGGCTTTTAGAGCCCAGAACAGGCAGGAAAGAGGATTCTCCCTGGAATTGTATTAGCCTCTGTCTCTTTAAACCCTCAAGATCTCAAAGGAAGGCTGGGCCTCTGGGTAGAGGGCAAGGGAGGCTGTGGGCCACTGAGTTATGAAAAGTAAGCCAAGACACAAGAAGGCAAACGTTCTGAGGGCTTTGGCACTCACCTGTTCAGTGAGGGACTGGCCTGCTGAGGCTGAGGGTAGTCAGCAAGGAAGCATCAATGCCCAGCCTTAATGAACTAGGTTGCAATGCAAGACCCCGCTAAGACAATCTCAAAGTTCATCTCCAGCTACAAATCAGGAAAAACCTCACAAGAGGACTTTCATGTGGGTAGGTAGTTGACTTGAGCCCCTGCCCTTAGATGCCTTGACTTGGAAGGCAACATAGAAACCAGAGGTCCGGAAACATGGCCTTTGAGACTCAAACTGCCTGGAGTCACCTATGTGAAGTCTAAGAAGTCACCACGCTTCCCCAATTCCTTTCAAAATAAGTGGAACACAAGTGGAGAAGTTAGAACACAATGTGCAGTCAAGCCCTGTGAGGTTGGTGGTAGTCTCCAGCTCAGGTTGCAGGCCTACCTCAACCCTGCATGCTTTGACCCTGTCAGGCACTGTCCAGAAGCCAAGGACAGCCAGCTAGCCCTGAAGTCTAGGGCCACAAGACCTCTCCCTGGGGTGTGTGCCAGGAACAGCTGCTACCCTCATCCTAGGTGGGGGACTTGGTAAGCCTATGCATCAGACTCCACGCAGTGTGTTATCCTTTAATGAAGAGCTGGGTCAGTGGGCAACCCCTCTCCCCAAGGCACCCCCTGCAGCAGATGCCCCTCAGTAAGTGGCAGCAGCCTAGGAGGACGCAGGGTGGCTCTGAGGCACCAGCCCTGCTGAGCGTCAGTTTGCAGAGGCCTAGGAAAGGCATTTATCTCTTGGATCTTGGATGTGGCAGCAGCAACAAAGGAAGCTAAACCGAGGTCAAAGAAGATGAAGGACAGGAAGTGGGAGGGCCCTCCTCCTTCCTCTGTGATTCCTGATGGGACCAAGGCCAGTGCTCGGGAACAGTACAGCATCCCCAGGGGCCTGGAGGCCCTTCAGCCACTCTCTGGAAGTTATTAGTCCCCAATTTTCTGCAGGCTGGTGTTACACAGGAAGTAGCTCACATGGTCACTGGGCTCAGAGCAGGCTGGGCACCTCCCCACAAGCCTCAAGGCACCAGGCCTGCAAGATAGGCCAGAGCCACTAGGAGACTTGGAGCCACCTTCTACTAACTGCTTGTCAGTCACTACAGGTATCTAAGAAGGTGGTCTCTCCCTTGAGGTTCCAGGGCCACCCAGGAGAGGCTGAGGCAACAACAGGCTAGGGCTCCTGGGTCCCTATAGATCTGTGACCTTGTTTTCCACAGCAGCTGCAATCTGCTGGAGCCGATAGCCCAGTTGCATCTTCTGAGCTGTGCCATCCTCCTCCAGGGCAGTGATGATCTGAAATGGACACAAGCACCATCAGGGAAGACTTCTAGTCACATACTCACTGAAGACTTAAAACAGGCCTCCTAAGATGCCACAAAACAATTGGGGGTAGGAGCACAAGAAATCTAGTGAATCAACTCACTTACCTATGGTGTGACCCCAGGGCCTCGAAAGTCACCATGGTTTTTCATTTGTTTGTTGCAAGACAGGGTCTCACTATGTAGCCCAGTCTGGCCCTAACTCACAATCCTCCTGCCTCAGCCACCCAAGTGCTAGCATTACTGGTGTGTGCGCCCATGTCTGGCTGCCACGAAGTGCTAAGCATTGGTGAGGTAGGGAATGACATACTTTACTCAGTACTTAGCACTCATGGCAATGAACACCCTCCTCCCCAGGTAAACTTGTACCGAGTGAGGCAGTACCACACACACCTGGCCTTCTTACCATGAGCCCCCTGGAAGTCCTGCTGCAGCCATCCTGCATTTCCTGAGTCTATGTGGCAGATGCCAGACAGGGAGCAGGGACCCAACAAGAACCAGATGGACATGGTATGGGAGACAGGTATTAAGCCAGCAAGAAAACTACAGAACCACAAATGGGAAGTGGGAGGACAGCAGCACTGGGGAGGAGATATCTCCCACCCTGTCTCCACAAGGGGTACAATGCATCACACCCCTGCCAGTCCTGTGCTGAGGCCCACACCATGCCATGCAAGGCTGCAGAGCTTAGACTCCACACTCATGGACCCACTTAGTAAGTAACTGCTGTTCCACCAGGCTGTAGTGGGACTTTCCTCAGCTCTGAACAGCACCAGCCATATACACAAACATGTGAGGGTATGACTCTATTGGGCACTCGTAGGCTGACTTATGGGTGCTTGGATTGTCAGGCTCATCCCAGGGATCTCCCAGAAGCCCCTCACTGGCTATGTTGTACCCTCATCCTGTTCCTTTCTCTTGGTTCGTGCAGACTAGCCAGGTTTGTACCCACAGAGGTGCCCGTGCCCAACACGCTGCCAGCCTTAAAACCTGGCAGGGACTGAGTGAAGGCAGAGTCAGTGCAGAAGTGGCAGTACATCCCACACACCATCTCCAAGCTGGTAGATGTTCCAGGCACCCCTAACCACTACCACTATGTCTGGGAACCCAGCTGAGGAGCTTGAATGGGAAGTGGTAGGGACAGGGAAGAGCAGAGCCAACACCAGGAAGCATGCCCACAGGACAGGTACCCAAAGAGAAGGGGCCCTTCCCTACTCTGTACCTGGGGAAGCTCTCTACTCCCCCGCACCCCCCTAAAAAACACACCCTGAGTCACCAAGCTAGACCCCCTCACATTCATTCCCTCAGCTTCCTAGTCAGGGCCCAGGGTCTACTACCCACCTGGTCATAGTATTTGTTGATATACTTGTAGAGTTCATGCAGGGCCACTCGCGCCCCAAGGTCACCAGAGTAATTCTAGGAAGGAAGGCAGTTAAGAGATGAGGAGTGTGGCTAGCCATGGGAGGAAGCTTAGGACCCCAGGGAAGGGTGAGAAGAGAGAAGGGGGCCTGAAAGGAAGGGACAGACCCGGTGGTAGGAAGCAGAGACCCTTCACAGACCAGGTACCCTGGGCAAGGCATGCCTAGCTGGGGACAGAGTAGGGACAGTGGCCTCCTTGGGAGGAAGAGACCTCAGGTCTGCAGTTTTAGCAGGGCCTGGGGTCTCCACTGGGATCCTGCCTCTCTTGCCTTGTCAAAGTTGTAGCTCAAACCCCTCACCATCTCAGGTGATAGCAGAGTCAAGTGAGACAGATTCCACTTGCTGGCTGGGGGCCCAGAGTAATTCTGCTCTGATCTCACTCAAGTATTTCCTGAGGTCACTCTCAAGCCCCTCATGGGGACATCTCTGAGCTTCAACCTCCTTGTCTGGAAATGGAGTTGATATCTTATGGGGACCAAATGAGATATAGTACCATGTGAAAGACTTGACACACAGCTGTACCCTAAAATTACAGTTGTTAGTACTATAGTTGTGGTTGTCATCACTACGGTCCTTTCAGAAATGCTGCTCTCAAATTCCTGGTGTTCACACTTGGGATCTGTTTTAGCAGTAGATAGGCCATGCCTACATCACCAAAACAGAACAGTGGGAAGCCACAGCCAGGCAGAGCCTGAATGGCCGGCCTGGAGCTGAATCGCTGCTCCACAGACAACAGGAGCTGTAGGCACCCAAGCACCTGGCTGAGTCAGATTAGGTAGTAGCTGCTGGGTCAAGGCCCCTGCTCACTGTGATAAGGTGTTGGGAGCCCTGGCCTTTTATAGGAGCAGTTGTAGAAGTCCCAAGGGCTTCCCTGCAAAGGAGCAATGCGAAGGGAGCAAGACTGTCATGGCAGGAGGACTGTGCCCAACTGGAAAAAAAAATAATTAAAAAAAAAAAAAGCAGGAGAGCTTACGCGGGACAGCTCAGCCAGGACAGAGTTCATCTCTTGGTCACTGGCGGGGATGGTCTGTCTGATGTCTGCATAGTACCTGTCAGAAAACCCAGCATGGCAGTTGCTTGGTAAACAAACCCACTCCCCCCAACTCAGAGCCCACCCAGAGTCTCAGCTGCATGCATGTCCCAACCATCACTCACCTCCCCTCCAGACCCACGCCATTCCCCAGTACCTCTCCACCATCTGCTTGTAACGGGGAATATCCCGAGCATACAGGAGCTTGTTGATGGGGGAGTCCTGGGTACCAGCAGGATGGCAGTGGAGGAGGAAAGAAGAATGAGAGCCCAGGTTAGGGTCATCAGCTCTCTGGGCTTCCTAGCACTGCTGCAGTGCTAAAAAGTCCCACATCCCAGGAACCCCTCAGTCCCTGGCACACCAGGATGGTTGGTCAGCCTAGCTTACTTCCTTCTGTAGGAACCTCCTTCACTCCCTCCCTTCCATCATGTGCAGACTCTGAGGGCCTGGGTTCTTCCCTGGCATTCTGAGCTCATGCCTACCCTGGAGTTGGCATGCAGAGTGGATTCACAGTGTTCATTCCCTGAATCATCATTTTAAAAATCAGCAAACTAACCCAGAAAATCACATAAATCGCCTGAGCCTACCTCACCCTGTGTGCCTGGGTTGGGTTTTTTTTTTCTTTCTTTCTTTTTTTTTTGGTGGTACTGGGGTTTGAACTCAGGGCTTCATGCTTGCTAGGCAGACGCTCTACCACTTGAGTCACTCTGCCAGACTGGGCTGGAATTTAGAGGTCTCTCAAATCAGAGCCACAAATTTAATAGACAGCTTCTACTGCTGAACTGGGCTTAAGTGCCAATGGCTGTGGGCTTGGGCTCTGGACAGCAGACTTCCTGCTCTAAGACCTCCACCTCATGCAAAAGCTGCTGGGAAGAGTAGCGAGATCTTGAGGTGACACAGTGACACTGCCCCCACTAGAACAAGGGCGCAAGTCCAGGTCACCCCCCACCCCCCAGCCAGAGTCAGAATGTATGCTTTCTCCCATAGGAGACCCTGGGCATGCCTGGTTTGGACTAATGCTGAGTTACCCAGGGACCATTTGCTGTTCTGTGGGAAGGAGAGACAGTGAAAGATCTGGCAAAAAAAAAAAAAAAAACCCAGCCACACACAGCAACCACCCCTGAAGGTAGCCCCACAGATTCTGCTGTGGGCCTGTGATTTTTAACTCATTATAAGCAGAACACTGAAAGCATGTGGAACACAAATGGCTCCCAAAAGGTAATGGTGCAGAGTGGAACTTTCCATTTTTTTCTTCAACAGGTCTAGAGTGTGTCTCTTAAGAGATCACAGACCAACTGTGGCCCAGGGGTCTGAGGCAGAGCCTCATTCACAAACCTGCAGAGTCACAAGAGCCCTGCCTACTGGGTGCTTGAGCAGACACCCTGGGGATCCCACATGTCATGGGACCCTGGGCTTTGACTACCATGACGACAAACTCCCAGCTAGTGCTACCAGATGGCTCAGACTACTTCTCTGCTTCCCAGCCTTTCCTCAGCACACCCCTCAACCCAGGTTCTCCCCTGCACTCTTCCTCCTACTCCGCTGGCAGACAAGACACCTCTATCATTCCAAGGAACCAAATCTGCCAGGCAGCCCAGGGTTGCTCTGAGATTTAAGAATCTGTCTCCTTACAGGTTACTCCAGAGGCACCTGCACACCCATGTTTATTGCGGCACTATTCACAATAGCCAAGTTATGGAAACAGCCAAGATGCCCCACTACCGATGAATGGATTAAGAAAATGTGGTATCTATACACAATGGAATTTTATGCAGCCATGAAGAAGAACATTCATTCGCTGGTAAATGGATGGAATTGGAGAACATCATTCTGAGTGAGGTTAGCCTGGCCCAAAAGACCAAAAATCGTATGTTCTCCCTCATATGTGGACATTAGATCAAGGGCAAACACAACAAGGGGATTGGACTTTGAGCACATGACAAAAGCGAGAGCACACAAGGGAGGGGTGAGGATAGGTAAGACACCTAAAAAATTAGCAAGCATTTGTTGCCCTTAACACAGAGAAACTAAAGCAGATACCTTAAAGCAACTGAGGCCAATAGGAAAAGGGACCAGGAACTAGAGAAAAGGTTAGATCAAAAAGAATTAACCTAGAAGGTAACACACATGCACAGGAAATCAATGCAAGTCAACTCCCTATATAGCTATCCTAATCTCAACTAGCAAAAACCCTTGTCCCTTCCTATTATTGCTTATACTCTCTCTACAACAAAATTAGAAATAAGGGCAAAATAGTTTCTGCTGGATATTGGGGGGGTGGGGGGGAGAGGGAGGGGGCGGAGTGGGTGGTAAGGGAGGGGGTGGGGACAGGGGGGAGAAATGACCCAAGCCTTGTATGCACATATGAATAATAAAAGAAAAAAAAAAAAAGAATCTGTCTCCTTCAGAAACCACCCGGTGGCCCACATACAACTCAGGCACAGTTCCAAGCCTGAGCTCACTGCAGACAGAAGCCCAGGTATCACCCGAATCCCTCCTTCTGCATTCTTCACATCAAGTGTATAGTTCAGTCTGCCCTGTGACCTCTCACTGGCTTGAACTTAGCCAATGCTTGTCAACAGGACAACGTAGCTCCCTCTGGACTCCCAAGCTCCAGTCCACCCACACACAGCTGCCAAGATGTTCTGCTGAATTCTCAGTCAGGTCTGACCACACCACTCCCGTTCCCAGGCTTTCTGTGGCTTCCCATTGCCCTCTGGGTGAGCCCTCACAAAGTGGTCCTGGCCTGCTGCCACAGCCTCCCAGCGCTTTCCACCCAGTCACACCAGGCTAAACCTGCTGCTCACATCTTAACCAGGTGAACTGGCACACGGTGCCTCCTACTCTTGCTCTTCCCTTACTATTGACACTGGGAGCCCTTGGGACAAAGCCTGGCCTGGGGTTCCCATAGGTCAGAGGCTTTCCCTAACCCTCCTCCTTGAAAGTCTTAGGACAGCCTGGATGCTGTGGGCACACATGGCACTGTCTACCCCAAACCCAGGCCACCCAACTCCACATCTCCTCCTGTCATGCCCAGTCCAGTCCACTCACCCGGCCCAGCTTGTGGTCGGCCAGGGTGCAGGCATCCATGAAGGTCTGTGCAATGACAAGAAGCACTGCGTCCATGTTATCAGATGTCTGCACGTCAAACACGAACTGTGGGTTTTTTATGATATTGATCCAGAACCTCAGTGGCAAGCTGTGGCGGGGGGCAAACATGGCCAGTGAGCATACTGGGGAGCCAGGAGGAAAGTCCCCCATGCATGCCCTGAGCCCCAGCCCTACCCACCTGTTGGTCTTCCAGATGTGGATGGTGTCCTGGTCAGCAATGCCGTGCTGCTGGGCCTGCTCGTCTAGCAGGTCAAAGAAGTACTTCACAGCAAGAGGCACAGGGCGGCTGGTGCTGAGAATCACCTGGAACAGGTCATCTACGAATTTCTGCAGGGTGCCCTGCAGAAAGAGGGGGAACCAAAAGATACAGTCAGCCAGGGGACTTCAGCACCAGCACAGCCTCAGATACCTCATGGCACACTTGCCTGTACAAGCCCCACACCACCCCCAAATCCGAGTAGCCATTCTACCCCACAGCCCAGACTCCACTGCCCATCCTGCCCCTGCCCAGGCCCTGGCCGGTTTTCCCTTCCCCACCTTCATGGACAGCAGGCGAGTCAGGTAGATCTCGGGAATGGCCTTGGCTCGCTCACGCTCCCCACCCCGAAGGCTGCCCCTCCGAGGCCTGGGTGGCTCTGGTTCCTCACTCGGCTTCACCAGGTGCCAGGGCCTGATGCCCCCCTCATCTACATCTTCCAACATTGGGGTCCCTGTGCCAATACCAGAGAGCTCATCACCCCATACCAAGGCCACCTCCTCTGGGCCCCCTGGGTCCTGCCAACTCTCTCAGGAGCGGAAGAACCTGCCTCAACCTGCCCTGAGTCCAAAGGACCTTTCCCCGTTACCCAGAACTGGGCAAATCCTGTCAGAGAACCATGATGGGGGTGAGTACTCACGTTCTCCAGGGACATAATCCTGGTTTTCCCTAAGAACATGCTTGGTGAGGCAGGGGACGAGGGCCACAGTTGCTCCATCTGGGACCTGCTGACCACAACTGGTGACCTACCAGCCCCACCCTACCCTACCCCTCCTCCAGTTCCCACTCCTCCCACCTTGTAATGTTGCAGAGTATTCAGGCGTCTCCATAGACCCTGGACCTCAGAAGTGACATCCTCATCAGAAAGGATGAGGTGACCAGCCACCCCAGACCGCCATTCTGCAAAGAAAAGGTAGGATTAGATCCAGGGATTCCAAGATTCCCTTCCCTCAGTGGAGCCCCTCTTGTCCTCAATAAGGACCTGCACCTCTACAAGCAAAGAACCCTACCCAGCCTCTCCAAAGACCAGGATCAGGGCCCTCTCCAGGTGAGAAATGTCCTAGAGCCAGCCTCTGGGCCAAATTCCACATCCCACCTGCCCTGGGTGATAAGCTATCCCTGTAGGGCCAGTCTTGGGCCTGCCCAGGCCCAACACCATCTCAGCTCCTAGGCTACTGCCTCACCAACATCTAGAGTACGAGGGTCTGGTCGCTGGGCAAGAGGCACTCCTTTATGAAGCTGGTCCAGCATCTTCTCCTTGGCCTGGGAGATGGTGTCACAGTCTAGGACCTTCACTGGCACACTTTGGGCCTCTCCTGACCCAGGCCCCACAGCCAAAAGTGCATTCAAGGTCTGTGCAGGACACAGGGAGCTGTCAGGATTCATGCCTCATTCTGGATGACCAAGACACATGGCTAAGGAAGGAACAACCCAGAAGAAAGCCACATATCTAATTCTTATCTCTTTACCTGCCTGAATCTCCCTGTCCTCCAAGGGCAGGAGGCAGCTTCCCTTCAGTGACCCCAGCACCTAGCACAGTGCACTTGCAAATGTTTATGGGATGAACATCTAAGTGAGCATAAACCCCTCTTCGGATTCCCAGGTACCTGGCTGATCTGGTCAGCCTAAAGTGTCTGAGAGAAGCCTACAGGAGCAAGGATTCCCCATTGAACCTGACAGATGAGAAGGTTTAGCAGAGTTGCATGGGACTGCCCCAGAGAACCCTCATGTGTAACCAAGAAAAAACCCAGAGGGAAGCAACAGGGAGGTCTGCCTGCATGACTCCTGGCTTGGTGGGCAAGGATGCATCCATGACAGGATGGTCAGAAGGACGCTCAGGCTCTGGCACAGAACAGGCCTGTGGTGAAGGCAGAGCTGGCTCCTCCCAGACCCCAGTTGTGACCATTGTTCATTCTAAGCCTCGTGACCCTCTGAGAACCCCACCTTCTGGACCTCAGCCTTCAATCCTACTAAACTAGTCTAAAGATCTCTCAGTGGTAGAGCACTTTCCCAGCACACAAAAGGACAAGCTCCATCCCCAACACCATAATCGATCAATCAGTCAATGCCTTTTTTCAACAGGTAGCCAGAAGTCACAGTTGGGTTCTACATCTAGGCATAGATGCCAGAAGCTGATGCCCCAACTGGGGACTGATACTGCAAATCACACACAGGCACACCCTCACCAGCAGACGGTACTCCACATCCTCTCTGAGCAGGCGGTTGTCATTCAGGGTGTATTTGGCTTTGCCAGTAACGCTGTCCACAGGCCCCTTGTCCACTTGATGCTTAATTCCTCGGAAGAGCATGTACAGAGGCTCCCCCACTGAGTCCTGTGAGGGTGCAGACAGTTAGGACACCCTGGCAGGTGGCAGAGGTACATGGGACATCATGCACACTGGGGAAGTGGACAGGATGTGGGCTGTAGGTAGCTGAGGACATGCTGGGGGAGGGGTGTGTCTCTGTTCTAGTATAGTGTGCAAGCTGTGTGGAGACCAGAGGCTTAGTGGTTTAAAGGGCCCAACCCTCCCTGGAAGGAGTTCCATTGGCCTCCGCCTCCCTCACCCTCACAAAGGTATACAAGCAGATGGACATCCAGTTGGTGAGCAGCTTCTCTACCACAGTCTCTGTCCTGGGATGACAGGAAAGGGGAGGGCCAGGGTCAGCAAGATGGCTATGGGGGTCTGTTCTGCAGACCCCAAACCCAAGACCCTGCCTCAGCTCTGGTTCCAGCTTTCCTTGCCCACTTGGCCCTGAAAGCTACACAGACCTGCGCAGCATCAGCTTGGGATTCTTGGCCACATACTGGGCCACCAAGTCACTGAGCAGGGTACGGAGGATGTCAGTGAAGTACTCAAGCTTCCCATGAAGCGCGACAGTGAGAAGAGATGCCACATAGGCACGGTCCCGAGCTGAGAAGGTGCGCTGACTCTCCAGGGTGTGGATGAACTGGGGCCGGGGAGAGGAAATGAAGGGCAGGGTCAGAAACAGTGGGAAAGAGAAGGGCCAGGCAAGTCTAGTTAAGGGTAAGACATAGTGGGGAGAGCCTGCTGGGTGGGGCAGCACCTTGGTGAGGAAGAGCTTGCTGTTGAGCAGGTTAGAGAGCTGTCCTAGGCCCTGTTCCACAGTGGGTCGCCTGCTCTCAGGCACACCAAGGTCCCGGTGCAAGGGCGACTCCTGGTGCCCAGGGAAAAAGACCCGCTCTGCATACACCGTGTAGTCAAGGAAGGGGATACCACTGCCCAGAAGGTCACTGGTGAGATCAGTCATCTCGGTCATGAGGTCTGTTGAACAGGAGAGGCCAGGTTGGACACTCATCCCCAATAGTGGGAGAAGCCTTGGGCAAAGCCCCAGAGGGTGTGCCTACTCTCAGAGCCTCACCTGTGAATTCCTTCTTGCAGCGGTCCCGCACGCTGCTCTCCAGATTCTCCAGCTGGATCTGAACCTTCTTATAGTCCCTCAAGGCCTGTTTGCTCTTCCTCCTGCTCAGCACCAGGGGCAGGAGGAAAAGACTGCAGGAGGCCGAAGCGCTTGATGGATCCCATTTGGCTCATGTCTGCCTGACCCAGCCCCAGGCACACCCTGACCTTGTCCAGCATAGTCTAACCTTGCCAAGGCAAGGTCTGGCCCAAAACAATTCAGCCTGTCCCACCAACACACCCATGCCTCATCTAGCCTAGCATAGTTGAGCCCAGGGATCAGCAAACTATGAAAATGCCAAATCTGGCCTGCAATCTATTTTTATAAATAAAGGTCAGAACACAATCATACTCATGTGTTTATATTTTGGGCTAGTGGCAGAATGGAGTGGTTACAATAGAGACCACCTGGCCTACAAAGCCTAAAATATTTACAATCTGGCCTTTATAGAAAATGTTTGCTGAGACCTGCTCTAGTCTGCTCCTTTCTCGTCCGGCCACATCCTACTACCTGTCCCAGTGCAGCCACATCTGGTTGCACCCACCTGTACATGAGGACAATGATGATGACACCAAGAGCCAGAAGAGAGGTGCCCACCCCCAGGCCCACCTGGGCCGCCACGGGAAAAGCCACAGCGCTCTCGCCATCATACTGTACATGACCCAGAGAAAAGCGCAGGTTCCCCATCTGCACCTGTGTGGAAAGCCACCTGTGAACAAGGGGTCAGCACATTCTGACGCCCAGCCCGCCCTGCCTAGGGCCGGCCTACTGACCGTGAACTCCGGCAAATCATCAGATGCCTCCCTGAGGGCATGGTGCCGTGGCAGGGGCTGCTCTGCAGGAGGCTCGCAGTACAGGTGGTGCCGGGTCAGTGTCTTCACCACACAGGGGCCATCTCCTATCATGGCCACCACCTCCTCTTTGGACATTGCAAGGTCCAGATTCTCCCCCTGGAACATGGGGTCACTGATCTCTCACTCAGCTTCCCCAAGGGAGCTGGTGGTCACTCAGATCCTATACCCCAGATGTGGGAGGGATGGTCCTAAGACCCACCCCCAGGAACAGGGCTGATAGGCCCTCAGTACTGCATCCTCTGCAGGTGGGCTAATGGTATTGAAATTGTCCTCCAGGCTGTTCCTATGACCTTTCTCTGGCCCTACCTTTCTTCTCCAGAGCTAAAGATCTGGAGAATCTAAAACTGACCCCTAAGTCCTGCCCCATTGTCTAACAAAGCCAGAGTCCCTACTCTGAGTCTGATGGCCCCATGGGTGAGTGATGATGAACTGTCACCTGTAGCTTTCCGAGCACCGCCTACCATTTATTTCAGAACACGTGCCTAGTGTCATCAGTGTGAGCCAGGCTCCCAAACAGAGATCAGCCCAGCTACCTGCTGTATACCATACCACCCAGCTACTGTGTACTTACTGTCATGCAGACACCAGGCTATCAATCAAACCCCTGCCGAGAGCTAAGCTGGCATCTCCCCCCACCCCCTAGCCTGCTCAGCCCTTGTTCTACCATGCTGGTCTCTAATCCATGGGCAGTGCTGTCCTGCAAAGGGAGGGTCTTGGGGTCCCACCGTGCCAAAGAAGGAGCAGTACCTCCACAGAGAACACACTCCCAGGCTTGTGCCGGAATGGTGTCATGGGGTCTTCAGGGTTGAGGGGCTGCAGGGTGGGGTCAGCCTCATAGGAGAAGGGTGTGGGACTCAGTGTCGCAAAGTTAAAGACCAGGTTGTCAAGGATAAACTCCACCTGGACCCAGGAGTCCTCAGGCAGGCCCGGGAGGGCAGGTGTACGGCACACGATGAGCTGGGAGGAGTTCACGAGGCATGGCTCCTCAAACTGGTGGAGGAAAACAAAGGTAGGTCAACTGAATGGCCACATGGGAAGGGGATCAAGCAGTGGTGTGAGCAAGGGAAGAATGGTGGTCAGCCCAAGTGCAGGCAGGGGAGTCTCAAGGGTGTCCTACGTGATGACCGCCACAGGAAGTTCCAGGGGAACACACTGTATCTGGGACCACACGGCGCTTCCGTCCAAGCCCCTGGCCAAGCTGCAGCACTCTTGGGACCACAGTAACTCGGATTCTTGGCGTCTGTACCACATCCAGATTCTGGCCACGAACCCATATCTCACGTCCTCCACTGAAACAGAGCCCATACACCACTCATGGCTTACGTGAACCAGGATCTAAAGCATGGCATAATCCCAGCTGTTTGAGCCCCAGCCCCAAACCTCATGATCCTCTCCCTGCCAACAGCATGGAATTCACAGCCCCTCACAAAGCCTGCCAACCCTGCCCCCCACATGCCAGCAGCCAACTCTGGCCTCACACCTGAGGAAGCTCTTGGTGGGGCTAGCAGAGGTGACATTAGGGTCTGACGTATATTTAAACTGGCCATGCTGAAGCCTCCGCTCAGTGGCCCCAAACCACACAGCCACAGGGAGCATGGCGGGTACAGGGTGTGGGCTGGTCTCACATCGCAGCTGCTCTGACTGCTGCTCCATCAGCCTGTGAAGGGGAGACAGGAGTGGAAGGTAGGCCAGCTGGGCTGGAGGAGGGAAACTAGGGACCCACATGGGCCTCTGCTCACTTTCCTTCCTCACTGACTGCAGTCTCCACCAGGTAGCCCTGGAGGTTGTCCTACATAGCCTCAGCTTCAAGAGGGTCTGGCCACTTGAGGCAGACTTGGCCTTTTTCCCTGTTGGCTCTCCCTAGCACCCCACCCCTCCATCCTCTCTCTGGAGCACACAGATTTTTGTAGACTGAGGAAACACCCCTCACAAGTGACAAGGCCGGTCTCCAACTACCACTCGGATGTCTTCCAGCCGCCCAGTCAGGAGTTTAGAACCATGCAGGGTGAGGCGGGTGCCCCCGGCTCTGGGGCCTCGTGCCGGGAAGATGAAATGCACCTTTGGGTCCTATAGGAAGTAGGGTAGAGCAAGAGACAGACAAGTGTCTAGTCAGAAGCAGAGAGGCCAGAGGAGCATCAGACAGGCAAGATGGCCCCGCGCTCCATGAAAGCAAAATCATATGGGCTGAGAGGAAGGCACTAGAAGGGGTAGTCCACTGGCCACTGGGAGTAGCTCAGCAGTCAGGCACCTGGTAGGCAAAGCTGAACTCTGAAATGCCACGTCCTCTTCCTGGTACCTCCACCGCTGCAGTACCAGCCACCTCTTCCCCACTGGCCCCAGTGATGCACACGAGACTGCGGGCACAAGGCAGGCAAGGGGTTGCCAGGCTGCACCAAAACCCCTTCAAAGTAGCCTGGCAGCCCTTCTCCCTGCCCTATGGTAGGTGGTCTCTTCCTCACACCCTCCATAAGATGGATTGGGATCCCCTCTAACTTTAGAAGAAATCCCTTATGGCACATCAGCAGACCTTGGCCCCAACAAGAGGGAATTTATCAGCCTGGAGCCAGTGGCTTATGCCTGTAATCCTAGCTAGTTAGAAGGCAGAGATCAGGAGGATCACGGTTTGAAGTCAGCCTTGGTCAAATAGTTTGTGTGACTCTATCTCAAAAAAACACTTCACAAAAAAGGGCTGGAGGAGTGACTCAAGCAGAAAGAGTGCCTGTCTAGCAAGCATGAGGCCCTGAGTTCAAATCCCAGTGCTGCCCTTTCCCAACTCCCCCCCCCCCCAAAGAAAAGAAGAAACTTAGTTGTGGCATACATTTACAAAGGAGCCCTGTAAGGCTAGTTAGTAAGAGGGTGAGGAGTAACTGAACTAAGGGCCTCATCAGCCAGCCCAGGTCCTCCCCATTCACCATGTGCACAGCACCCACTTGTAAAGTGGTAGAAACTTGATCTCTTCTTGAAAAAACATCCCTGAAAGCCTCTAATCAGATCTGGGGGAGATGCGAACAGTCTAAGAAAATGCTAGTTCTTAGCCAGAAAACAGAAGCTTGGGGCAAATTAACCTCCAGAATGTTAAGCCTGTAGTGGCTCAACTCTGTGACAGTGTCACAATCACTGCAAACACTCTGAGAAAACAGAACAAGTGATGTGTGAATCACCTGGGAGAGCCTCTAGTCAGAATGTATTTGATGGACTGGGGGCATGGCTCAAGTGGTAGAGTGACTGCCTTGTGAGCAGAATGTATTTGAATTGATTCACAAATCACTTCATAAATTACATAAGTCATGATTCTGCAATCATTAACAGGCTAGGCAGTCTCCTTAAGTTCTCAGTCATAGAACATTTAGAGGAAAGTGCATGTTTTTGCGAAATGGTTCCTTGTTTAAAGTATAGATTTCAGGACCCCACTGCAGGACTCTGGATCCACATCTCTTGAGGGTGGAGTGAGTGATCTACCCCGCTGACTCCAGGTCACACTGATATTCAACCAGGTTTAGGCCCTGCTACTTGTGGGCACTTCTTTGAGAATGTGCCAGTTATGCACCTGTGGCAATCTGCAGGTAATCTGCTATCATAGTTCCCCTCCTGAGAGCCCACCCAGGGCAGTGCTTGGGGAAGAAGATCATCTGGTGAAAAGAACCTCCATGGCACAGCTGTGGGGATCTGAGGACCCACTCCCACAACTATGGCCACAGTCACCGAGAAAGCCAGGTAAAAACACCTAAGCAGACCCACCAGTCAGCTCTGGGCAGTGATCCTGCCCATCAGGCCTTAGAACGAGCCCCAAGCTGCCAAGGCCAAGACCTGCAGGTATGTGCAGGAAGCCAAGGTAGGTGCTCCAGGCCTCAATGCAAATCCAGCACTGAGACATTAGCACAAGAACCAAGGGTGGGGGAAAAGGAGGACAGGTAAGTAGGAATGAACTCCTGAGTAAGAAAGCCAACCATGGAGCCCTCCCATGTTGGGATTAGCCAACTCACCTGCTGGAGACCTCATATACCTTGGTGTCGACAGAACAGGGCACTCCAGCCACCCTGACCATGCCCAGCACGTCCTGCACATGTTGGCCTAGATTGGAGCCTCTGATGGTGACACGGGTGCCTCCGTCTATAGGCCCAGACAGTGGCTCTACCTGTTCCAAGATAAGGATGGCAGACCCAGTCTCTCACTTTTGGGTCCCCTGTATTCATGGCACAGGTACCCTCCCTCCAAGGACAGCAGTGAGGAAGAGACACGCTAGCATTTCAACACACCGAGCGAATGAGGGGCGCAGGGCACTGGGTGGCCACAGCCTCAGCCTTGTCACAGGTCTCCCGGGTCACACAACGTGGGTGCGTCCCCTCGCACCACACACAGCCATACTGGGGCATGGCAGTTTGGCAGCGACTGCAGTCCCCATGTCCCACAGAACAGTCATACAGTACCACTGGAGGTAGCAGGAACAAATGTGAGAGGCAGGCCTGGAGGAGCCCTGCTACCACCAGCCTCCCCTGTGTAGCTCACCATGCAGCCCATCAGCACTGTCTACACGCAGGCGGCCGGCCCAGCGCAGAAACAGTCCTACTTGGAGTTCCGGCTGCATAGCTGAATAACTGAGCTGGAGAAAAGGGAGTGGAGTCAATACTTGGCATGACACCCAGGTGAAGCACCAGGCCTAGGAAGGAGGTGCTCAGAGAAAGGGCCAAAATAAATAGCTATAGGAGTATGGGTCAAAGGTCAGAGTTAGGGTACAGGGACCCCCTGAGGTGAAAGTCTTAGGGGCAAAACTGGTATGTAAGGACCCCTGGAATCTCAAATTAAGAGATCTGACTGAGCTAGAGGGACACAGTGGGGCACACAGTCAAGTCAGAGATAGGGTATTATCTGCTTTCCAGGGTCAGTGACAAGTGTGACACAAGCAGCTAAAGTTGATAACTAGCCTGTGGCCAGTGCACCTGTGCCCACCCAGGCTCTTGTCTGTACCTGGTGCTGCCGGCACGTGATGTGGCATGAGGTATCCGGAAGCAGCTCACACTTGACCTGGGCCTCAACTGCCACCTCCAGGCCCTCCAGCTCCATCACACACTCACTGCCTCCTGGGCCATCCTGGGGGCAGAGGACACAATTGTTGGAGTAACTTCAGGAGCTGAGACCCATGATTTGCACAGGTCCCCAGCATAGCCTCTGAGTTAGGATCAAGACTTGGGGTCACACCTTTTTCCTGTTCTCTAGGACCTGTACAGAATCTATCAACAGCTAAGGAGGCTTCAAGGACTGCTGTGACCAGGACACACGCACCTGGAAGAGGTGCAGATTCCTGCCTCGAAGCCGGACTTCTCGCTCCACATGGACCGGCATGAGCATAGAGCCCTGAACACTTTCCACACAGGGGCAGGAGCTTACCCTCTGATTCACCTCTCCCTGCAAGCACCAAGAGCAAGGCAGAATGTGGAGCCCACCCTGCCCCCCAGTCCTCTGCATTGCTGGACTCCAGAGGCGAGACTCTGCCTCTGATTCCTCCCAATGCAGAACTGCAAGGCAAGCAAAGGGCTGCAACTTCCCCAATCCCCTCCTCTAAGGCCTCCTTCCTGGACTGGACCTCACCAGCTCCCAGAGCCCGGGGGTGTCGTACTGGTAGTCGAGACTGGACAGTAGGATGAGGGGGGCAGGAGGGCCCTCGTGCTCTGCTGTGTCTCCATCACCTGAGAGGAGGGTGGAAGTGGAGAAGGCGGGCATGTCACCCCCTGTCCACTCGTCCGCCTCGGGCAGCTCGCCGCCTTCTCTCATGTGCCAGTCCAGAATGGGCTTCGTGGAGCCAGCGGCCCCTGGGAAAGTGGTGGCAGCAGCAGTGCCAGGGGGCAGGGCCTCAGGGCCAGGCTCTGCAGGGGGCTCTACTGCTACATCTGAGGGCAATAGGTGGGAGACTGAGAGGTCCTCACGGGGGGCTGCTGGCCCCCCATCAGTGGGGACAGTGACAGCAGTTCCAGGTCTAGTGGGGAGGCTAGGAGGGAGGGGCATCTCATGGAGGGGTGACTCTGAGGGGGTGGGGGGAGATATGGGGCCAGGACCTGCCCATGGCCCCCACAGGCTAAGCAGGGAAGGCCTGGCCCCAGGTAGGCCATCCAAGGCTGTGGTTGTAGAGGGAGCCCCAGTCTCCACAGGAATGGTGTCAGAACTAGGGGTGACCATGGTTTTGGGGACTGTGGGTGGGAAGGGGGTGAGTACATCTCTTTCAGGAGGGGGTAAAGAGAGAAATGGGCTCTGAAGGGGGAGACAGAGAAAGACAGGAAGGGCCACTCAGCAAGCAGACACGGGAGCAGGAGGCAGGCAGGCAAAGGGTATGTTAAGAGGAAAGACCAAGGAAAAGAGAAACAAAAACAGCCCATTAATTTTCCAAAGGAGAAATGCAGAAGGCAGGCTCCAGGGGTGTCTGTGCTGAGGTGGGACATGGAAGCCACACCTCCTACCTCCCAGCTGCGCACATCCTCTCCTGAAACAGGTGAGGATGGCAGCCATTCTCCAATGAGTCTGTCACACACGCAGCTCAGGAGCTCAGGACAGAGCCTCATATGGGCAGGCAGGCACACACACCCCGGGCCATCAGAAAACCCTCACACTGAGGACCCCAATCCCCCAGTGGGGCCCATCCTGGAGTCCCACTCACCTGTTGGCTCACCACCATGGGCCCAGCATCACATGAGGCCTTGTGTGTGCACAGGTGCTGCCAGACACACCAATTACACCCCCAGCGGCTGCTCACACAGGCCTGGCACCTACACAGAACACAATCATGAGGTGGGGTTCACCATAGGGGAGCCAAGGGCTAGGGATAGGGTGAGGAACTCACGGTGCTGATGGGTGGAGCTCAGTGACTACCACACAGTCATAGAAGGAAAAGGAAGCTTTGGTGATCACCACACTACCAAACCTTAGCTCCACATCCACGGATATGTGGTCTGCAAAGAGGAGAGAGGACCCAGACTAAGGAAAAGGGATGGTACTCCGACCCAGAACCCACATCTGAGTGAGACCACATGGAGTAGGGCTGGTACCCAGGAGAGAAATTCAGGGTTGGGAAGAGTCCACAAGACAGAGAATGGACACTATAGGGTACTAGGGGCCAGTAATAGAACTCAGAGACAAACACTGATTCAGGGTTTTGTCTGGATTCACATCTCACCCCAGCCACACCCCCCTTGGAACAAGATGGGAGCAGAAGGGGGCTCCCAGGTCCGGGACTGGCTCTTTCTCTCACCCACCGGCTCCTGTCTGCAGCACTGGAGCCTCACTAGGGTCTGGGGAGGGGCACATCACACCAGAACCAGTCAGCAGGGCAGGACTCTGGTGTTCCCCAAAGTGGCAGGAATATGACTCCCCTGGCCAAAGGGATGGCAGGTTTGGCACAGACAGGAAAACCTGCCAAGAAAGTCCAGGACAAATTGTTGGGACCATCGGGCAGTAGACCAAGACTCTCACTTTTGGAGTACCCAGTGTGGGGAGGTACCAGCAACCTGTAAGCCCCTAAACCGTCACAAATACCTTCTGGCCCAGATTAGTAACAGATGAAGAAATCTAGGCCCCAAGAAGAGTGACTGTGCAAAGTCATGGGAGATTTGGTGCACCTGACACCAAAACCCACTCTAGACCCACCTCCAGAGCCTTCCCCATTGGGGCCCCACCTACTCTGGCCATTTACCTCCCTCCTCTCCTCTCGGCTGATGTTGGCAGGGCTCATAGCTACCACTTGCAGACAGCCCAGTTCAGGCTGGAAACTCCACAGCCATAACTCTGGGCCCTGGCCCCTTGAGCACTCGGAGCGGCGACCACACCTGAGCAAGAATGACCAGTGTCTATCCATGACCCTCACGGAGCCACTGGGATATCACAGGGTAGTGATGCCTATAATCCTGAAGCCCTGAACAGAGCTCTCAAGTTGAGGTAGACACCAGGTTCCTGATGCCTGGGAAAAGGGGTAAGGATAGAGGAGTAGGGATGGGACATCTAGAAGTTAGAAGTTAGGGATTGAGAGTCAAGGGCCAACGTCAAGAAACCTAGCTAGACAGTTACAAGTGCATGAAGTGGGGTCAGGAGTTGGTAGCTCACTAACCTGCCAAGGAGCACACACCAACCACAGTACGGATCCCTGTGGGCAAGGCAAGACACACAGTCCAGGTGCTGAGCACAGGGGGCCACGGGAACCTTCACAAGCTGTGACAGTAAAGAGACTTGAGGTTGGCAATCTAAACACTAGTGGCTCATCCACATACGGGTAACTGGAACCTCCCAGCAGTCATGCCCTGCCCCATATCTGGAACTCACTGTGGTCTGGGTCATGACATACAGGTTTTCGAAGGTCCCATCAAAGGTGAGGTCTCTGTTCACTGCAGAACCTGGCTGGATGCTCTGTTTAGAGTATGGGCCCACATCGCTTCCAGGGCCCAAATAGACCTAAGATCAGAGACCACATGGTCTGGTACCAAATCTGAGGCCAAAGGTCCAAGGTCATTTACAACTGAAGCAATTTACAGATTAAAAATTTCCTCCTAGGCAATGCAAGGACATTGCAACCAGCCAGGAGTGGGTCACAGGAAAACATCACTCGCCCTGGGAAGAGGAGAACAGGACATCTCTCCCAGTCCACAGTTAAGGCGCATGTTACAGATCACACATCCCAGTCCCAGGGGTCATAAGGGTAGCTCCACCTAGGGTGAGTCCCCAGTAGCCTGTCCCCTCCAGATCATGGGTCAGGGCCCAGTTCTTCCTGTGAACTTACCCTATGCAGCTGTCCTTGACTATCACCCAGGAAAGCAATGGTGTGTCCATCTTCCACAGTGACCGCCACAGCTGTTAGCTGAACCCCTGGCAACTCCAGAATTGGTGTGGTTTCCAAAGGAATATGGCTGGCTATGGGGCTTGGTGTGTGGTCTGAACCACAGGGAAAAGCATCCGGAGTATCCTGCAGACAACAAGAAGTATCAGGAAGACCATGCCTGGACAACTCCTCCCAGCCTCTAGTCTTTCTGCCAAACTAGACTCCGTGATATCCCACCCTGGGCAACCCCTCCCATAGCCAAATCTGTAGCCCTACCTTAGTGCACTTCTCTCCAGTTTCCCTGGATCGTTTCTAATGGCTCATTTTCCTCTTTTAATCCCCTCCCCTGTCTGTAGAGCCACTTTCTCCCAACCCTGGCCTGGAAGCTGGTTCCTCTGGTTGTGCTCTGCCTTCCCATGGCCACTTCCTAAGCTTTCACAACCCCTCACCTGGCCCTCTGACTTCTCAATGATTTAGTACCCCTGTGAGCAACTTCTTTCTCTCTATATTCATCCTGAGGCTACAGCCACACATGTCTTACCTCACCTGTCTCTCTTTTCCAGAACCTAAAACAAAGTTCTCATCCAATATTCTGCCCCTGCCCTGGAAGCCCAAAGATCCTCTTAGCTTACATCTCAACACTACTTCTTCAGCACCCTAGTTCAAGCCCATCCTTACGCTGCTCCCTGCCACCCTGAGTGCCATGCTGTGGTAAGGTATCCCACCTTTGCCCAAGCACAACGGAAGTACCTAACACCTGTTGACCTGATCATCCCCACCCTCTGTCAGCTTCACTTCAGGCTCCCTGAACAGATGCTTGGCTGCAAATGCCTGAGCAGTGGCCTCAGAGAAGGGGCAAAGGCCAGGGCCATGCCTGAACTCACCACTGGCAGCTGTGCACAGCCGGAAAGGACATCATACGCAATGTAGGCCACCTTGGTCCCATTCTCAGTGCAGCCTCCTCGGGTGTAACAGGCATCTCGTGTGTAGTTAGCAAGCCGATCCACCTCGTCCAGGGGGAAGGCACAGAGCACAGAGGTTCCAGATGCCCTGCTAGCCACTGACAGGGGCCAGTCTACAGTAGGGGGCGCCACCGTGGAGAAGGCTGCAAAGAGCACCTCCCCCTGGGCCACCTCCCTGGACATGGCCACAGCTGTGGCCTGGATCAGACCATAGCGGCCACCCTGGCAGTCCAGAGGCAACTCCACATAGGAGTAGTAGTGCTGGTCACGGAGACACACTCGAGACACATAGGCATGGAAGGCTCTAGATGAAGCCAAGTCTCGCCGCAGGAACAGGAAGTAGACATTGGCCCCACGTGTAAAGGCACTCACGAAGTGGTGGCTGTACTCAGAGAGGCGGCCCACTGCCAGTTTGGCTGTCTCCTCATAGGAGAAAGCAGCTTGGGGGTCCAGTGGCCTCAGGGCCCGGGTTGTGATGGGGGGAATGCCACCACCCACACCCCTACTGGTATATCCCCGCCCCACAAATAGGAGGGGATCCCCTGTTGAGTCCTGGGCCACCAGCCCCACTGTGCTGACTGCAGGGTCATTGGCAGCCACATACTGGGTGTCCCCAGGCCTCTCTGGCCGCAGCAGCAGCTGCTCAAGTTGCTCTAGGCTCCGCAGCTCACAGACCCCCTGGTATACACTCCCGCATACCACCAGGGCCCCTGGGCTCACCAGGAGCAGCTGGTTGGGGTTGCTGGTAGGCCGGGCCTGAGGACACTCATCAGGCATCACGGGTGGCAGGCAATCCCTGCTGTCATTCACAGGGCCCGTGGACACCGTGGCCTCCAGCTGCAGCCCAGGGCTCAGCTGGAACAGGAAGTTGGTGGCCCCTACATAGAGGGTACCTGAGGTGGGGTCCCTTGCCAGGTGTTGCAGATATGTTCCATTAGGAATAAAAGCAGCTGGTGGAGGGAGTTGGAGGGTGAAGACCCACCCAGCCCAGAGCACCTGGAGAAGAGCTGGGCCAAGAACAGGCATGGTCACCTGGTAGGGAGAGAGGTATTGGTAAGGGATAGGGCTGCAGCAACACCAAGATGCCCCTCCTAAGCAGAGGTATACCAGTGTGATGGGTGCAATGGCCCAAGATTCCCCCAGGACTACAGAAACAGGAGACACTGTCCCTGGAAACTTCAGCACTGCCCCTTCTCTGCAGGGGCTATGCTCTGAGGTGACCTGCACCCATCCCATTCCACCACTCCACACTACCCTTTTTCATCACATGAGTCAGAAGAAGCAGGGCCTGAAAGGAACAGGAGAGCAAGTGAGGGGAAGGAGGGGCCCAGCACCCTGAGTAGGGAGAGACCCACCCCATTTGCATGGTTGCGGGATTCTTGCAGGAGGAGGGAAGGCAAGATCTCATGGGCCACAAGCGTGTTAGAACAAGGCAAGAGTTGGGCACAGGGCCTTTCAGGCCAGGAATCCAAAAGGGTGATAACCACAGAATCGACAGACCAGAGAGAAGAAAGAGATGAAGTCTGGGAGGGGTGGGGCTAAAGGACTGGGCATCTCGAGAGAAGTAAGCAAGCTGATCCACCTCATCCAAGGAAAGGGCACAGAGCACAGAGGGAACCCTGAGTAGAGGTGGGAGTCACGCTGCTTCCAATGCCTAGGAGAGAAGCCTGGCTCACCTGGCAGGGCCAGCTGGATCAGGAGATAACAGCATGACCTGAGCAGGAGTCACCTAGCCAAGGGGAAAGCAGAGTATGAAGCTGGGGACTGGGCTGCAGGCATGTGGGAACCTAGGCTCCCCACCATGGAGGCAGCACAAAAGCACCCCCTCCCCACTGCCCAGCCTGCCTGTGGAGCCCAGCCCAGCCTGGCCTTCGGCCACCAAACACATTCCACAGAGGACGCCTCCTCAGAGCCCATAAAGGGAGGGGGAGGGCAGCAGAGCCAGGCACCTGAGGCGCCTGGGAAAGGTCAGCTAGGAAGGACCCCTATGGCCAGCAAGCCCTAGTCAGGCCCCCCACATAGCCCTCTCCCTCTAAGGTCCCTTCTTCTCAGCATTCTCCCCTGTCCCACCCTTTGCCCAAACTTTATCCTGTCAAGGCACCAAGGTACACACCATCCACACAGGCCAGGGACCATCCTAGCTTTAACCAGCTCATTGGCAGATACACACTTTACACACTGGCACACAAGATGCGTGCATACCTCCTAACCCTCATGCATACACCCACACACAAACACATGGACACTTACACACACACACACAGATATATACAGAAATAATCTGTATACACAACACACAGAAACATAAGCATATCACACAGGCACACCCACACATGTGCAGATACCATATAAACACAGCCATGGAGACAACCCCACACACACGCACAAACACACACTGTGTAAATACGCACTCTGCACAGGCACAGCATACCCACCCACCAAAGACATATACCACCACCCATATTTACACACCCACACATACAGACTCATGCACACTTCCCTGGTTTAAGCACTAAGTCCTAGACAGCAGGCCATTTCTTGCGATTTTTTCTTCTGCAGACCAGAGCAGAGCCAGGCCCAGGATGTGAGATGAGTGGGGGATGTCCTGAGGAAGTCATCGTGCCTGGCTCTGTCTTCCAACCCCAGGTCCATCCTCAGGGCCTCCCCAGACTTTGGGTAAACTGCTCTCTCACTTTGCAGGCCCCCAGCTGTGGTCCTAAATCCCAGAACCAAGAAACCATAGCAACACTACCTTCTCCAGACCCCAATGCTCCCCAAGCAGGAGCACCAAGATTAGTGAGGTGTTGGGACAAACCATGCACCCCAGACCGGGAGATACTTCCACTTGCCTGTGCCCAGGTCTTGTTGTCTGCCCCTCCCACCACCCAGCTGCCAGGTTGTCTGTGCAGAATGTGCCAAGGATTCGATTCCCTGAGCCTAGGTCGGCTCATCCCCACAGGGGCCTTAGAGCGTGCTCCTGAGCAGAACTGAGCGCAAGGCTCAGAGGGTCCAGCAGCCCGATGGGAGCAAGAACACTGTGACCACAGCCTGGTGGGAGTAGGGGGGGCCTTGGCCACAGCCTGGCTGGGCACTGCTCCCAAAATAGCTTGGGGGTTTCCATTTTTAGTGTGCACAGAACAGGACAGCTCTATGGGAGCAAAAACAAGGCTGCCTCTGTTCGTCACCCAAGGGGGTGGGGGGAAAGAGGCGGCAGGGAAAGTCTTGAACCCGGCCAGAAGCCCAGGACTGTGTTAAGGCCAGGCTTCTGAGGAGCCCCCCACCTTGTTGCCAAGGGAAGGGGAGACAAAGTTCCTTCCTCTGGAAAGACAGAAGCCATCTCCTACACTCAGCTACTGCCCACTCCTGCCACCACCTCATGCCAGGGATGTGCCTTGGGCATAGGGTTCCATAGTTAGACCAACATTCAGTTTCATTTGCTTGCAAATATTTGCTCAGAGCCTACTGCGTGCCAAGGTTCTCCAGCCCTCCAGGGGCAGCAACAAAACCACTCCCCAAATGTGAAATCACAACTGTATTGAGGGAGCCACAGGAAGAAATGCACAGCATCCGAAGAGCTCCTGGGTAGGGCACACAGGAAGTCAGAGGCTAACCCACTCCAGCGAATCAGGTCCCAGGAAGCAGAGCCTAGCATCCCTTCCCCTTCCCCACATACCACAGGCAAGGGGAGAACAAAGGGCAGTGACAGTTTTTCCTCTGTGCTTACATGCATATTTCACTTAACTTCTTCACAGGCCACAAAGCAGCCACTAGCCCCTCCAACCTACACCCCCCCCACACCCCGGCAACCTCACAGTTATCTTCCATGAGCAGAAATGGAGGGCATCACTCCCTCTATAGAGTTTTTGGGGCACCCAAGGGCAAGAGGGATAAAGGTCAGCCCCTCCAGTCCACATCCTCCCCCATACATGCTCCTCGTTCCTGACTGAACTACAGCCTATTCTACTCCTCTGCTGTCACAAGGGCTGTTCCCACTCCCTGGAATGTCCACTCCCTGTCTATCCCATTAATTCTCATAACCAGCCATCACCTCCCTGGGGAGCCTTCCCAGGCCTTCCAAGCTCCTGAGGAGGTCACCCATATGGTGACTGGAATGGACACACCCAGCCACTAGCTCTGCTCTGCCATGGGCTTTGGACCCACTGATAGGACAGGAAACAGGACTGCTCTGACCAGCAAATGTGGTAGAGTGTATGCCTGGTATTAGTGGCACTGCCAAAAACCACTTCTCCCCCTGTTCCACCTTCCCATTGTGGACCTGAACTCCTTAAAGGTGAAGAGTCTAGCCTTTGATTGGGAGGTCCCAGCAATTGGCACAGACATTAGTACAGAGCAGGTGCTCCCTGCATGGTGAATAAGCCCCCCATTTTAGTGCCCAGTCAGAAGAGATAAAGCATACACACCCCTCTCTAAGGACAAGGAATTAGTCCCGCTTTTATTATGGACCAGACTAGAACAGACTGAAAAGGCTAATTTGGAACCAAGCCTCAAGTCCCCAACTTGAACTGCCAGGATTGCCTGCCTACTCCCCACATCTTGTTCAGGCTCACAGCCAAAGTCTAACTCTGCCTGTGCCCAGGCCTGCCCAGCTGGCCTCTTCGGGGCCCACCTCTCTCTGAACCTCTTCAGCAGGGACCAAGACCGCCTGACTTCTGCCTACCAGGAACAAGCACTACCTGGACCCTGTTGCCTCTGTCCTCACCAAACAAAGGGGCTCACAAATTCAGCTCTTCTACACCTGCACATTTACCTTGTCTGGGAGTCAAAGGGAGATTGTCCTTCCCTTTCGGCCCTCCTGTCCCACTCCCAGAGTCCACACTAAGAGGCGAGTTACTCATTGACAGTGTAGTGGTACACACTGCCCATATATTTCCTAGGTGTTGAGTGGGGTGAAGAAAGCCATCATTTACTAGGCACCCGCGATGACCTAGGACGCTCATCAATCACCCGCCGAGTATGTCTCTGTATGGAGAGGGGGTCCTCTCCGGGTGTCGGGAGGCTCGTGGTCCGCCTTTGTCAGTCCTGCGGGGCACAGCCTGGAAGCGCTGTTACTCCTACCGGGAAGCCTCGACCTCCCCATTCGGCTCTTCCCCGGCCCTCCTCCCTCCCCCCCCATCCCCCCGCGCCATGGGGCTAGGGCCCCACCAGCGGCCCTGGGAAGGCGAGGAAGGGGCCAGCCGGTCCCGTCAGCAGCGGTGGTGGCGGCGAGGAGGGGGCGCGGAGGAGCAGCTCCACCTCCTCTGTCTCCCAATCGCGTTACAGGCGGAGCCGCCAGAGTTTGCCTTCGCGCGCACAAGTGTGCTCCCAACTCCCAGGACCGAAGCCGCCCACCATCCTACTCCGGTTGCCCCTGCCCGGCGGGATCGCGACCTCAGGCCATTCCACCTGGGGGCGCGCGGCTTCGCCCCAGTCCCGCCGCCCCGGCCCGAGCCCCGCACTCACCACCCGGCCGGCCTGGGGGATGTACGCGCCGAGGCGGGCGCCGGCCGCTCCGGGCTTGCTCGGGATCTGCGCGTGGCGGTGTCCCCCCCACACCCACACCCACACCCACACCCACACACAAGAGATGGGTCTGGTTGAGCCGCAGCTGTTACCCGGAGACCGAGGGGCGGAAAACTGCGCCCGCTGCCCGCCCCTCCCGCCGCGGCGCTGCCACCGCTGGGAACAAAGGAGACAAAGCCGCGTCGGCCCGGCCGGGCTCCGCTCCTACCCCCGCCTCGCCCGCAGGGCCGCCCTCCCCCCGCGCGGACCAGGCCGGAAGCAGCCGGGAAGAGCGGGACGCACGGCCCCGAACCGCCCGGGACCCCGCATTCCGGCCCCGCGAGCTCCGCTTTTACCTAGGGCGGGGGATGAGGGGGGAGTCCACTCCTCGCGCGAGGCGGGGGGCGGGGAGGGTGCTGCACAGCGGAGGTAGCTATGGCAACGTGGCCGGTGCGGACGCGTGAGGCTTGAAGCTCGGAGCGTGGGCGGCCCCGCCAGCCCTTACCTGCGCGCGGCTTTGGAACCGGAACTGGCCGCTCTCCCCGGCAGCCGCGGTGGTCGCGCTCTGCGCCCCAGGTGCTGGCAGTACAGCGCCCAAGCCTTTTCCCGCCCCGCCAGAATCCGGTGCGACCCGCGCCCCTCACCTGCCCGGCCTGTTCACCAGCCACCACCACCCGCCTCGCACAGCGCCCGGAGTTCCCGGTTTCCCTTCCAGTTCCGTGCTTTCCCCCAACTTTCTTTACCTGAACTCCTAGGCCTGCTTCTCTTCGCACCTGGCCTGGTCCACCTCTCCTCCCAGGACTCTCGGACACCTAACCTCTCCTTCCGGCCCCCACCCCTGGCTGTTTGAGAAGATCACGGGCTTTGGACCTGGGTTTGCGCCATCACTAAGCCATGTAACCTGACACCCCTCCCCCAGCCTATTTGCTTACCGGCAAGTGGGGGGTGATACCACCCCAGCCAGGCTGTTAAAGCGGAGGGCACTCGGGCAGCAGAGGTGCACAAGCAAGGTGCATTTCCTTCCTTTCCTCCCAGGTCTGTACCTGGACCCGCCCCAAGGTGAAAAGCCTTGGGCAAGTCTAGACTCCCTCATTGGCACACACCTGGGTATTCCTGGGGAGGAAACGTTGGGCAGAAGGATTCTCTCCTGAGGCCTGTTTGTGCCTCATGCAGGGCCCTTCGTACCCTGACCTGCTTGTGGCAAGCTCTGGAGCCTGCCCATCCTGAGGGCTTTTGGAGTCTTTTGGCTCAAGGCCATTGACTCAGCCTCTGGAGGCAATATCTGTCACACACATCATCTGGAATCCTCCAAGGCCTCCACAGGGTAGAGGGAGCTTCAGCTGGCAGGCTCAGGTCTTCCACACTGGCCACTGCCCTAACAGCTAATACCACAGACCCCCATGTCATGTCTCCATTCACTCTCTTACCTACGTACCTTCCAAATTTCTTCCCCTTTTCTCCACCCCTACTTCCAGCACCTGATCCAGGCATGACATCCCCCTCCCCAGTTCCCTCACCCTAACCTCTGACCTTAGAGATTGCCAAGCTGACACTCTTAACTCCTCTCCCCATTCTCTAACCTTACACCCTATAACTCCCCCATACCCATCCCACCTCAGCAAGGATAGCCCTACTCTGACTCCCTCACCCACCTTAGTGTTCCTGCCTCTGCAACTTGTGGAGCCCCTTTCTTGTGCCTGGAATCCTCTCCCAAATCCACTCACTCAAGTGCACACCCATCAGGATCTGCCTCACACCAGTGGGGAACTTGGAAACACCCCATAGCCCTTCTTATCCATACAAGGATATGGCACTGCCTGCTTCATCCAGGAGCATGAACACTCAAAATTGTTCCATCCCATGCCCTTCTGGGGAACCACTACCCACCAAAGGTAGAGTGACCAAATAACTGAGGGACCGGGTGCTCTGAGGTTCAGAGAACCAGTGGCACCATTTGGGCCATGCTTGCTGCCCAGGACTGAGCACAAGAACCAAGAGCAGAAGGCCCATCGTGGGGAATACTTCTGGCTCACAGACACAAGTCCCCACTGAAGACTACATACAACTGCTCTGAAGGGGGATGGGCTTTCCACTGTGTGGCAGACCTCCAATACTCCTAGGCAGGTACAGATCGCCACCCCACAACTCCTGTTTACACAAGGCCACCATGTCATTTAACTGGAGAGGTCAAGGTCACTGTTCCTCTCTGAAAAGTGAAAGGGCACGGTGGCACATGCCTGTTATCCCAGCATTGAGGAGACTGAGGCAGGAGGATTGTGAGCTTGAGGCAGTCAGGGCTACATAGCAAGACCCTGCCTCAAAAAAGAAAAAGAGAGGTCAGAGGTTCTCAAGGCAGTCCCCCTCTATGCCTCATTGCACATAACACGCACACATACACACAGGGGCTCTTCCCTAACTGCTTCTCCATTCATACTGCTTGTGGCCTGGGCACTGCCCATGCCTACAAAGGGTCATCCTCAGGCTATGTGGGAGCACACCCAGTCCAGTGGCACACTATTATTGCCCAAAGCATTCTCTGCACCAGGGACCCAGACTGCTCACCAGTCCCTGTAATGATGTCCCCAGCAATGCTTGTCAACCATTTTTTCTTCCCTCTTCCCTGCTCTCCTCTGATCACTCTTCCAGCATCAGAGCCAGGTATCCAGTCCCTTCCCCACTCCCTCCCACCTTGTTCCCATGGCAGAGAAAGCCATGCAGCAGTCTAGGTTTCAATCACTGGAACCCCCAGACCACTTGACAGAAGTCCAGCAAGCAGCAGGCAGGCCAGAAAATTCAAAACAAAAATCCAAGTCTTAGGAGTAAGGAAGTGTACCCAAAACAATCCTGAAATGAGGACCAAGAGAGGGTTAAAAAGGAACTAAAGGGGGAGATTCCCCTCAGTCCAGAACCTACCCTTGAGTCCCAGATCACAATTTTTAATGGACAAAACTTAGTCTAATCAGACTTTTAAATAATACAAACTCTAAGACATTTTAATTGACCATTAGCACAGTTTTGATAATTAATGTAAATGAGCACTGCCTACAAAGCAAAGTATGCCTGCTGGTGAGCCATACAGAAGGTGCTCAGACTCAGGCTGAGGCTATGTGTACCCGAAGACTCACTTCACTGCTGGAATTTGCCAACAAAAGCCACATTCACCCCTTAGGTGGTCCAGGAACTAACTGGCCTTGAACAGTATGTAGAGCACAGGTAGCGTGGCCACAAATGTCACACAGGTGATCAGTGTGCTGTAGATGGTGTTCCTGTTCACTTGTGCTTCTAGCCTCTGCTCTACATCTGACAGAGCCAAGATCATGCTCCCTTGCTCCAGCAAGGAGCTGGACAGAGCACCATCTAGAGGCTGCACCAGACCTGGGTGTGCTGCAGCCTTTGCAAGCTGAACCAGCCCAGTCATTTGGCTATAAGTCTTTTCCAGGCCATCAAGTTGCTCTCGTAAACCCTCTAGACTGGAATGGATCTGCTGAGAATGACTGAGCTGCTCTTTCATGGCAGCTGAAAGGACATCGATGTCTCTGTCTTGGGTGGGGAAAGTACCTGCTGCTGACCCAGAACCCTGACCTTGCCCAGCATGCACCAGGCCCCTAAGGGCCGCCATGAGGTTGTGGAGGTCCCTCTGCTGGAGGGAGTAGCTAGACGCCTGTTCACGGATGGCTTCCTGGAGACTCACAGGCCCTTTCTGTGCCTCCAGAAGTAAGGCCTTTAGTTCCTGTAGTCGGACACGGTTCACATAGGTGGAGCCAGCCACACCAATCAGAGCTCCCAGGACTGACCCGATGAGAGACCAGTTCTTGGTCCTCTCGGCCCTCGTGCGCTCCTTCTCGTGACTCTCCCGCACAGCTGCTGAGAAGAAAGAGAACTTCTCACGCTCAGAGTCTTCTGCACGCAGATAGGCAGTGCGGAGCCTCTTCTCTTCCTGTGGAAGCAAAGCAGTGTCACCTAGAAGCAAGGGGCCTTGTGACTGCAGCCACTAGCACATAAGCCACTCCTCTGCCCTGGCTCCACAAACACCTGCTACACAAATGAAGATAGCACACACTTGGCTGAGTGTGGGAATAGAGGGACGAGGAGTGTGGAAGTGAGCACACTATCTTTCCACTGAGCAGTCTTGGGTCTGGCCAGCCAACTGATGTTTCCAGAATGTGTCTACAGACTGGGCGGGCTAGGTCAAGGCCTAGGGCGCTGGGCAGAAGTGCTGGCGGGTGGGAGGACCCAAGTTCGAATCCCAGAATGTGTCTACAGGAAATGAAATGTCTGCTACTTCCTAGGCCGTGCCTTCCCATGGTATTCCCTCCTCAGCAATCTGGGTCCCAGGCTGGAGTGCCCTAAGAAGCAGGTGAACAGGTTGTAGAAACTGGGGCCTGACTCTCCCTCCACAGGAGCTTCTGTATCACCTCCTCACCAGGCCTCTTGCCAACAGTCAGGGTTCCCACTTGGCCCTTCTTGATCTGCCAGGCTAGGAGCCCTGTGCAGGTAAGGAAGGGCTGTCTCCCAAGGGGCCTACCTGCAGCATCTTGTGCTCCAAAGTGGCCAGTTCCAGGTACTGGTTGTCCTCTCTGGAGACTCGGTCCAAGCGGTCCCTCACTTCCTTCAGTTTGGCCTGCTGAACTTCCAAATCTTCCCGGGCCTCTCGGACAAGCCCTCGAGCCACCATGAACACTTTCTCTGCCTGCAGAGAGAACAGCAAGGGTATCAGCTCCTTCTCCCCATACTCACACAGGCTCTGCTCCATTGCCAACAAGATGGTGGCTATGAAGAGGTCACTGGGGTGTCAGCTGCAAAGGTAGAAACAGTCTCCAGGACGCTAATCCTCACTCACTCAGTGGTGCTCAAAGTACAGCCCTGGGCCACACCCATCTGAAGAACAGGATTTATCCATTCAAGCAGAAATAACATGCACCTGAGAGACCTGAAAACAACTAACAATGCACACACTCTGTGTCCACTATTCCCAGCCAGCTCTTGTGTGACAGAAACCACAGTAAGGAATCGATGCGCTTATGCTGTTTCCTGTGTGTTACCTCATGTAGGCCTCATGATGCCACCATCCAAAGCATTGCTATGGCCTCTGGTTTACAGATGTGGAAACCCCAGCTCAGCCAAGCTCACAGTGCCCAAAGACAGAGACAGCAATGTGCCTCAAACCCCCAGCTGAACCCCAGGTTCTTCCTACCTTCCTACAATTACACTGCTCTGTGCCTAAGCAGGAGTGAGAACAAAGGTGACAAAATGCACTTCTGCAACCACTCCCCAGGCAACTCTCACCACCAAGCCCCCAAATGGTGGTCTGTGAAGAGCATTTGCTGGCTTTATAGGATGAGTATTAATGACTAGGGACTTTTGTTTTTGGGAAGAGTAGGGGGTACAGTTACATATAGATCTTCACCCTAGTGATATCAGACTCAGATTTCCATGTGAAAATGAATCAAATGAGTGATGTTTCTTTAAGAAAAGGCAAGTCTGAATGTGCCTTCCCAGCACCATGTGGCTGATGACTAGTTTGATAGGAGTCTACAAGCCGCCACATTTCCTAAGTCAGAGGGCAAGGTCAACCACCCTGGCTCTCCTTCTCACCTCAGTCACATTTCCCTGGGCATCTCGAACCTCATTGAGTCCGACAAACTCTTCATATTTGTCCCACCAAGTCTTGGCTGTGGAGGCCACTCTTCGCTGAATGCTGTGAGCCAAGGCTCTTCCCAGTGCTGGGAGGCGGTGATACAGCCTGAGGGCCGCCGCCTCAGGTTGCTTTTCTCCTGGCTGGCTGGAGCTTGGACTGCAGAGAGTCCTGGTCATAAAAAGGTCACTTCCAAGGAGGCCTCTCCGCACCAGTCTGTGGGGCACACCCACGATGTGCTGCATGGCAAACACAGGGCTGCACCCCGTCATCGGGAGATCTGTGAGGGGGAATGCCAGATAGATCAGCTCATAGCTGAAAAAGGCTAGATATGAGTCAGGTCTGAAGGCCTAAGCACAGTTCTAAGTAGACTAATTTTCACTAAAATCATCTAAATGGAGCACCAGAGACTGCAGCTGTGTGGCAAAATAGTGGTCAGGCTTCCACCTGGGTCTTCTGGACAAAGGAACACATTAGGGAAGAACTCATGTAGGATTTTATTATGCCTCTCTCTTCCTTCCACAACACCACATAAACCAGACTCTTCCCCCTTCCTGCATCCCCCAGTTTCTCTGATGTGACCTGAATGAAAATCCTGGTGCCCAGTCTTTTGGTAATGTTAAAGAAAATTCTCGAACACGAGTTGTGTGTATACTGACAAAACCCCACAAGTATTCAGAAAGACTTCCCGCAAAATGGTGGAACTGACAGCTAGGCAGGAACGATTAAGATCAAGTCATTTCTGTAAAAGACCCTCATATCCAACTTCCCAGACTCCCTGAGGCCATCTCAGCACTGGGCAAGCAGAGTTTCAATTGCAAGGGAGGACATAAGACCCAGGTCATTGATGTCCCAAGGCAGAAAACTCTCAGCTCTCCATTGAGAGGACAATTCCAGGGGAAAGGAAAAACCTGCTTTCTCCTCTGAGGACAGTTTTTTTCAGGTTCACACCAATCCTCTTCCAGCCCTACCAACCTGATTTTCTAGCCTATCAAGTCCCAGTCTCACATTTCTCACCTTCCAGAGCCTTCTTCCTCCCCAGCCTCAGGTGCTACTCAGCAAGTCAGGCTTCTCTACTCTTTTCTTTTCAGTCTTGCTTTGATGTTTGGGCCCTAACCACGCCTACTCCCTTTGACATGAACTACCACAAGGAGTCTCCCAGTATCCAGAGTCAGGCCTTGCCTCAGTCCAAGAACGAAGTGACTCAGGACCCCGAAGGGGAAGCTAGGTTACCCATATTCACAGGAAAACCTGGCATTTTCTTCTGGCCAAACCACATCCAAGCCCCCTAGCACTGATTATGCTGTCATAGCGACACCTGGTGGCCAACTGACCAGGCTAGGGAGAGAAAAGCTGAAGGAGCAAAGGGCCAGAAAACAAGGAGGAGCCCCAGGTGCAGATCAGAAAAAGCTTCCTGATGTAGGGTGATGTGGAACAGAGTTGAGCCCACAGCATCCCAGCTTCCTTCCCCTCATCTGTGGAGAAGCTCAGGCCCTCTTGAAAACAAAACTGGGTGGGCAGGTATGCCTTCTGGCCAAAGTGGGTCAAGCTGAGAACCACCAAAGGGGACATTCTGTGACAGTGGTCCCAAGTTAGTGCTTCATCTGTACCCGAGGACCCCAGTCATCAGGCATACAACATCCATGCCTCAGTGGTTGGTAAGTTTCCAGGACTCAACACCGGCACCCACAGTACACGGGCTGTGTCCCCACATCACCCCTGCAGGTGGACCCTTCATCAAAGCACACAAAGCATGAGCCCTATGCCTTGCCAAGCACAGCACCCACTCTTCCTTCCCAGTAGCACTCAGCAGAAAAGGGGTCATCACTTTGCTGTCACCACTTCCTCACCTCCCTCTCTCTTGATCCCACTCCATGACAGAGACTGCTCTCCTGGAAGCCCCTCAAAACTTCCACTTGCTGGGCATGGTGGCTCATGGCTATAATTCTAGCTATTTGGGAGGCAGACTGGGAGTATTGCAGTTTGAAGCCAGCCTGGGCAAAGTTAGAAAGTCCCCATCTCAATCAACAAGCCAAGGCATGGTGGTGTGTGCCTGTCATCCCAGTTATGAGGGAGGCAGAGGTAGGAAGATCATGATCTGAGGCTGGCTCCAAGCAAAAACATGAGACCCAGTCTGAAAAACAAAGCAAAAAAGAGCTGGAGGCACCGCTAAAGCGGCAGAGCACCTGCCTAGCAAGCACAAGGCCTTGAGTTCAAACCCCAGTACTTCCAAAAACAAAAATCCCTTCCACCTTGGTAAGTCTAGAGTTCTGCTTCTCAAATTTCTTCCCCAAACTCTCTGTAGCTTTCAATCCCATCTCTTCCTGAAATCACTGCTTCTTCCTGGCTTCCTCCAGCCTTCTTAGCCCCCTTTACTAACCACCTTTCCTAGCCTCTTCTCTCTCTCTCTCTCTCTCTCTCTCTCTCTCTCTCTCTCTCTCTCTCTCTTAGTACTGAGGTTTGAACTCAGGGCCTACACCCTGAGCCACTCCATCAGCCTCTTTTTGTGATGGGTTTTTTGAAGATAAGTTCTCATGAACTATTTGCCTGGGCTGACTTCAAACTGACATCCTCCTGATCTCTGCCTCCTGAGTAGCTAGGATTACATGCGTGAGCCACCAGCCCCCTAGCCTTTTCTCTACCACTCTTGGATGACAGGAGGGTCACTCACCCCTGGCTGAAATGAGAGCTACAGTCTGCTAAGTAGTCTTGGCTTCCTCCCCTTCCCTCTACAGCCCCTTCTCCACATAGCAGCCCAATGATCTGTTAACACATGAGTCAAATTGCATCCCTCTCTAATGAAAACCCTCCATAGCTCCAAGCTTACTTGCCATGAACTCCAGGCCTGGAAGTGGCCAATATGCCTGGTACCTCTCAGCCCTCACCTTCTTCCTTCTCTCCATCACTAGACTTCATCCTAGCCACCTCAATACACAATCCTGCTTCGTGATCCGTCCCCTACCACCTCTCCCACCTGGGCCACTCTTCCTCCACAAGTCTACGTGGCTCATCCTGACATCTGTATCTTTGCTTAAATGTCATCTCTCATTAAAGCCTTCCTTGACCACTCCTTCCTCAACAACCTTTCCTGCTTTATTTTCTCTCTAGAACATACACTTGGTGACAGTAGGGACTACACAAGGAAAAGTGTCAATAATTCCAAAGTTGTTTCTCCACTTCAGTCCCTTGTCAGCCTCTCCATCCTATCCCATCCAGTGGCCCATCTCTCAATCCCTATGACATCCCCACTTAGGTGTCACAGGTCCCTGGACCAGCAAGGGGAAAAATGGTGCTGGTGGAGGAAAAGGTAGAAAGCACTTGAGGACATCCAAAATGTCCTCAATGGCAGAAAGTAGAAGCAGAAAAGGGTGGATGGAGGAGGGGCTGGACAGATGTACAGAGCTCAAATTAAGCAGGATCCTAAGGGCCAAGTTCAGAATCTTACCCCTCCAAATCCATTCTTCCATTCTGGCTAGATGACTGTCTCTACCCAGTGCCCTTTCCTCAAACCTCTGTGGTCTACACCTCACCCTCTCTTGCAGCTAATGGATTGCTTCACTTCTCACCAAGAAAATAATTTAAGGCCAGGTGTGGTGGTACATGCCAATAATCCCAGCTACACAGGTGGAGATGGAGGATCAAGGTTTGCGACCAGCTTGGGGAAAAAAGTTAGTGAAAGCCTATCTCAAAAAACAATCCAGGTGCAAGGCTCATGCCTGTAATCCTAACTACTCAGGAGGTAGAGATCAGAAGGATCGAGATTCAAGGCCAGCCCTGGCAAGATGAAAGTGAGACCCTATATCAAAAAATAGGAGAATGATGGAGGGGGTGAACTCAACTATGATATATTGTAAGAGCTTTTATAAATGTCACAATGTACCTCTAATTATAAAAATTGTAAAAATAATTTTTATAATTATAAAAATTATAAAAATGCCCAACACAAAAAAGGCATGGCTGAAGTAGTAGAGTCCCTGCCTAGCAAGAATGAGGCCCTGAGTTCAAGCCCCAGTACTGTAAAAAAGAAAAAAGAAAATTAAATAAAAAAACCAAGCCAGGCATAGTAGTGCATCTCTGTAATTCCAACTACAAGGGAGGCAGAGGTAGGAAGATTGAGGTTCAAGGCAAGTCCTGAACAAAAGACCTTACCTAAAAAATAAATGAAAGCAAAAAGGGATGGGGTGTGGTGCAAGTGATAGGGTGCCGACTAGCAAGCATTACACCCTGAGTTCAAACCCAGTATCACCCAGTATTATTATTATATTTTTTAATGGGAGGGAATTTCCACAAACTCCCATCATACCTTCCCAACTACTAGTACCTGCCCCATTTCCCCTTGTCTTTTGATCCTCAGGACAAAAAAAATGCATGCTCCTAGGGAATTATATGCTCCAGGTCCCATGTCCTCTCCTTCAGACACTGCTCAGTGTTGCCCTGTAGCAACTGCCCCATTTCTCTGCTCTTCTGTACCTTCAGACTCCTTGACAGATTGCCTAACCTCACTCCCCAGTTACCCATCTCCCACACTCTCCTAAACCACGTCTGTTCTGGTCTTCATTCCCAGCATGCCACTTGGAACTGCTCTTGTCCAGGCCACTTCCACACTGCTAAGTGCAATGGCTGGTTCTCAGTCTTCATTTCACTTGCCCTGTCAGCAGCCTGAGTCTCAGGATAGCTTGCTCCTCCTTCAAATGCCATTTTCACTTGCTTTTCGTGCCCCCTCATCTCCCTAGCCTCTGGACACTGTACACCCCAAGGCTCAGTGCTCAGATTCCTCTCATACTGTCCTCTGGCTTCAAAAATACTATGGGGTCTGGGGTGTAGCTCAGTGGTAGAGTACTTGCTCAGCATTTGCAAGACTCTAGGTTTGATTCACAGCACCAGAAAAAAAATTATACTCTAACTTCTCTGGCCCAGACCTCTCTTCAGGATTCTATGCTCATTTACTAAACTACTCATATATCTGTTTGACAAATCCAATGGGAATCTCATCTTCCCCTCCCAAACCTGCTTTTCCGACGGCCTTCTCCAGCTTGGTTGATGGCAATCCCAAATCCAAATGCTCAGGATGACAATCTCACATCATCCCTAACTCCTCAATTTCTCTTCTACCTCAAATCCAATCTATTGGCAAATTCTCACTGGCTTTCCACATCTGGACACCCTCCACCTATCTCTGCCAATGCTACCAAGTGGTCCCAATGACTAACATCCCTCACCTGGATTACCCCAAAAGCCTCCTCACAGGTCCTCCAACTTCTACTCCAGCTCCTACAGTCTATTGTCAATAAAGCAACCAGTGGTCATGTCAAACACATCTCTCTCTGCTCAATCCCTGCAATATGGCATTTTTCTCAAGATAAAAGCCAAAGTCTTTTCCATAGCCTACAGAGGATCCATCCCGACTCTCATTCCTTTTTGATCTCATCTGCCACTAGTCTCCTTTCTTCACTTCACTGCAGTCACATGGACCTTCTTCTTGATGCTGGAATACACCAGATTATTCCCACCTCGGGGCCTTGGCACTAGCTGTTCTGTCTGCACTGCTTGCTCCCTGGCCTTCTTCAAGCCCTGCTCAAATGCCAGCTCCTGGGGGGGGTCTTTCCTGACCACCCTATCAGAAATCACCATCCTACCCCCACCAAAGCACTGCTTACCCCCTTCACCTGCTGTATTTTTCGCCTCACACATGTCATGTGACCTGTGTAAAGTATTTCACTTTTTGCTTTGCTTATAGGCCGTCTCACTCACTAGAATGTCAGCTATGACAGGACAAGAAGTTTTCTTCACCACCCTAAGCTCCAGTGCCTAGAAAATTATCTAGATATACCACATACTCAACAAAAATGTACTGAATAAATAAACTGAATTTGTGAACAGTTGTACACCTGATTATTTTATAAAACTCAAACTCCAAACTGGCATGGTGGTGTAAGCCTAAAATGCCACGATTCCGGAGCCCGAGGCAGGAGGACCACGAGTTCAAGGCCAGCCTGGGGCTACACAGAGACACTGCCCTAGGAAAAAGAAAGAAAGCCGGCGTCAGTGGCTCATGCCTATGAACATAGCTACTTGAGAGCCTGTGATAGGCAGGATCGCAGTTCGAGCCCACCCTGGGCAGGTAGTTTTCGACACCCCATCTCTAAAATAATCAGAGCAAAATGGACTGGAGATGTTGCTCAAGCCGCTCAAGCTGTAGAGCACCTGCTTTGCAAGTGCCTGCTTTGCAAAGGCAAAGCCCTGAGTCCAAACCCCAGTCGAAAAGAAGAAACAAAAGGAGAAGGAAAAGAAGAAAACAAAACAAAACCAAAATTCCTTTCAGTGTCTTCCAAAGCTCCAGTGCCTAGTGATCTACCTACTTCCCTGCCCGTTTCTGCCACCTCCCATCCCATCTCCCTCTAGCCACACAGTGCTCTCCTTGCTTCCAGGAACGCGCCTTTGCAACGTGCCCTCTCCCTCAACCTACAGTGCTTTCTTCCCGTGCACGATCACAGGCATGGCGCCTTATGGTCAGGTACCCCTCCCGCAGTCCCGGATCGCCCCCAAGCGGAACGGTCTTCCATCTCGTACCTGCGCGCCTAGCCTACTGAGCTCCAGCTGTAAGTCCCACCGAGCGTCTGTCACTCAGTTGACCTCTGACACGTGAGCGCCCGCCCTGGAGAGCCGCATCCTTTAGCGGGAGGACAACTTCCTGCCTAGGAGCCAATCAGTGAGCCGCGTCGCGTTATAGGAGCGGGGTGGGGGGGTAGATCCCGGGCTCCGTTTCCGGTTTAGGATCAGGGTCTTGGGGAAGGGGCGGCAGGCGCCATGTCCGGCCGCGAAGGTAAGTGTGCCGGGGACTACGGGTACCTGGGAGCCGGGACGGTGAGGCGTGGGACGGGCGGCGGGGACAGGCTGAGCGTGCACATGTCGCCCACAGGTGGCAAGAAGAAGCCCCTGAAACAGCCCAAGAAGCAAGCCAAGGAGATGGATGAGGTGAGAGCGGGCGCAGAGGCGCGGGCGGCCGCGGAGGGATTGGGCTACCGGCCTGGGATGAACCTGTTCTCCCCTTTTGTAGGAAGATAAGGCTTTCAAGCAGAAACAAAAAGAGGAGCAGAAGAAACTCGAGGAGCTAAAAGCGAAAGCCGCGGGGAAGGGGCCCCTGGGTAAGTGAGGGTTGAGGAGCCACGAGGATGACCAGCCTTGCGAGCATCAGTGGGGGTTGAGGGACCAGGCAGTCTTGGACTTCCGTTTCCTTAGGGAGGTTGCTGAAATGGACACACGAAAATTTATCTCAGATTTATATTAGTTAGGTTTCTGAATATCGTCTACAGTGTGCCCCACATTTATAAGTCACTGCCTTCTTGTTACTTTTTTTTCTTACTTGACTGAACTGAAGTTTGAACTCAGGGCTTCAGTCTTGCTAGGCAGGTGCCCTTCCGCTCGAGCCACGCCTCCTTTGTTACTTACAGCGTTGCTTGACTTACAACTTCTTACTCGTTTTATCTGTAATAAATGCTTTTTGTCCTGAGTCACTTCGAGGTGTGTCTAGTCTAAAAGACAAAAGTTCAGGCTCCTTGGCATGCTACTGCTCTATGTGCTTTTCAAACCTAACTCCCCACCATCACCATTTTTTTTTTTTTTTGCCTCTTTTATGTAGAGATTCCTCTTAAGATATTTTTCAGGCCCAGCAGTCTAAAGCTTTATATGCTGCTTAAGCACTTTTACATTCACCAAACAAATGATTATTTTCTTCAGTTATCTATGCCCTTTGAGCATTGAGAGCCACACAGGGCATGATGGAGGCAAGGAGACTAGAACTGTTATTCAGGTCTTCCCAAGACCTTTTTCCCAGTGGGTTTGAACCATTATTGTTTCTCCACACAACACTGAGATTCTAGCTGTGGAAATTCTTTTTCAGAATGTCACATATCCCTTAATCTGTGATTGTACCTGGGGAGCTTAGTGAAACCTATATATATGAATTGGAATATCCTAATTTGAAAATCTAAAGTTCTCCAAAATCCAAAATATTTTGAGTGCAGCCTGATGCCAGAAATGGAAAATCTCACACCTAGCTTCATGTGATGGGTTGCAGTCAAAATGCAGATGTACTAATAATACTGTATAAAGTTTTTTTTGTTTTGTTTTTTGTTTTTTGTTTTTTTGGGGATACTGGGGCTTGAACTCAGAGCCTACACCTTGAGCCACTCCACCAGCCCTTTTAATGAAGGTGTTTTTGAGATAGGGTCTCACAGAACTATTTGCCCAGGCTGGCTTCAAACCATGATTCTCCTGATCTCTGCCTCCTGAGTAGCTAGGATCAGAGGCCTGAGCCACCGGCACCTGGCTATAAAGTTATCTTAAGGCTACGAGTATAAGGGCATGTGTAAAAATAAATTAATTTTGTGTTTAAACTTGGGTTCTAGCTGCAAGATACCTCATTATGTATATGCAAATATTTCAAAATCTGAAACACTTTGATCCCGAGCATTTCAGATAAGGGATACCCAGCTCCAGTGCTGTATGTTTTTCATTGAAGATCTTCCACCACCCCCAAACACCCCTACAGGGGTTTGATTTTAACTCACACTTGGCTTCACATTTTCAAGGCAGGACACCCTACTACCTGAGCCACACCTCCTGCCCTTTTTTTTTTTTTTTTTGTGAAGGGGTCTTGTTATGGAGCCCATGCCTCCAACTCCTGATCTGATCCTGCCTCAGCCTTCCAAGTTACCTACTGGGTGCCAAAGGCATTGTCATTTATAAATTGGGTAAATAAAGGCATTGAGTAAGCCAGACCCTAGGAACAAAATATGGAATGTAGTGTAGTGTAATGTAGCAATTAAGAGTAGGCACTTAGATGTTAAAACTACCCAGAACCTGGATTGGTGGTACATGCCTGTTAATCCTCGCACTCAGGAGGCTGAGGCAGGAAGATCATATGAGTTTGAGACCAGTCTGGGCTACATAGCAAGAACCTGTCTCAAAAACAAAACCTCACAAAAAGCAAACATCAAACTACCCAGGTTAGAATCCTGGGTCATCACACTAGCTTATTACCTTCACCATAAAGACTTCTTTTTCTGTAAAGTGGCTTGCTGTAGCAGAAAGATTAATGAGCTACTCTATGAAGTACACAGTAGTGTAGATGGAGAACAGTATACAGCAATTGCCCATGCCCCTGCCTTGACCTTGTTCTGCCTTTGCCAAGAGGGGAGGACATTGATAAAAACCACTATACAAGCTTGTGACAAAAGAGTGCCTTGCTAGGATGCACATCAAGTTCATGGAGCTTTTACCATAGAACTGTATTTTTCCCTAACTGACTCTTCCTTTTACAGCTACAGGTGGAATTAAGAAATCTGGCAAAAAGTAAACTAGTCTTGTGCCGAGATGATGGTGACCCTGATTCCATTCCTATTTAAACATCTGGATTTCCTGCCATAACATCTTTTGCCACCTATGGTCAGAATGAAGTGTTGTATTGGAATCTGTTGTACATTTAAGAATAAACAACTTTAGTTAAAAAAAAAAAAATCATAGTTCAGTGGCTTGTTGTGTCTAGTGTGTCAGCCATTTGTACCTCAGCTGTGAATTTAAAATAAACCCAGCCTAGAATCCTGCCAGTTTGCTCTTTGGTCTTTGTTGTACTCTAAATTCTTTATCACCTTGAATTAAACCAACTCATTTGAAAGCTGTCATTTTTGTGTGGATATATATATCCAACAGAGGCCTTATCTAAGGTTAGTGGAAAAATTTGTGCTTTGGAAAGAAACTTTTTTTAGGCTATTCAAGTTGCCATATGTGTTGACTGAGTTGTTCTGCTCATAAAAAAAAAGTCTATGCATACACTGGAGCATGTATCAGTTAACAGCTTGTTTTATTAAGGAGCTTCTCTATTGTGGCAGGGGCACATATATGTGACATGTACTATGAAGGGGGAAAAAAATGGGGAGAGACTGAAAGTCTCTGAGAACCAGGCTGCTTCAAAAGCTCTTGGGACTGCATGTCCACTATGGCTTCAGAAAGGCCCTTCCTGGGTTCCTTTGCCTTATACCCCACATTTAGTCCATCACCAAAATAAAGTCTGGCCTCTCCATATTCCCTCCAATAACATCCTCCCATTCTAACTAACTTATCTGGATTATTGCAGTCACCTCCATATTTTTCTTCCTGCCTCCACCCTTGTTCCACTGCTATATAATCTTTTTTTTTTTTTGGCGGTACTGGGGCTTGAACTCAGAGCCTACACCTTGAGTCACTCCACCAGCCCTTTTTGTAAAGGGTTTGTTCAAGAGTCTCATGAACTATTCTGGGCTGGCTTCAAACCGCCATCCATGAGGCTTCTCTCCTCTTTGCCAAGAGAAATCTTACTTGGCACTCCGTGTTGAATTCTTGGCTGAGTAACCCCTGTACCAGCCTCTTACCCTTTTTTCTTGCTAATTCCCACTCAACCTGTAGGACAACCCAGGAGCCGCTTTCAGGTGGCCGCCTTTGACCTCTTGAGCCTTATTTACCTCTACACAACCAGCTCTTGGGGGGAGGTGGGGACAGTCCTGCCCTCTCAGAGAAATAAATGAGCTAATAGTCCGTGCAGTTCCCCTCCTACACAGGCACTTCATTCTCAAGATCACTCTCATTGGACCCTTCTTCCCCAGACCGATCTCAAGTGCACATATTTGAAACATTCACTATCTGGAAGATGCCTGTTCACAACAGCTCCATTCATACTCCTCCCACAAACCCGCTTTTCCAACTTTTTCCCTAAGGGTCTCCAGACTTGAGATAGGTCTGTTGGGGAGACACTGAGGTCGCGGAGCCTAGACTCCTGAATGCCTCTCCCTGGATTTATGAGCACACATGTGAATGCCAAGGCAAATACTCCGCGGCTCGGCTCTCCACGCAGGGCCAGAAAAAGAGTGCACAGTCGCTGGCGCTCCTCGGACCCGCTCCCGGGGGAGTCCGAGTCCGGGCGGGCAGAAGACCTAGGCAATCCCGCCAGGCCGCTAGCACTGGACGCCGGACGGGGCGGAGCAAAGGTAGCTGGGCGTGGCAGCGCGCACCGATTAACGTCATTAGGCTGCGACCGCCAACTAGCAGCTGATTGGCCTGTGGGGTTGGGGACCAGGCACTGGATGCTGAGGCGAGCGACGGCGCGCGGGCGGTTGATCCTGCTCCTGCCTCGCGCTTACAACTAGGGCTCCACTTACACCGACGCTTGGGGCCGAAGGGAGGCATGGCCGGGATTTCCGCGCCGGGCAGCAGGAGGCGGAGCGGACCCCCGTCACCTCTCCCTGGCCCGCCGCCCGGCACCGGGTACCCTACGAGCAAACGGGCCCGGGGCTTCCCCGCAGCCTCTGCCCCGGACCCCGAAGACCCGTTCGGCGCGCATGGGGAATTCACCGCCGATGACCTGGAGGAACTCGACATCCTGGCGTCACAGGCCCTGGGCCAATGCCCGGCCGCGGCTCGAGACCTGTCCTGTGAGTGCTTGTGGGGGCCTTTTTCCCCGCTAGTAGTGCAGACTTCACCATTCCTGAGGGTGGTGGCTTCGGAACGCCGCGGCGAGCGCGGTCTTGCGAGTGTCTTGCACCGACGCTGCGTTTTCTCTCTCTCTTTTTTTTTATATGGAAACACTGATTTAAGCAGCGATTGTGCTTCATAAGGTCCTTTGATTTGGAGGGAAAACCCGGAATGTCAAAGAGCCGATTTGAAATATAGACATAAATTAACATATAACTTTATTTTCTGAAGTTTAGACCACTCGGGTTTTGGTTCTGAGCAGAGATTCTTTGAACACGACTACCTCTACTTGAATCATTACTATCCATGTAATAATCTTTAGATCTTACGAAGCCCACTGTTTGCCTTGGGCAGCATGGGCATCGGAGGGGTATAGCAGAAGCAAGGGATGAAAAGATTTATTCTTTTAATCTATGATAGGTGCTAAAGTTTAGGAAGTGCAGCAGACCTGACAGTGAACAAAATACAAAAATTCTTTCCTTATAGAACTTACAGAATTTGTTGTTGGGGAATGAGTGAACTCTTGTGGCTGCCAGAAAGAAAGGTTTTAAGGTCTCTTTGCATCTGTACTTGACAGTTAAGGCATCTTAAATACAACATGATCATTTCCTGGAAACCCAGTCCTCCAACATCTCCAGCACCGTGCCTGGCAAGTCAGACACTCAGAAAGCACTCAATGACCAGATATTACATATGACAGCACTACTCTAGCCATGGCACAGGGCAACTCCTCCCCTTTCTTTGCACCTATGTCATTTGTCATCTACTTTGTCTTAAACCATCTCTGGAATCTCTCTCTCTCTCTCTCTCTCTCTCTCTCTCTCTCTCTCTCTCTGTAACTGTATCCATTTTGTTCATCATTGTATCCTTACAGACTAGAAAACACCACATCTGGCATATGTAGGTGCTCAGTAAATACCATTGAACAGTAGATCCCAGTGATGGCCAGTGGGATCTCACAAACCCCTCAGCCTTTAGATGAGATGCTTGAAATTGGGTGAGGAGTAGAGAGAAGATGCTGGGATCTGTTATTTCATAAGGATCATTTATAAATTTGCATCATCTTAGGTTGGAAAAGACTAAAACACATTGCTAGATCTTTCCCTACTTTGCTTTCAAGAGTGAGTTTTTATTTTCTGGTGAAAGTGAAGAAATGTTGCGATGTTGCATCCTGAAACTCCTTCAAATTTTTTTTGAGACAGGGTCTAGATATATAGCCAGGCTGGCCTTGAACTCAAGTTCATTCTGCCTCTGCCTTCCCGAATGCTGGGGATAGGTGTGCACCACCACATCTGGATTATGGGACTTTTTTTTTTAAACAGGTGTTCATAAGATCCGCAGATTAGATGGGATATCAAAAAATCCTGCAGGGAAAAACAGAGAAAATGCTCCAGTTAAAGATAATTTTGAATTAGAGGTACTTCAGACACAATACAAAGAACTTAAAGAAAAGGTAAGTGACTTAACTTGTGGGGTTTCCTCACTTGTTATTTGTTTGTTTTTGCTGCTGAGGATAGAACCCAGGGCCTTGCACATGCTAAACATAACACTACCACTGAGCTATATTCCTAGCCCTAATGTGGCTTTTTTAGCTAATTCATTCGTTTATGTGTTAGAAAGCATTGTAAAACATATAAAGGTTTTTAGTTTGGCGCCAGTGGCTCATGCCTGTAATCCTAGCTACTCAGGAGGCCAAGATCAGGAGGTTGGCAGTTCAAAGCCAGCCTGGGCAAATAGTTCATGAACCCTTTTTTGTGTTGGGTATTTCAAGATAGATCTTGTGATCTATTTGCCTGGGTTGGCCTCAAACTTCAATCTCAGTCCACCTGAGTAGCCAGGATTATAGGTGTGAGCCACTGGTGCCTACTGTGTTGGTTATTTTTGAGATAGGGTCTTGCTTTATGCCCAGATCATCCTGAACTGTGATCCTCCTGTTTGTCCTTCCTGGTGTACCTGGGATAACAGGTGTGTACCAACCATGCCAACTGTTGGTTGAGATGAGGTCTCACAAACTTTTTATCTGAGCTGGCCTCAAATCCATCCTCCTTATATCTGCCTCCCAAGTAGCTAGGATTACAGGCTTGAATCACCTCACCCAGCCACTGTTTCATTAGTTTTACAGGAAAGCAGACATTTTTTATATGGCCATCTGTAGGTCTCTAAGAAAACCAGCAATATAATGTGGAATCTTAGTTCTGTGAAGTGTGTGACCCAGATTATTAAATGCCTGTTAGCACCTAAAGAATCTGTATGTGTGAGTGACAAGTATATCCTTAAACTATCCTGTTGAATATTGGCTGTTGATTTGGAATTTACAGCTGAAGGCAATGGAAGAAGAAGTCCTCATTAAGAATGGAGAAATTAAAATTTTGCGGGACTCACTGCATCAGACAGAATCTGTTCTAGAAGAACAAAGAAGATCACATTTCCTTCTTGAGCAAGAGAAAATCCAAGCACTCAATGACAAAGAAAAGGAGTTCTCCAAAAAGGTTACCCAGAGCATTTGTTTTGTATGTTAATGATAGTAGTTTTTCTCACTGAATTTCTTTAGAAGAGGTAACCTATATATATTGCCTTGTAAATCTTCCTGGGAGGTTTTAATAGTTGTTTGTCTTAAATACTTTTCACTCTTAGCATCTTTCTTTCAGGACCTGCATATGGTTTGGAAAAGGACCTAGATAAAACTCTATTTTCCTGTGGTAGTTAGTCTTGGCAGGAATAACTCATTAGCTTAGAATTTCTAGAAACAGGCTTAAATTCGGGCTCTTTCTGTAGTTCAGAAACTCAGTTGACCTAGGTTAGGCCAAAAGAAATGTATTGACTTCCGTATCCAAGTCAGGGAAGATGAGTGTGCGGGAGCCTCAAATAACTTAAACTTCACCAGGACAGATTTTGATTGTCTGTGTTGTAGACAGGCTCCATCCTGATGGCAGAGGATGTGTTTCCTAGAAGCTCCTAGGCTCATACTCATATTTAATAACTCCAGAGCACAGTTAAGACTTGGATTCCTTCATCTTAAGTTTTAAAATTTTGAGGAAGGCTCTGATTGGTCACACTTGAGTCAGGTGCCTGTCCCTGAATCAGTGTTGTAACCAAAGAGATGATGGCTCTCATGTGAATCACATGGTCAGAGGTAGAGAAATGATTGTTCCTCAAGAAAAGGTAGATTCTGTTCTAGGAAGAAAAATAGTATGTGAGTATGTGTCCAGTTCCTACTACCATTTTCCTTCAGCACTTCCCGAGGCTTCAATCTTTTATTTATTTATTTTTTTTTTTTTGGGTGGGACTGGGGTTTAAACTCAGGAGTTTGTGCTTGCAAAGCAAGTGCTCTAATGCTTGATCCACAACTCCAGTCTATTTTGCTCTGGTTATTTTGGAGATGGGGTCTTGCAAACCATTTGCCTGAGCAAGTTGACTTTCTGAGTAAGTGATGAAGAGCAAGGAATTTGCGGTCAGCCAAACCAGAATTTTAATCCAGGCTTCATTACAAGTGGTGACCTAACGCTAATGACTTTAAATTTCATGACTCACTTCTCTTACCTATTCCAGGAAATAACCAGAAAGGTTGTTGGGAGACCCACACATTCTTGCACTTAACTGTTACAGGGAAGTGATGGGGAAGGTGGCAGTTACTGGTCAGCTGCAGGGTCCAGAGCAATAGTCTCCCTGTATAAATGTACAGGATTTTGGTAAAACTTTCAAATACTCTGCCCAGACTTTCAAGACGTGAGATTGAGTATCACCAAGTTGATTAAAAGCTCAACTGCCAGGTGTGGTGGGGCACGCCTCTAATTCCAGCTACTCAGGAGGATTGAGAGATCAAGGCCAGCCTAGGCTACATAGCAAGACTATCTCAAAAAAAAAAAAAAAAAAAAAAAAACAATTGAAGATGTTACTGCTGAGATACGGCACTTACCAAACTCTGTGTCAGGTGTTTTATGTTCATTCTACTTAATCCTCCCAAGTATGATGAAAACAAGTGCTTATGTTACAGATTCAAAGAAGTTAAGCAAATGTTAGGGTTGATATTTGAACCCTCACAAACTGCCTTCATAATAGTTAGAGTCAAATACTTTTCTAGAACACCATGCTGTCTTTCAGGAAGAAGGCTAACATTTGATATTTTAGGACATTGATATCACAGCAGACTTACATGTATTTTTCATTGCTTTTCCTTTATTAGCTTGGGAATTTTGAAGCCAAGAGATATTTTATGTTTCTTTTCCTTTCCAGCTCCAATCACTGCAGTCCGAACTCCAGTTTAAAGATGCAGAAATGAATGAGTTAAGGACAAAACTTCAGAGCAGTGAGCGAGCAAATAAACTAGCTGCTCCCTCCATTTCCCACGTCAGGTAAGGATGGTGCTGGAGGGATAGTTCAGTTTTGAATTGTCTAGTAAAAAGTCTATGTAACACTGATGGACTAACCCTAAATGAAGGACATTTGAACTCTTCAACCTTCAGTCTTTCATGAAGGATTCTAAGGTGCTTTGGATGAGGCTGAGTAGTTGAGACATCGTAGCATAAAGGTTCTTATTCTCAAAGTGCTTCTCCTGAGTGGGACATTATATAAACACAATTGTTCAAGATTAGAAAAAGCTGGAAAGATAATCACCAAATTTTGGGGATAGAGCAGCCTTCGTTTTTTATATAATTTGTTTAACATAGTAGATTTTTTAACCCCAAGCATGACTGAATTTCAGTCCTACTACTTAAAATATTTTTGCTCATTTACTGTCCTAGGACCTTTGTCTAATAGTGCCTCCTTTGCTACCAGATGAGCTCAGCCCTTTGCCTACCATAGCAGTCTGGCACTGTCAGTAGCAGTCTTGAAATTTGAACTCTGTCAGTCAGGCATTTTCTGGTATGGAACATTCTACTGCCTTTGCTCATATTAGGCAGGGTGTGAATTGAACTCTCCTTGACTTTCATACTCTAGGAAAGACAGGAAAGCTGAGGGAGTCCATCCTCATCTCTTCACACATCAGTGACAGAAAGGCCCTGGTGATGTATGATCAGATCACAGAGCTAAGACTGCTTGCAAAGACATCAGCACTGAGGAGCTTGCTCAGCTTTCAACAAACTTTGCTTTCTTCTTGCCATACTGGGATTGAATGCAAGGCTTCATGCATGTGTTCTACCATTTCAGCAATGCACACAGCCCCTCGACACACTTTTTCTTTCTTTCTGTTTCTTTCTTTCTTTCTTTCTTTCTCTCTCTTTCTTTCTTTCACTTAGAAACAGTCTTTTATATAAAAATTAAGGTTGTTCCAAATTGAAAAGACTTGTGTGTATGGAATTAAAAATGGTAAATAAGTAGTGACCAATATTTTTGAGTGGTTAAAAGAATGTGGAAATAAATGAAGTACTTTTTCAATAATTTGAATCAAAATGCTTTGAATTTTATACTGCTGTCCTGGACAAAGAATGACATAGGTAATAGATGAAATCTTTGGTCAAAACACTAGACATGAAAATATTAAATTTTGTTAGAAGTTTTATAAGTGGGTATTTTAAGTGGTTTTAGCAGAATCATTACTTTGTTTTCATAGTTAACTTTTTCCAGTCCTAGGAAAAACCCTTCTGTGATTATAAAACCAGAAGCTTGTTCTCCACTATTTGGAAAAACATCTTTCCCTACAAAGGAGTCTTTTAGTGCTAACATGTCCCTTCCCCACCCCTGCCAGCCAGAGCCAGGATACAAGTCTCTGGTGGGCAGAGAGGGTAAGTCAACTATTAGTCATTTATTGCTGTATAACAGAGTACCCAAATTTGTGCCTTAAAACAATAGTACTTATTTATTTTCTCCCAATTTCTATGGGTCAGCAATTATGACAGGTCACAGTGGGGACAGTTTACCTTTGCAGGAACTGAGATCACTGAAACCTTGTTGAGGTGGAGGATCTGTTTCCAGGTGGCTCATTTACATGGCTGACAACATAATTCCTCTAGGAGAGACTATCTAGCATTAGTAGTTTTCACTCCGAGACTGTTAATGCCAGTTTATCTTATAATTCAGATATATTAACTCTCTTCCCATCATCAGCCTTTTCAAATTTACTGGCCATCACACCACTTCTGAGAAACTGCAGTCATGTTTTTGATGTTGAGCACTAAAGGGGACACTGCAGAGTAGTGTTAAAAGCAGGCAATAGAGACCAGCAGCCTGGATGTGGGTTCCGTCCACACTACTTACTAGCTTATCTGATTTGGGCAAGTTCCTTACCCTCTGTGCCTCAGTTTCCCTACATGCAAAACAGAACTAATGCCAGGCCAGGGCTCACACTTGTAATACTAGCTACTCAGGAGGCAGAGATCAGGAGAATTGCAGTTCGAAGCCAGCCTGGGCAAAACAGTTCATGAGACCTTATCTTGAAAAAAAAAAAAATCCTTCAAAAAAAAGGGCTGGTGGAGTGACTTAAGGTGTAGGCCCTGAGTTCAAGCCCCAGTACCACAAAAACAAAAGAAAAAACAGAACTGATGATAACTCCTAAGAGGATCTCTGTAAGGAACAAATGAACTCATTTGTAAAAACTCTTGGAACAGTGTCTGACCCCTACTAAGCTATGTAGAAGTGTTAATGGTTACTGTTTTCATTTTACTGCTTGATTTGAAGTGAGGCAAACAGCTTAATTTTCTCTCTCCCTGCCCCCAACCTTGTGCCCTTGTGTAAATATCTGTTTTACATGAATAAGACAAAAGATGTGAGTAATCTTAAGCTGCCTTGGCTCTAGTTTTGATCCAGTGTTGAAGAAGTAGAACAATCTGTGTTTTAAACTCATTACATGGAAGACTTTCTGATGTGCTTGTGCTTTTGTTGTCACCTTTTGATTTACATTTTATCTAGTTTCAGATAATAAGACCCACATTCTGAGAGGTAACCCCATAAAGCAAGAAGTACAGCAGAGAAATCTTGCTGACAGCTGGATGCAGAGATCAAACACTCAAGGTACCAGAATCCCTGCTTTTACAGCAGGGGCCTGCATGGCTCCCATTGTAGGCTCTAATGGGCAGAATTGCTTGGGGAACTGTCTGAGGCTCTTAAGAACTCCTGTCCCAGGCTGTCCTTCAGAGAATCCAGGTAAGTAGGAGCCCATGACTTAGGTAGAAGACTTTATAAAATGGAAAGGGCAAGCCATCATGGTGGCATGCACCAATAGTTCCAGCTACTTGGGACTAAGATGGGAGAATCACTTGAGCCCAGGAGTTGGAGGCCAACATGGGCAATGTAGTTTGTCCCCATCTCTAAAGAAGAAAAAGGAAAGGCTCAAGAACAAGTATGTTCTTCTGCAACTACAGGCATCTTAAGAGGGTTTAGTAGCAGCTTAGAGGACAGTTGACATCCAGAGATCCTTCATCTTTTCCCTCTGAGGCTGTAGAAAAGGTCTCCCTTAGCTGGGCCTGGTGGTGCATGGCCTACATTGTAAGTTCAAGGTCAGCCAGGGCAAGACCCTGAATGAGGGAAAAAAAAAAAAAGGTTTCTCAGAACCTTCTAGAGTCACCTTGTCTTCTGCAGGTTCCATCTTGATAAACCTGCTCCTGAAGCAACCTTTGGTCCCAGGGTCATCCTTAGGTCTTTGCCACCTCCTGAGCAGTTGTTCTGAGGCTCCTGCTGGCACCTTTTTGCAGCCACCAGGACTTGGCAGGTAAGCGGTAGACTTGAAAAGCTTGTTTGGGAAGGAGTTTCCAAGAAGCAAGTCCTTTTCTGACCCTAACCAGCTTGGGAGTTCAATGGGATATGCATGGAAAATGGGGCCCTTGACCTTACCTATTTTCTTTTGTTTGTTGCCAGTACCTTGTCTGGGATTTCAGGCCTCAGGACCACAGGTTCTCATGGTGGGTCTTTTTCCCCCTCTGCCCTGAGAGAAGCACAGAACCTGGCATTCACTGGACTGAATCTGGTTGCCAGGAATGAAGGCTCACATGACGAAGACCCTGCAGAGGGAGGCAGAAGAGCCTTTCCGCTCTGTCAGCTTCCTGGAGCCATGTACCTCCTTCCCCTTGTACAGTTCTTCATCGGCTTACACTGCCAGGCTCTGCAGGATTTGGCAGCAGCCAAGAGGAGTGGAGCACCCGGAGACTCTCCGACACATACCTCCCGTGGGAGCTCTGGGGTAGAGGCCAGCCCCGAGGACTCAATTTGCAACCTCGAAGCCTTCTGTGTGGCTTCACTTAGCATCCTTCAGCACCTGGTGTGCCACAGTGAAGCAGTAGTCTGCCAGTTACTGTCAGGAGTGGGGGCGGATTCTGCTGCTGGGGAAGGAAATGAGAGCCTGGCTCACAGACAGAGTTGTGCAGATATGATCTCAGCTCCTAGGGGGCTTGCCGACCACCAAGGTCAGCATCCACTGTTGAAGATGCTTCTTCACCTATTGACATTCTCCTCTGCAGCAACAGGTCACTTTCAAGCCAGTGTCCTGAGCAAATGTCTCAAGGTTTTGGTGAAATTAGCTGAAAACACTTCCTCTGATTTCTTGCCCAGGTATAAAGAACATGGGAGGCATGATTGTGTGTGGGTCTTCCCTGACCTCTTGAGATCTAACCTGTGACTCTTGTGTTTTGCTCACACGTTGACTTATCTCCACTACTTAGTCTAAAGCTTGGTTCAGGGAATTAGGAAGTGATATGAAGTGGGGCCAGGTGTTGGGAGAAGCAAGAAAGTAGTTTGTTTGGTTTAATTTTGCCTCTGAATGGCAGGTAAACAAGAGATAAACATGATAAAGGAGGCTAAGAGGCCTTTGAACCTTACATGTTGATCAGGTGAAGGCCAAGTGCACTACATTTAGATTGGATAGAATTCCCTAAGGAAGTAGAGGGTGGAGGGAGTATCTGCAACTATAGGCTGACCTTGCTGGGAGGGAGACTGCCTGTCATCATTGTGCCCATGTCTAGCATGAGCCACAGGTTACTTGCTCCTCTTCAGGCTTGTTGGAAGTGATAGTACAGTAAACCTAACTCACAAACACAGTTGGCATAAATTCCTAATTTGGGAAGCCAAAGCCACAAGAGTAAAATGGAGAGAAACTATAATTACCACCCAGTCTACCCCTCAGCTGGACATCCAGTCCCTGTCTCAGCTCTCTTCCTGGAGGCCAGTCATGTTGGAATGACTCAAGTGCCTGGATGTATCTTATGTCTTTTCATTTCCAAGCTTAGCATCCCTGATTCCTAAAAACACTTCTAGGTCCAGGTTTTCTGGCTGGTCTTGTCCATCCTAAAGTGGTGCTCAGTTGGACACAGCACAGCACTGCAGTGTGGGCAAGCATGTGGGCTACAGAACCATCACTCCAGGGACCCAGCTTACAGTGACTGCTTGCTTGTTTCATATTTGATAAGTGAATGGTTCCCAGAAGCCATGTTTTTACCAATTCTCTTGGTAGACACACCTCATTCCATTCCTGTTGAGCTGATGCACAGGAGTATTTAGAACACAGGTATTTAATGGGTGCTTACTGCAGGCCAAACACACTTGCCTTCCATTCATTACTTATTTGACACTTATAGCCCTACATCTCCACCTCACACAAAAGCTGACTCTAAAGTGCTCAATTTATTGAGTCAGGAAAAATTTTATGAAAATCCCATAGGGAGCATGCTTGGGTCAATTCCAAGCCAGTTAGTTTTCTGAGCCATCACCCCATCGTTATCACACACATCTCCCACTCAGTGCTTCTCTTCAGAATCCCTCATGGTTACATGCTCAAGCTGAACCCCACTACCACACAGCTTCCTCTTTACCTTGCACAGAAAGCCAGGGCAGGGGTGCTACCAGGGCTCTAAAGCAGGGTTTTAGTGGACTAGAGGCTACTGGCAGGCCAATAAGGAGACCAGTTAACAACCAGGTGAAATTCCAGTTTCCCACAATGCTCCACAACTAAAGACTATGCAACTTGTCTACCTGTAGGATGTGCTGTAAATTGAGTTCTCCCCAAATAGTGAGACCTCGCTTCCTAATAACACGAGTGAGTTCTCACTCTTCGTGCTTTGCTGAAATGCTGCAGATACATGAAGGTATACACAGAATAGGGCCCTGAGAATGTCTTAGTCCTCTCCCCACCCACCAGGCCACTTCTCCCTCATGCTCCTGTAGGTCTTGTGAATGGAGCAAACTGAGTCCATGGGGCCTGGCTTCTTAGTTATAGCCATCCTTTTGCCCCTGAGACCTAGGGGAGAGTTACCCAGAGCCCCTCACTCATGTACACTCCATAATGGGCACCTTTTCATGCTGGCAGCAGAAGAGACCAGTATTTTCTGTCAAGTGGAGGAGATAGTCCTCCTTGCTCTGAGTGGTCTCATAAGATGTAGTCATAGCCAAGTCCATGTTTGTCACTTCTAGAGCCCTGGCTAATCCTGAGGTAGTAGTCAAAGGGGACTTCTCTCATATGACCTGCATGTCTGCTTAGAAACCAGACATCCCAGGTCCAGGACTCCTCTTCCATCTACTTGGTGACAGTACCAGTTGAGGATCTGTTATCTTTGAGCCACAGCAGTTCTGCAGTGAAGGTTAGCACCCACTCATTCACATGACAGCTTCATCGCAAGTAGGCAGTGGTCAGGCCAGTGTGTGAACTGTGTGTCTGGCTAAAGCACATCTCTTTTTGGGGAGTGTCATGTCTCTCTGGGCTCGTCTTGCAGGTTGCAGTGTGTGTTGCCAGTGCTGTCACAGTGCCTCAGCTCAGAGACACCACTGCCATGTGTGCTGCTGGCTGTTGAGCTACTCTCCCTGCTGGTGGACCACGACATCCTTGCACAACAGCTGTGTTCCCATTCTGGTAAAGAAGGCTGGGGCAGGCTTGTCTCTGCTCCTGCAGAGGGAGGGCAGGGCTGGGGCAGGGACAGGTTCAGAGCCTCCAGAGGGCTTCTGCAGCTTGTACCCCAGGTTGCAGGTGAGAAGGGGGACTCTGAGTGAGAGGAGGGCATCCTTTTCAGAAGGCTGTCTCCTCCTGCTGCTGTACATGTACATCACATCAAGGCCTGACAAAGTGGCCTCGGAGACACAGTGGCTTCAGCTGGAACAAGAGGTAAAAACTGGAGACCCTTCTAGAGACTGCTCACCACCTCACCCCTTGAGAGCTGAGTCTCCTTTCTTCCTGTCTGGGAAGAGCAGGGCCTATAATTCATTTTGTTAATAAGAGTTTATCAAACAGCTGCAGAGGTAAAAGTTTGGGGGCTCCCCATGATATGCAATACAGGTGGACCCCAGGTTGTCGTGGGACTCAACAGAGTTGCCTGATACCCAGTCCTACTTTGACTTTGGGGCCTGGTGGTTGGAAGGCAGGTGAAGGTGGGTTGTTGGTGAGACTCTGGTCCTGATCCTGAATCTCATAACACCACTTCTTGTATCCTACTTGTACAGACAAGCAGTTGCTAAAGCAGAACTCTGTAGGAAACACCTGTAAAAGCCCTTGCGGTGATGGGGGTCTCATTCTGCTGGGGATAGAACTCAGTCTGTTCTCCTTCCAGGTGGTGTGGCTCCTAGCCAAACTGGGTGTACAGAGCCCTTCCCCCCCAGTCACTGGCTCTGACTGCCAGTGCAATGTGGAGGTGAGTGGCCATGGGCCAACCTTGTGGCAGCTCTGTTGGGGGACAAGGGGCTCTGGGCAAAGACCCCATCCTGAACCTGGCCCCCTAGCCAGGTCAGTTAGAACAGAGTGTTAGGGCACAAAGTGTTAGTCCATGTCTTCTTTTGCTCTAGGTGGTCAGAGCTCTCACAGTGATGCTGCATAGACAGTGGCTGACTGTGCGGAGGACAGGAGGTGCCCCAAGGACTGACCAGCAGAAGCGGACAGTACGCTGTCTCCGGGACACAGTTCTGCTGCTGCACAGCCTGTCCCAGAAGGACAAGCTGTTTTCTGTGCACTGCGTGGAGGTCCTGCATCAGTATGACCAGGTGATGCCAGGGGTCAGCATGCTGATTCGAGCGCTCCCTGATGTGACTGATTGTGAAGGTGAGCAGCGAGCATACCTTTCCTGCCCCAGCCCACATGTGGGCTTTACCTGAAGCTCACAAACCAAGTCAGACTCCTTGGCTTGACTTCAGCAAGCCTACTCCTGCCACCTCAGCCTTTTCTGGCACTGGAGACACTGTCTTCCTGCTCTGCTTCTGCTCTGAGTATACTGGGCTGCCCTTTACTCATATCTGTTGAGTTAGCCTGGCAGAGCCATGGGTTTTCCAGAAATCTCTGGGTCTGAATTGCCTTTGTATCACTTTGCTCACAGTAGCTGAGGGAGCAAGGCCTGGACATGGAAGGGACTCGTTTGTTCCTGTGGGTGCTGGGTGGGATGAGGAGAGGTGGGACCTCCCCCAGGGCCCAGCACCTTCCAGCCTTCACCATAGAATCCTTTTCCTTTTGGCTCAGAGGCAGCTCTGGATGACCTCTGTGCCACAGAGACAGACATGGAGGACCCTGAGATGGATTGTGGCTGAGGCAGTGAGCATCCAGCCACACGGTGGCACCAGCACCACTGCTTTCCTCACCATGTACACTGATTAAAAGCAATGATCAGCAGTTCCTGCTGAGAACCAGCCTTGTTTCCTGAGTCTGCTCTTGTTTGGCTGAGTGGGAGGGATGGGGACCCACAGAGGCTGGCCACCGAGTCTTCTTCCCCGCCCTCCCCCCAGCCCCCAGCTTGGAGCAAGCGCAGACTCGGTCCCCATGGTAACTGATCTGCCTTGGGGAAAGCCCTGCCCTGCTTCTGGAATTATCCTGAGTCATAGCTTTGGTTTGGGGCCATGGGAAGAAACCATTGTGTGGCAGGGAAGGAGGCAGCCCTCGGCTCAGCCCTAAACCAGAAAGGCCTGGGAAAGGGTCAAATTCTATGCTATTGCAAGGGCTAGCAGCTGCTCCTGGGATCTGGAGTTAGCTTCACACCTGGAGACAGCCCGGCACCAGTCCTCCTACTGGGCTCTTGTGTGAGCCAGCACCAGTCCTCCTACTGGGCTCTTGTGTGAGCCAGCCAGGCCCACGCTGAATCTGAGAAGGCCTTTGGGGAGTGTGAAGAGGGAGAGGCTTTGGAGAAAGAGGGGCAGCCTGGGTAGGCCTACGAGCAGGGCGGGCCTTGTCCACAGGGTAGGCCAGTGGGCGGGCCCAGGCAGTTTCACTTCCCGCGGGACCAGAAGAGAGTGCGCCTGGCCCAAGTCCTTGCTGCCGGTAAGTGTGGACCCCTGAGAAGATGGGGCAGGGCAGAAAGGCCAGGGTTTCCCTGACCCTGGACTAGGTGGGCACTAAGGGAAGGCCCAAACCCAAGGGAGGACGAGGGAACTTTCCCCCCATGTGGAGAGTAGAGTGTGTTCGTCCCACTAAGGAAACCACCCCAACCTCTAGCTTCCTTCCCTGAAACTCTGGGCCAGTGCCTGACTGTAGAGAAGGCCTGAGATGTGTTGCCCACCTCCCTCCCCACCCTCACCAGCCCTGGCTCCTGCCTACTTCAGATCTTTCCACTGGCACTCACATGCCCCCCCCACCCATGCTCCTTCCCAGGCTCATCATGGCCCCTGGTCCCATGCAGACCCTCATCTTCTTGGACCTGGAAGCCACTGGCCTGCCCTTCTCCCAGCCCAAGGTTACAGAGCTGTGCCTGCTGGCTGTTCACAGACATGCCCTGGAGAGCACCTCTACCTCTGGAGGGCATCCACCCACAGTACCCCCACCACCCCGTGTGGTGGACAAGCTCTCCCTTTGTGTGGCTCCGGGGAAGGCCTGTAGCCCTGCAGCCAGTGAGATCACAGGTCTGAGCACAGCTGAGCTGGCAGCACATGCACGTCAATACTTCGATGTCAACCTGGCTAACTTGCTCCTAGCCTTCCTTCAGCGCCAGCCACAGCCCTGGTGCCTTGTGGCACACAATGGTGACCGCTATGACTTCCCCCTGCTCCAAACAGAGCTGGCTATGCTGGGCCTTGCCAGTGCTCTAGACAGTGCCTTCTGTGTGGATAGCATTGCTGCCCTGAAGGCCTTGGAACGAGCTAGCAGCCCCTCAGAGCATGGCCCAAGGAAGAGCTACAGCCTGGGTAGCATCTACACCCGTCTGTATGGGCAGGCCCCAGTGGACTCTCACACAGCGGAGGGCGATGTGCTAGCCCTGCTCAGCATCTGTCAGTGGAGGCCACAGGCCCTGCTGCGGTGGGTGGATGCTCATGCCAGGCCCTTCAGCACTGTCAAGCCAATGTATGAGGTCACAGCCTCTGCTGGGACCAACCCAAGACCTGCTATCGCAGCCACTATACCCCTGGCCACAGCCAGGAGCACTACTCCCAGCCTTAGGCCCCAGAGACCCAAGACTCTTCCTCCAACGAAGGTCTCTGAGGTTCCATCCCAGGAGGGGCTGCTGGCTCCACTAGGCTTGCTGGCCTTCCTGACCTTGGCATTAGCCACACTGTATGGACTATCCCGGACCACACCTGCACAGTAGACCAAGATGGAAAACCTGACTAATAAAGACTCCCTCAGCACTAAGTGGTCACTTGCCTCCTACCCTCCTCCTTGGCAGCTTGGGTCTCTACCCAGTCAGGGACCTGGGGAGGGGTATTCCTTGTCCCTTGCTCTCTAAGCAGGAAGCTCAAACCTCTTAGCCCAATAAAAGTAGAAAAGACAGAAATCCAAACAGTGGATGGAAACAGTACTCGGCCTACAGCCCAAGCCCAGCAACCAAGGCTCTGAAAAAAAGGCGCGACAGCTCCAAATATTTGCGTTTATTATAAACAAGGGTGCAGAGCCTAGACTCTCAGAAACACACAGACAGATACAAAGCTAAGACAGAGCTGGTGAAACATTAACGGGGACAGGGAACACCGAGGTATTCGTGTCTGGGCCAGAGCTGCCACCGGGCCCCCTGCCCCCACCCCCGACCTTTGGTCCAGATGGCCCCCTTGGCCCTGGTGGTGTCCATGGTGCCAGGACTAACTGTGGACTGCAGTACAGAAATTGTATGTTTTATGAGGCTTGTGTCAGGGGAAACAGACTATCAAAGATCAGGTTGTCCCTATCCTCTGTGGGTCACTTTCTCTCCAGGATCCAGGGGTTTCAACCTCACATCAATAATCACATGCTTTAAAACAGAAAACTGGCAAAATGGCCAAAAGTAAAAACAAAAACACTGCAGGGAGGCGACCTGAGAATGTTGGTGTACAGAGGCTTCCACTGCTCACCTGTGGCAGGGGCCAGGCTAGCAGGGACAGGGAAGCTTCCGTGTGGGCAGCTGGAACTGTGAGTGGATGTGATCCTCCAGGTAGTTGCACAGAGGATGCAGGGACAGTCCAGACAGTTGTCAGGGATGAGTGGGGCTTTGCTTGAAGTATTTTGACACCAGAAGCTGGGTGACCCTCCACTGAGCATGGTATAGGCTCTAGGAAGCAACTGGACATTTTTCCAGAGCACTGAGCTTTATCCAGATCCCCTGGCTCGCCCACTTGCCTGCCTCATGGCTCTGGCTCTGCAAATGACACCTTGGGGACAAGTTCTGGCCTTGAGCAGTGGCTGGACACACCACAACCAAGATGTGCATGGTTCTCACAAAAAGCTCTGCTGTCCTAGTATGCCAGGCTACCCCTGGTCACCCTGGGGTGAGTGGAGAAAACCCCTCCACCCCATTATCTGAATTTACTTGAGATTTCAGGAAGTATTAATTCAAGTGAGGAAGAAAAAGGTTGGTCTGGGCCCACTCTGGCAATTATTGGTCCCTACCTGGTCAGCATCAAAGAAGGTCATGTGTCTAAAAAGGACACACATAACGCACTGGGTCCAGTAACGAACCGTGTCTGCATACCACTCACACACACACAACATAGTCAAGTGGCAGCCAGAGAGATGGAGGCACGCTCAAGGGACTGCCTTTGGGGGATCCATGTAGGCCGGGTTATAGGGAGGCTGGCTGGCGGGGTAAGGAGCGGATGCACCTCCTGAAAACAGAAAAGACACTGGTTGGCTGTGGACCCGGGGCGAGGAGGGGGAAGGGCTGGCAGAGAGGTGACGGCAGCATGAGTGGGCAGACTAGCAGAAAGGGGCAGAGGACTATTCAGTGATGTAACCTGGAAGGGCAGAGGCATGAGCTGGGGGGTCAAGCAGGGCTACACAGTGCACAGTGGTACTCACCAGCCAGGGTCTCATGGTAGGCCGGTGGGCCCATGGGCTGAGCTGGGTAGGGAGGTGGGTACTGCGTCGGGTAAGGTACTGCTGGCATCCCTGGCTGCGAGGGCATGGGGTGATAGCCCTGATATGTTGGTCCAGGGTAGCTAGGGGTATACTCGGAGGCTGTGGGTAAGGAGCGTGCACCACAGTGGTGGCTGTGGTGGTGGTCACAACAGCTGCAAAGAGAATTCCAGTCAAGACCCTCCATCTCCCCAGGTCTTGAGGCCAGGCCTGTTCCCATCCCTCGAGCTTAGTCAAAGCAGAGTCCTGCTCAGCTCCCCTTGCCCACCCAGGGGTCTGTACCTACACACAAGGGAGGGGGGGCCACAGCAGGACAGGGTGGGGGAGGTATGCTTACGGCGTGGTCGGCGGCACATCTTATATAAACAGCAGCAGGAGCAGGTGAAGCAGATGATGATGGTGACAACAGAGAGCACAAAAATAGTCAGCCCGATGGCTACAGTTGCTCCAAACCTGTCAAAGAGCCAGTCATGACCCACCAGTTCCCAGGGCACCCGGTTGTTGAATGAGACTTTGGGCAATGCAAATACCGCAACTCCTTGTCTGTGTAGCTTGAATCTGCTTCGGCCTCAGTTTCCTCATGTGTAAAATGGGGTTGTTGTGAGTCTGTGTAAAGCTTCTCCCTTGGAATCTGCCCTACACGTCATCTCCCTCAGGAGGAGAGGAAGGAGCTCAGCTCCCTGCACTTAATGTCCTCCCCCCGCCAGCTGAGAAGTACATGGTTGTCAGGTACGTGCCACGAGCCAGGCACTGTAGAATTCAAGTCAAAACATTCATCAGTGAGTGAGGCAACCAATTTTTGGCCCCAGGAAGTCCAGTGTTGAGGCAGAGGTGGAAGATAAATGACTCAGGAGACCTAGGAGAAGAAAAGGGAGAGAGAAGCCCCAGGAGGGTGAGGCCAGTGTGGCCCGGAGAGCACGGGCAGCCCCTGGGCAGGCTGTGGCAGGCCAAGTGCCGAGGACTTGCCCCTCCCTGGAGGCTGCTGTGTGCCAAGCTCTGCGTCAGCTGCTTACGTGCATTTCTGGTCCCCCACCGCTGACCAGCATGGCTGTGTCCCAGGTGACAATGTTAATTGCAGACAGAAAGGATGGACAGAGGCAGCAGTGCTTTCTGGAAGAGGAGGCCTCCCTGCCCAACCCAGATACCCACAGAACAGAGGGTTTGCCCTTTGACAGTGTAGGCTCTGGGCTAGAATTTCATCAAACTGACTTCCAAGGACAGACATTATTCCCAGGGGCCACACTGTATTCTAGTAAGAGGCAAATGCTTGTCACTGTGCAGGCATATTCAAAGCTTGAGGCACCTTATTAGCTACAGGGCACCTGCCCTGTGAAGTCAGGAAGGATGTGGGTCCACCCCACCCCATCCTGGGGCTTCACAGCCCAGAGGCATAGCACCACCTCAGCAGGGTCCCTCAGCCAAGGGAGAAACCTGAGGACAGGCCTCTCACACTTCAGGGTCAAAAGAACCCAGCCAAACTCCCAAAACAGGAGCCATTACCACCACAAGACCCCAAAACAGGACCACGGGACCATGGGTATTCCCCTGCCCAACAGAGGCAGGGATGGAAGAACACACATCCACACACAGTCAATGACATGCAGCAGTGGCAGGGCCCACGCCAGTCTAGAGCAAGCTCTCTCTGCCTCTCTCTATAGAATACACCCCGCTCACCCCATGTTAGCCTCTGCCTTCTTCCCCTTCTCCCAGGTGCCTTCTGCAGTCCCGGACTTCCCCTGTTTCCATCAGAGGCCACTCAGTTTTAATCTCCTCCCCTTTCAAGAAAAGGAAATCGAATCTCTTCTTTGGTCCTTCCCAGCCCTGACGTGAGCAACAGGAAGGACGGACACACAGGCCTTGTAGCCACCCTCTTAAAGACACAGCGTGGCCCAGGTGCCAGCAGCAGTAGCTGCACCAGCAGTCAGAAGGGAGCCAAGAAGGGAGGAGGGAAGCCGAGGCGGTGGGAGGCGGTGGGATGCCTCAGAGCTGCTCCGTAACTCACCGCAAGCCTGACCTTTGAATGCACCCCACCAGCTGCCCAGGTTAGACGGCAGCCACAGAGGAACTGGACCACCCTCTAGCTCACCTTTAGCACCATCCCCAGCCCTGCCACCTGGTAGCCACCTCATGGACGAGCACTTTCATCACCCTAGGCCCACAAGCCCACCCTGGGGCCCTGACAGACACATGAGCAATATCCATCCAGCCCCCTCTTTCCTCCCCTTCCACTAGCTCCAAGCTTCTAACTGGCCTCTCCAGATGCGACTGCCACTACCCCACCCTGCTGGTCTGATCAAGTCACACCCTGCTCAACTGCCTAAGGCTCCTCTCCTCTAGATCCTCAGATCCTGTGGGAATGTGCTTTATAATTACTTGCTAAACTGTGTATCTGTACTTTTCTGTATGAAGGGGGAAAAAACCCTCAGGTTGTCTAACTAGATAGTAAAACTTATAATAAAGCAAATTTAATTTTTAATTAAAAATTTAGCTGGGCATGGCAGTAAACACCTATAATCCCAGCACTTGGGAGGCCAGAGGCAGGAGGATCACAAGTTTGAGGCCAGCCTGACTATATAGTGAGTTCCAGGCCAGTGTGGGGTAAATACTAAGACACTGTTGTAAAAAAAAAAATAATAATAATAATAATTTAAATAAAATTCCTTAGTAGATCCACAAAGCCTGAGGTGGTCTGGAACTTTCACTCTCTCTGCTCTAGCTATATCACCCTTCTTTCATCCTTCTGACTATATGGAGCCCTATCTCAGGACCTTTGCACACGCAGGTCCTTCTGCCTAGAGGTCCTTTCTCTTCCCCATCCCTCTTCTCCCTCATGTCCACCTAATAAATTCCTGCTCATCCCTCAGAACTCAGCTCAAAGCATCACTTCCATGGGCACACATTCATTGACCATTCAGATGAGGATGGGCTCCTTACAAATACTCTTGTGAATTAAATTCATTAGTGCCTCAGTTTGTGCACACATACTGCTTTGTGTGAGCATTTGGTCAATCGCACTGTGAACCTGTTTGGGCCATCACTGTGTCTCCAGTGCCTCGTATATAGAAGGTTCTTAAGAAATATCTGACAAATGAATTAATAAATTCACTCAGGGACTCCATGGCAGCTCCCAGCAGAACAGCCAGGCATAACACTCTGAGGAAGTCAAGTGACACTCATGGAGTGGCTGAAGAGTGCGGCAGTGGCCCACAGACACACCAGGCTGCTATACCAAAGAAACCATGCCTCTGTGAAGGAGTGAGGCCTCCCAGGGTTGAGATTACTTCTAGATCAAGGAGTCTTTAGGCCAAATTCAGAAAGCAGAGTTGGCCTAAGCAGGAGGGGACAGAAGACAGCAGAGCCAGAAGCCTGGCAGGGAGTTAGGGCAGGGAAGAACTGTGCTCCAGCGTTTGGACTATGAAAGGGTCATCTCTGGACTCAGAACACCCTAGCACTTCCCATGATGCTTTGCAGTCTGGAAGGTGCCCAGGTTCCCAAGCCCACACCTTGCCTCATGGACCTCCCTGTCTTCCTATGTACTGGCCTCCAGCAAAGTCAGGCCAGGTCAAGAGTGACTTGCTGGGCCTTACAGCCAGAGAGTCTACCATTGCAGTGCCTGAGAACACAGTCATATGTGACAGTCCTGAATGTCAAGCAGCTGGGACAGGACTATGAAATCAGGATTCAAAATAACCATGATGACGGGACCAAGGAGCTCTGCAGAGAGAACAAGCCAAGTGGACATAGGCCACAACCAGCCCACAGGACAGGGCAAGATTCACCTGCCTAGAGTCTGAGAGATAGAAGACCTGGGCCAATACCAAGCCCACAGGCCATACATCCACACTATGGGAAGCCAGAGCCCACATCAAGGGAGGACATGGCCTAGGAAGGATGTGACATATTGAGGCCAAGCAGGTGTGGGCTCTTCCAGATCCCCATGCTCTGTGTCACCTCATTCTTAGGAAACCCAAAAGTGTGAGAACCAAGGGTGAGGATCCAAGATTGGGGGCAAGGGAGAGAATAGGTGACGGGGCAGAGCTGGCACAGAATCCCTGTCCCCAGGGTCTTTCCTCTGCCAGGCTTCTCTTAGCAACTGGCCATGACCTGGGAAGGAGAGGCTGGACCCTCAACCATCTGTGGACAAACAGCAAGCACCCTTGACCATGGAGATAGCCCAGGCAGAGCAGATGGCTTCCAGCTTTCCTTCTTAACCCTGAACCTTCCCTCTCATCTCCCAACACCACCCTCCCTCCCTGCCTTGACACACTGTTCTCACCCAAACTCACCCTTGTCCTGCATCTGTCCTGCATGCACCCCCAGCAGGACTGTACCTCTAGCCCTGTCTCCAGAGCAGAGACCAGGGCAGCTCCTATGTCTGCCCACCCTCTTGCCCCTTGTGGGCAGGCAAGTCTCCACCCTCACCCCTCCCCACCAAACCCAGCAGTCCCCTGGCTTCCAACACTTCTGGCCAGGAAGCCACAGCTGCTCCTGCAGGCCACCTGCCATATCTGCCCCCAGAGCAGCCAGAGCCAGCCTCTTCCTAAAGCACCACACTGACCCTAGCACTGCCCAGAACCCTCCATGGAACCCACTGTCCTCAGGATGAGGCCCAATCCTGAGCTGCCCCAGGCCTTCACTGTCTGGGCATCAGTGTCTCCCATGGGGCTACCTGCAGGCCCATGTTATTGGCCCCCGTTGGGGGAGGGCCCTCTGGGACATTAAGGGAGGGGCCTGTGGAGGACTCAATACAGTCCCAACTCCACTTCCACCCACCCCCATTCACAGGGGACCTGTCCTGACTCCACCATGGCTGGGAGATCCCATACCCACCCAGGCCCATAGGGGAGGACAAGACCCCAAGTCTTCGCATGGACCTGGAGCCAACCCTTCTTCCTCCAAAGGGGCAACCAGGCCTGAGTGGGTCTCCTGAAAGGATCTTCAGATCCACAGGGTGGGGGTGGGGGAGGTGGGCAAGACAGCTCACGGGACAGCCAGGAAGATACACGCATGTGTGTCTGCATGTCCATTCCACCACATATGACCATGCATCAGCACACCTGTTCTGGTGGCAACACCACAGGGCAAGAACCCGGCCAAGGGGACTAGAGTTGGGAGGGCAGGAATCTCTGGGCTCCCTGGTCCCTTGAGATGAGGATCCCCACATAGTAAGATGATCCATAGACGTCCACACATGGCCTCATTCCCTCACCATTATCACTCTAGCACCACTCACCATCACCACCACCATTACTGACCTTAACCATAGTCCAAACTCCATCACCATACAACCACCACCATCCACTATCACTCCATGTGGCCACAACTGCCTCTTGCCACCATCACCATCACCGTCACCATCACCTCTTAATCAGCACTGCAGTCCCCACCACCTGTCACTTCCTCCCCTATCACCTATGTCCACCAGTCCCTCCTGTCCCACCCCATCACTCACCCCTGGCCCTTCAATGATCAGACCCAAGCACAGTCACCCCATCACTTTACCCAGGACACTGAGGAAGACACAGTTCTCTGACGTGAGCATCAAAGTTTCCGGTGGTCAGACATGGTGACAGCGTCTCTGGGGCCCCATCCCAATGACTTTGAACCATTCCAGTCCCTACTGGCCTCACTGGAGGCCACATAAGCCACCCTGTTACCTCTGCCAGGAAGATAAGACACATAGCCATTAGGCTCTATTTACCCTGACACGGGGTCACTGTCAAAGCTGGATTGAAACCTCAGCGCCACTCCCAGCTGCTCTTGTGGCTCCGTGTGGTTGGACACACTGCAAAGAGGAAAGAAAGCTTATGAGGAATATGCTAGAATCCCCCACACCCACTCTGGCACACTAGGAACAACCCGCCACCTTACGCCACACACAGAACACACACAAGAGCTGTTGCCACATCCTAGTAACTTCCATGGCCTCCCAAGGATGGATATCACAAGTCAGGGTCTCAGACTGCAAGGCCACTCATCTTTCTCAGACATACCATATGTGAGACCACAAAACAAGGCAGTAGATTTCATGGAGACAAAGCACCTTCTCTAACTACAACAGGATGAAGTTAGAAAGGGAATAACAGGGAGACATACTGACACAAAGTTAAAAACAGAAACAAAAGAAGTACTTAAAAGAAAAAAAAAAGATACCTTGGGAAACTAATTAACAAAGTACAAAAACAAAAACCAAAAAACCTGACAGCTGTGTTAAGTAAGAATCATGAAGAAGCCAGGCATGGGTGCATGTCTATAATCCCAGATCTTGGAAGCTAAAGCAGGAGGACTGCAAATGTGAGGCCAGCTTTAGCACATAATGAGACCCTGTCAGAAAGAAAAGAAGAAAGAGGGAAGGAGGGAGGAAGGGAGGAGGGGAGGAAGGAAGGAAAATAGAAAAGAGTTCTTAGAAGGAAATTTATGTCTTGGTAGAATTTATCAGGAATGAGGAAAAATTAAAAATAAATGAGATGGTACTAAACTCAAGAAAATAAAAATAAGAAAACAGTGAATGACAGCCATAGAAAATAATGGACATTAGCAAATCCAAAACTGACAGACCTCTGGCAACACTGACTAAGGAAAAGAAAAAAAGATACAAAAAAGGGGGAAAAAATACAGCATTAAAAAATGGAAATAGCCAAAAAAAAAAAAAAATGGAAATACCCGGGCATGGCGGTATACTTCTATAATCCCAGCACTGGGGAGACTGAGGCAAGAGGACTGAGAGTTCAAGGCCAGCCTGGGCTACACAGTGAGATCCTGTCTTAAAAACAAACAAACAAAAATAATGATAGGTGCAACAGAGACTTCATTTATTTGTTGTTGTTTTGTTTTTGTTTTCAGTTTTGCATTACTGAGGATTGAACTCAGGGCCTCATACTTGATGTGCAAGTGTTCTAACCACTTAAGTCATGCACCCAGTTCCACAACAGAGACTTTAAAAATAATGACCCAGGTCAAGCACCAGTGGCTCATGCCTGTAATCCTAGTTACTCAGGAGGCAGAGATCAAGAGGATCACAATTCAAAACAAGCCCGGGCACATAGTTCAGGAGACCCTATCTTGAAAAAGCCCATCCCCAAAAAAAGGCTGGTGGAGTGGCTCAAGCAGTAAAAGCACCTGCCTAGCAAACGTGAGGCCCTGAGTTCAAACCCCAGTGCCACCAGTAAAATAAAATAAATAACCCAGGGCTGAGGGCATAGCTCAGTGGTACAGCTTAGCACATGCTAGGCCCTGGGTTCCATCTCCAGCCCCAAAATAAATTTAAAATCAATAAAAATAACAACTCTGCTTGGATGCTGATTTAAACAAGCCACCTGTAACTGGAAGCTAGTGGAAACAAGTGAACACAGGCTTGTACTGAAAGCTAGCAACTGGGCACCAGTGGCTCACTCCTGTAATCCAAGCTACTCTGTAGACAGAGATCAGGAGGATTACGGTTCAAAGCCAACCCAGGCAAATAGTTCGTGAGACCCTATCTGGAAAGAACCCATCACAAAAAAGGGCTGGTGGAGTGGCTCAGGTGTAGCCCCTGAGTTCAAATCCCAATACTGGAAAAAAAAAAAAAAAAGCAAATTACTGTTCAGTGTGCTTACTTTGTTACTGATATTGTGGGGTTTTGTTCTGTTTGCGTGTGTATGTGACGGTATCTCATTATGTAGCCCAAGCTGGCCTTAAACTCATGATCCTCCCACCTCAGCCTCTCCAGTGCTGGGATTACAAGAATGCAACACCATGCCCAGCCTATATTTCTTTTTTAAAAGCCTCAGTTTTAGCAATGAAAATATTTAAGGAGAAATTCTTATGATGTCTGGAATTTTCTTTAAAATGATTCAGAGGGGATAAAAAGGAGTTGGAGGTACATGGAACAATGATGTAAGAATGCTGGCAACTGTGGAAGTGAGTGATGGATTCCTAATTCTAATATTCTCTCTGCTTTTTGCTTATTTGAAACTTTCCAAAATTAAATGTAAAACAAAATAAAATGTCAAGTCACTAGGAACAACTGTACCCTAATAAATTTGAGAGGCAGCCAGTGGCTCACACCTGTAATCCTACCTACTTGGGAAGCTGAGATCCGGAAGATCGAGGTTCAAAGTCAGCCTGGACAAATAATTCAAGATACCCCATCTCCAAAATAACCAGAGCAAATGGACTGGAGGTGTGGCTCAAGCAGTAGAGTGCCTGCTTTGCAAGTGCAAAGCCCTGAGTTCAAACCCTAGCACTGCCAAAAAATAAAAAACAAAATGAATCAAGAAAGACTGAAGCCGAGGACAGTGGTTCACGCCTATAATTCTAGCTAGGATGTGAGACAAAAGGACAGGAATTTGGGGGTGTGGAGTCAGTGTTACAGTGCTATAGGCTGTCTGTATCCCCCAAAATTAAAATACCCAAAATACAAAGTACATAAAAGAGTGGGGGTTGGTCCTGCCCAGACCAGTGATGACCACTGCCTTGAGCTGAGGAGTACCACAAACAAAACACAGAAATGTGGCAAAGGGAGACACCTTGGTCCTTGCCCATGACAGTCTACACCCAAGATACAGGGTAAATGCACAGGCCATGCCAGGAGGACACAGAACAGCTCACCCTGTGCCATACGGAGCACACACCTAACCAGGTGCACGCACCCAATGTGGGGTGCACTTACATCCAGGTGTCCCCCCTGAGGACATGTTGGCACAGGTCCCAGGGATGAGCCACGGGACCAGGGCCAGTTGAGGCCACTGACCCATGAGAAATGTGCTCAGCCAGCCCAAGCCTGGATGAGTTCGAGCCCTTGGGGGGGGAGCAGGGTGGGGGACTAACTAAGCAGGTCTGGGGAGCCCAGCCCAGAACACAGACTCTCCCAACCCTTTGGTTTAACACTTGGCCATCGTCTTGAGAGGCCAGAGGGGAAGGGCGCCAACCCTGGGAACTTGCACTCACCTGGCCTCTGTCTTCACACACATTTTCTCATTGCCCACGAATTTCTTCAGCACATCAGAGCAGCAATATTGGTTAGAACAGGAACCACAGCAGAAATCAGGACAGGACTTCGGAATTCGGTTGTCTCCACTGACAGATACGCATATCTCATCACCAGCTGGAGTAGAGAAGCAAACCTTGTCCATGCCCCAGCCACCAACAGAACCGTCCCCAAACAGAACGCCAGGTACAAGCATGCTTGGGCCATCCTCCTCACTGGACACCACTCCACCCAGCTTTGTCCTCTTCCACAGGCCACAGCAGAGGTGCCCTAACAGGGCTACCTCTTCCCCTGCCAGCCCTTCTGATGGGGCAGTGACCTTTCTGTATGTGAGTCTGAAGGGGTCAATCCCTACTCTCAGACCTCCTCTGGTTCCCACCCATTCCAGGATCCACCCCAGAGACCCCAAAGCAGTGTGCCAATGGCAAAAGGCCTTGAAGCACTCCAATTTCCTGCCCAGCCACACTGCCTTATTCTTACCTGTTTCCCATCTCCCACCTGCAAATCTACTCAGCTGTCAAGGCCTTACCTCCTCCAGAAGCTGCTAAACTCTGGCACATAGCTGATAACACACCTAACCTAAGGGGGTGCAGGGGGAGGATAAGGCACTGGATCATCTGTTGTTCAATCTTCATTCCTTTTCCCCATCCCTCAGCCACAGCAGCCTCACCTGCTGGACACACCGGCAGGGGCCTGGCTCTCATACAGCATCCTCTGCCAGCAGGCTGACTCCTGGCCAATTCACAGCCACAGTGACACTTGCCACACAAATGTCCAAAAAGCCCTAGCCCTGGGCTGGGCAAGCAGAAGGAAATGTTTGCCAGTGGCACCACCTGAAGCCCATTACAAGGCTCTCAGCCAGTGGTGAGACCTAGTGACATCCCTGCAAGCCTCAGTATAAAAGGTCATGCTGAGAGGACCTGGCTGAGAAGTGTGGAAAATAACAACCCTGAGGTTTTCAAACCTTGAGGAAAATGCTACAGCCTAATGTCCCCATGTATCCTTAGTCTACAGCAGCAGAGACTAGAGCCCATAGCAGGAGGGGACAGTACTAGATTCTGCCAAGACAGACCCCAAATGGAACACCCAGTCCAGCCAGGCCCACCACTGCAGGAGACTAAGGATAATCTCTGAGGTGTCTGACTGGAAACAGGCCAGGCACAGCTCTGGGAGCCCCAGCCTAGTCAGGCCCCCAGGCAGTGTGTAGCATCTGGAGCCCAGTCTGGTCTGTGAATCATGTGCCCCCGGGCTGTCAGAAGTGTGAGGCCCAAAGACAGGGACACTGAATGACCTTTTTAAGAAAGATAATTGGGGGGTGGGGGGTGTTGGAGGGGGGTGCAGTTTGTTCTTGGCAGCTCCAGGCAGATCCTGCTCTGGACAAAACAGTGGAAGAGAGTGTCTTATCAGACAGGCCAAGCTCAGCTAGCTGGCCAAGTGAAAGCAAGTATCCTCAGTTTGGCCCAACTGCAGGGGCTGAGGTGAACCCCTGGGCCTTTACAGGAACAGCAACTGAACAGAGCCAAAGGACAAACACTGGTGAGTCCTTAGGTCTAAGTCCCCAAAACAAATGCTCTTTTTGATACTGCAGAAGGCTCCAGATCTCACGGAGCCAGGGACCAGGGACCCTCCCACAGGCTCACTCTACAGCTGATTCTGGGCACAGGACTCCCCCTCCTCATTTCCCCACCCCAGGTCCTTCAGATTCCTGCCATCCCCCAGGAAACAAATCCCTTCTCCTCCAGGAAGCCACCACTTCACCCATCTCAAAGGGTCTTTGGTGTCTCATGGTTGGCCAGGGGGCTGTTCCAAATCCCACCCCTAAAAGGCCCCCAGCCTGCCTCCCAAGACTGTGAGTCATCAGTCTACAATGACACACACCCCAAGGCCAGTCTCAGCGCCCAGCTTCTCCAGGAACACAGAGCCATGGAAGCAGCCGGTGGGCCTCCCAGCCAGGAAACAGGCTGAGAGGAACGAACAGCGTCTACCGGAGGGGCCAGGAGTCCCTGCTGCTCTGCCCGGAGCTAAAGCCAAGCAGGGGTCCTACTCCAGCCCCTGGGGATTTAATCCCCTGGAAGAGGGGGAGGGCTGACCCCTCCCCCCAGGACAGAACAAAGGTGGCAGCTTTCTGGGGTCTGGGCAGAATCAGGTCAGGCAGGGAGAGTCCAGGGGTAGAGGAGAGGTCGCTCGTGGGGTTCGCTGAAGCATTCGGGGCTATCCGGGGGGAGACTGTGGGACTGGTTTGTTGGCTAGTCCCAGGGACAGTGCGAGAAAGTGTGACCCCCGTCCCTGGACAGGACACACCGTCCCCTCCCCCTCAGGCTCACCACCCGGAGACGGAGGTAACAGCAGCAGCAACAGCAACAGGGTCCGAGGTGCAGGGGCCGGCGCGGTCATGGCTGGGCGGACGGACAGACGGACGGACGAACAGACAGACGGAAGCCCGGGATCGTGGTGCTACCGTAGCCTCGGCGACCCGCGCGGCCGCTGGCCTCCTCGCCCCGCCCCGGCCGGTTCCCGGAACCCCCGCCCGGGAGGGAGGGAAGGAGGGGGTGTGGGAGGGAGGGGTGGCGGACGCCCCTCCCCGCCTCCGGGCAGCTCCACGCCAGTCCGGTGTCTGTGCGCAAACTTGGGACCCTTTTCCAGGATCCTGGAGACGATGGCGACACACCAAGTTGCCTTGTGATCTGCAGACACTTTCGGGGGGAGACTCCCCATCCTCAGAGCTAGGGTCCCGGGCAAGGTCCTCGTGAGAATCGGCATCCTAACACTTCAGCGCCTACTGTAGGCTTCCCGGGAGGATCCTGAGGACCAGGTAAGAGTGCAGGGACTAAGCCCAGCGCAAACCTTAGCACTCAGCAGGCGCCCAACAAATGACTGTTTCCTTCTGGAAGGGTCCCAGGACCCCTGCTCTGTGGACAATTTGTCCCCTGAGCCCTGAGATGACTCCCTCTATCCCACTGGTGATCCAGGCCCCCAGCCCAGGCATGCTCACCTGGCTCAGGGTCCTGGACTGAGAGGAACTGGACATGTGGAACAGCTCCCACATCCAGGCTACCTCCTGGCACAGGGCCGACAGGCTGCCTCTACCCTCTCATTGTAGGGCAGGATTCCCAGCAGAGCCAGGAAAGGGAGATGGGACATTCTTCTTCCCAGGACTTCTGACTGCCCCCCGCCCTGCACCTCGCACAATCAGTATGTTGTATTCAAGGCAGAAAACATGAAGTAAGGACTAATGACGACCTGAGTCACTGTGTACTCCCCACGTACTACCACACATTTCTCATCTGGGGTTAGAGTATTGAGGTGAACAAAGATTGAGACCTGAAGGGACAACCTGAGATGTCCCCAGCACAGTTTCCCAGGCTAGAGGATTAGAATAGGGAGAAGAAGGCCTGGGTCTCCAACAAGCCCCCAACACCACCAGCCTGAGAAAGGTATAAGGCTCATGGTGCTCAAACACAACGGGGGACAGGGCTATGACTGTCCCTGAGTAGGATGCCCTTTGGAAGAAGCTTTGAGGGCCCAAGCCATATCCCTGACACCTCTGCCTTCTGACCTCCACTCTCCAAAGCTGGGGGTCCACCTTCCTCTACAGAATGGCCATGATTTGCTCCCCTCCAGATCCACCTCTCCCACCATCCTTCACAATCTCTGTTCCATACCTGGCTGCCTCCCCAGGGAGGAAACTTAGTTTCTTATCCATTAGTTTTCCAGCTCCTAAGAGTGAAGAGTGGTCCTTTCTCACCTCCCACCACCTGCCTTTGGTGTCTTTGGGCTGCTGCCCTACCCCAGCCCTCTCATTTGGCTCACCAAACTGACCTTTTCAGTACTGCAGTCCCCCACACTCTCCCCTGCTGCCCCAGCTCACATGGTTAAGCTGCTATGTTTTACCAACCTCCAGGACCAAGCCAGGGCTGCTCATGGACAGGAGAGGGAGAAGGCCAGGAATACCCCAGAGGTTTGGAAATTGCAACCAAGTATCCAATAGGTGTGTGCCCTTTTGGGGGATGGTTCACACCTACAAAATCTGGACATTGTCATATCCACAAGTTGCCCTTCCAAACCAAACGCACTGTGAAATGTGAAATCTCAACGAGATTGAGAAGACCTAAATCTATACAAAGATACATATGTTTTGAGGACCCACACCAGCTGGAGCAGCTCAGCAATTGGAAAAAATAAAATAAAATAAAATGCCAGGCCCAGGGTGCAGGATGGAGGGGCTGGAGGCAGGGGGACTAGTGCATTGCAAGGCTGCCCTCCAGACAACCTTTCTTCTGAGGCCTCTTCCCAGACCCCCTTTCACTCCCGTAGGTGTGTGCCCTTCCTCCGCAGTCCTCTGGTTCTTTTTTTTTTTTTTTCAGTACTGGGGTTTTAAGTCAGTGCCCACACTTTGAGCCACTCTGCCAGCCCTTTCTTGGAATGGGTTTTTTCAGGATAGGGTCTCACGAATTATTTGCCCAGGCTGGCTTCAAACCTCGATGCTCCTGATTTGTGCTTCCTGAGTAGCTAGGATTACAGGCGTGTGTGAACCACCAGTGCCTAGTGTTGTCCTCTGGTTCTTACTGGGCTTGGCCAATAGAAGGCAGCAGGTCAGAGGGTGGGAGGGGCACATGTATGGGGCTGGTTGTTCTCTGCTCCAACTCTGAAACTCCTGTGAGTTGTCACATATCCCTACCACCCCTTACACCCAGGCCCTGTCCCCTCCATTCCCCAACCCCAACAGATTATAGAAATGGAAACTGGAGGAGTGAGTTAGGAGGGGGAAGGTAAGGATAGGGGCGGTTCCTCCTGGGTCCCAGTAACTCTCCCTGCCTTCCTCCAGCTGGCCTAGGAATGGAAAGGGTTAGGAAGCTCCCAAGCTACCTAACAGCCCCGGAAACAGATACCCAGCTCCCTAAGAACAACTAATTGCTGCTGGAACCTCAGGTATAATTCAGTTTGTAGATGGGAACACCCAGTGATGCTCAGAAAACCCAGTGTCCAGCAGGGTGGGGGGTGACCGGGTGTGAATGTGGCCCATCAGCCCAAGACTGTCCCGTAGAGCCAGGATTGATGAGTGCTAAAGCAGTTCAAGGTCCTTGGCATTCCCCTCACTCAGCATTTGGGCCCCTTTCATCCATTTTGGAGTGGACAACTAACTACTCACTTTCCCAGCATCCACTGCCCAGGGCAAGGGCTTTTTACCCTAGGCCCAGTCAATCAGGTTACCCTCCCTGGAGTCTGGTGGGAGTGCTTTTCACTGGCTGCAGGACAGCAGAGACTGCTTTGCTGGGCACCACAACAGTCCTGAAACTCCATGCAGAGGCAGGCCAATGGAGATGGCTGGGCCGCAGTGATTTTCTGCATGTGTCTGGTGGCAGTAGCAGTGGCATGTCCACCAAGCCAAAGCAGAACTGTGATTTGGGCTGGAGATGACAATGTATGACCTTGGAGTCCTGCCCTAAAGCCCCCTTAATGGCTCCGGACGCTACACAGCTCCTTTCCATAAGTTGGGTTTCTGATTGCACTGGGAAGAATCAGTTTCCTCCAAATGATAGAGTTGTCACCAGAAGTAGTAGCAGGTAACAGGCAAATGAGGGTGGTCACACTGGTTGTCTGCTAGGTTGGAGCACATGCAAAAGGAGCCTAGCATGAACGAGGTCCTAGAACCAATAAGTAAGTAAATAAATGAATACAATAAGACACATGCAGAATCTGACCGCTTTGCATGGCACAAGCCTCATTGTCTCATCAGGATTACTACAACAGGATTACTACAACAACTAGTGTCCTGACTTCCAGTCTGCACCCATTAAAGTCTGTTATCAGTTTAGATACAACCAGAGGAGTGCTATTTTATTTTATTTTTTGGTGGGACTGAGTTTGAACTCAGGGCTTCACACTTGCAAAGAAACACTGTAACATTTGAGCCACACCTCCAGCCCCAGGAGGAATCCTATTAAAATGTTTATCAGATCAAGTCACTTTTCTCAAAGCCCTTTCCAGGCTCCCCTTGTGCCTCACATAATCTGTTCCCCATGACATCTCAGACCTGGTCTTCCTCTTCTTTTCTCTTCTCCTTCCACCCCTGCCTTCTCTATGCCCTTGAACTCACTGGGTGACTGTGGAACACTCTAACTTATTCCAGGACTTTGGTCTCCTTCTTAGTGACATACAACCCCTCCCATCCTTCTCCCTCTGTCACTGTACCCTCTGATACACATGTTTACTTACTCGTCTGTGGTATCTTTCACCACTAGAATGTCACCTGACAGTGGGGAGCTGGGTCTGTTGTGCTTCCTCTTGTACCCCCACTGCTTAGTACATGACAGGTACTTAATAGATGTGTTGAATGAATGAACGAATGAATGAATGAAGTGTGTGGAATGAAGATACATGATTCAAAGAAGTTGGATCACCACCAACCCCAGCATCTTTGGTACCTCCCTTGCCTGCTGAAGCAAAGTATCTCCTTCCCTCCCCCTTTTTTTAGTGGGACTGAGGTTTCAGGACTTCATGCTTGCAAAGCAGGTGCTCTACTGCTTGACCCACATCTCCAGTCCATTTTGCTCTAGTTATTTTTGCCCAGGCTGACCTTGAACCTTGATCCTCCTGATCTCAGACCCCCCAAGTACTTAGGATTACAGGTGTGAGTCCCCAGTGCCCAGCTGGTGTCCTGTCTTTGAAAGACAGCATGAGGAAGGAACTTGGCAAGAGGAGCCAGCTCTTCATGGCTCCATCTCCTAAGTCTTCAATGCCTACACTGCCTTAAATGAGATGGATCCCAGCATGTCTGGGACCCTATTACAAGAGTCAAATCCAGAGGGATAGCGTATATATCTAAAGAACTATGAAAATTTACTGCCCAAAATATGAAAAAAAAATACAGGAGATCAGAACATATGTTCAGGTTGGGCTGAGTTTATCAACATGGGTGTACTTAGCAGAGATTTTGGATTCACTACATTGGTTCAGGTTGTTGAGGGTTGTTCTATATCTACTCGGTTGGTGAAATGAAAACTGGGTCTCACTAAACACAGTGAGATGCTATATTAGTCCATTTTCCATTGCTGTAACAAAATACCCGAGGATGGGTAATATGTAAAGGAAAGAGATTTAACCCAAAGGAATGTAAGTCAGGATACAGTAGACACACCTGTACACCAATGTTCATTGCAGCACTATTCACAACAGCCAAGCTATGGGAGCAACCCAGATGTCCTACAACTGAAGAATGGATCAAGAAATTGTGATATATATCTATATCTATATCTATATGTAGATATAGATAGATATAGTTTTACTCAGCCATAAGGAACAATGACATGTGGTTTGAAGGTAAATGGATACTTGGAGTACCTGTTAAGTGAAGCAAGCCAGGCTCAGAAAGACGAAGGCCACATGTTTTCTCTCATATATGGAAGATAGATCCAAAAGATAAATATATACACAAAAACAAGCACGATCATGTACAAACTCATATGTAGAATATGTCAGTAATAGTGGAACTACTCTATGGAACTTAGGGAAAGGAAAAGAGAACGATAAAGCATCAACAATCTTGTAAAACATAACATCCATAAGGATATGTATTGAAAGCTGTTGAAAAACGGGATAGTGGCTAAAGGGGTGAGGGAGAGTAATGGAAGGGGCTGAACAGACTAAAATGAAGTATATCCACGGTGGGCATACATTGAGAAACCTCTTTGGCCATCACCTTAAATATTAATAATGAAAGACAACTATAAAACAGGTACAGCGTGGGGATACTAGTGGGAGGGAGAGAGTAAATGAGGGAGATTAAGGTGAGGGAATATGGCTGATGGACTTCATATACCTATATGAAATAGAACAAAGAAACCTCTTGTAATTGCTTTAAGTGGGGCACGGAGGGGGATGAGGGGAGAGGATGAGGGTGATCTAACCAACATACAGCATAAACCTAATCAGAATTGCCACTATAAATCCCCCCCCTCATATAACAAATATATCCTAATAAAAATTTATAATAAAAAAGAAGAGATTTATTTTACATTTTGTGGTGCTGGGGATTGAACCTAGGACCTGGAATATGCTAATCATACATTCTGTCACTCTGCTATAATGCCAAGTCAGAAAAGAGATTTACTTAGCTTATGGTTTTGAAGGCTGTAAGTCCAAGATCAGACATTCCCATCTAGTTTAGTCTTTGACAAGGGACCCTTGTTACATCATGGAAAATGTCATCAAGGTAGGAATGTGTGCAAGAAAGATGACACAGCAAGACAAGTAATGAGAGAGAGGGGAGGGATCCGTCTTGCCTTTTCCTAACAGCTTGCTCTCATGAGAACCATCCAGGGGCCCACAAGAACTACATCAATCTCTTCCAAGGGTTTCCCACTAGCTTCCACCTGTTACAGGTCCCACCACCTCTCTATACCCTGAGGACAAAGCTCCCACGACATGAACCCTCAGGAGACACACCAAACCATAGCAGATGCCAAAAGTTCCCTGGTATAACATAGAGGAAAGAATTCAAAGCCTTGGGCTGAGCATGGGGGATGTGGTTCAAGTGGTAGAGTGTTTGCCTAACATGCTAAAGGCCCTGGGTTCGATCCTCCAGTACTGCCAAAAAAAAAAAAAAAAAGAATTTGAAGCCTTAAGACTTAGTCATTCATTCATTTATTCAAAATAAATGTTAGGACTGAGTTTATCATCAACAACTCATCTTTTCCCTAAGAAATCTTGGAAATACTCTCTTCAGCCTTAGGAAATTCATTGCTGAGGGGAGCATCTTTAAAAAGTTGGTTTGCTAGACTATTGTGACAAAGTGCCACAAACTGAATGGCTGAAACAACAGAAATTTATTATCTAACAGTTCCAGAGGCCAGAAGTCTGAAATCAAGGTGTTGGAAGGGCCATGCTCCCACAGAAGGCACTAGGGAATATTGGATTAGGAGCCCACCCTATCCAGTCTGACCTCATCTTAATTTATTATGTCTGCAATAATCTTAGTTCCAAATAAATTCACAAACAAGGCACTGGTGGCTCACACCTGTAATCCTAGCTACTTGGGAGGCTGAGATCCAGATAGAGCAGGAGAATTGTGGTTTGAGGCCAGCCTGGGCCATCCCCAAAATAACCAGAGCAAAAGGGACTGGAGGTGTGGCTCAAGCCATAGAGCACTGGCTTTGCAAGCACAAAGCCCTGAGTTCAAACCCTTCCCCTCAAAAAGGGGGGCCAAATAAATGCACATTATGAGGTGCTGAGGGTTAGGATTTCAGTATATGAATGGGGGTACAGTTTAACTCCTAACAAGCACCATAGTAGGGACCCAGCTTGACATGACTAGACCCATTTTGGTCATAACCACCATTTTGCCTGCCAGGTGACCCTGCCATGTATCCTGAAACCTATAGGATAAGTCAAAGTCATGAAGACAGTCAGCCATACATGTTGTGCTGGCCACTGACATCCAGACTGCTTTTTTAACAGATGTTTGATACGTTGACAGTTGTTTTTTTATGTTTTTTTTTTTTTTTTGTAGTACTAGAGTTTGAACTCAGGGCTTCAGGCTTGCTAGGCAGGCACTTACCACTTGAGCCACTTCATCAGTCTATGTTAACAGTTTTTGAGAAAGGTCAGGAACATTCTGGTTGGCTGCAGTCCACCCTTGTCAAACGTGGTAAATACATCCTTTCTCCTCCCTTGGGGCACAGGGATCTTCCTGTCCTGCTGCCACCCAAGACACACATCTGATCATAATTCCCTAATAAACTGAACTTTGTGCAACCCAATAGCTGTCAATCTTTTTCTTTTGTCTCATAGTACCCTCCACCTTTGGCAGCAGGTTCTCATACATGTTTTCCCAAAGTATCACCATTCTCTGTGGGTCAGAGGTTTCAGGTAGGCCTCCTCCCTGCCCATGAGCCCAACCCAGAGTTCACTCCAAGGTGACACAATTCCTCTCCACTGAGGGAGATGCCTAAGGGTGGGAGATGAACCAAGGGTCCCAACATAGACCTACAGAAAAAATTACAGCATGGGGCCTCTACAGAGCTGGCAGAAAGAACAACTCACAAATGGAGAACCAGCTACAAAATACAACCTTAAATTAGTTTTCAAAAACTATTTATTGCAATGAATGCTACACACAGTGCAATGTGTGGCGGAGATCCAATACCATCCATTCCAGGGGAAGCAGCAGAACAACAGCTTGGGCACACGAACCGCCCAGCTAAAACCTGCTAGCCAACCAGGCATGAGGCTGCCCATGCAGAGGCTGCTCCAGGGCAGAGTGGAGGGAGGGGCAGCTCCTGCACATGCCTTGACACCCAGCTGCCTTTTCCCCAGTCCTCATAATTCATCTGAGTCCAGCAGCTCCTGCCTGCCCTCAGTTCAGAGAAAAAAGGCCTCGGTGGTCTTGCCTCAGGTAACATCCAGATGTATATGTGCAGCCACTGACCAAAGGAACCCACGATGTCTGACAAGTGTGTCCAGATGGCAAAAGTCACCCAAACTCCAAGGGATACAAAAGCAAAGCCAGCAGTTCCCATGTCCTAAAGGCAGTAGCTCAGAGCTGGGGCTTGAAGCTCTAATGGGAAATGAGTCCATAAGGAGGACCCTCCCACAGCCCCACCTCCACCCCAGACATCTCTCTACCTGTGTTTGTCCACAGCTGATGGAGCACACGAAGATGAGAGGCCACTGGCCAGGGACAAGGACAGTAGCCTCTCAGGAGCATGTGGTATTTGCAGGCTGCAAAGGCCCTGGAATGGCAGTGCGGAGCAGGGGCTGGAAAAGGCAGACTGCTCTGCCAGGCACAGGCCTGGAAAGATTCTGGTACAAAGTGTTCTTGGGATCCAGGGGCCTGGCTTCACCAAGGCACACAGCAGGTAGCCAACTACTAGAGTAGACAATTTCTTGTCCTGTTCCACGAACTGGTCCTGCACACCAGTCTGGCCAGCTGTGAAATGGAGTCAGAATCTCCTGCCCAAACCCAAAAGAACTCAGGGACATGACAGGTTCCAGACTTCACAAAGCCATTTTCACCAGGTTCATGTACACATGAACTGAACCTGTGATGTGGCTAGGGAATCCTCCCTTGGCCAGGGACTACTCGGGTTCTGTCCTCTCCCTTCCTCAGTCTCATAGGTAAAGGTCCACAAATACCAAGACAAATTTTACAGGACCACAAATATTTCTGAACCATTTATGGCAAATAAATGTCTATACCACCAGTGTTTATTCCAGTGTGGACAGAGGCAGCAACACATAGGCGAGAGGTGGCCTCCTTCCCAGCTGCCAGTGTGCAGCCAGGGAAGGGAAGACCCAGTCTCCTCCTTGGGCACTTCAATGTGGGCATCAGGAAGGTAGCTCATACAACTGCCTTGTCTTCATGTGGTTCCACTGTGGAAGCAGTGGAGAAGGAGCAGCCCTGGCTACCAGCTCCTCCTTAATCCAGTGTATGCCTTGGCAGAAGTTGAGAAGGGGTACTACAAATGCTGCCCTCTGGCTTTTCTTCAGTGCTGAAGCGAGTACGCTGCTCCCATCAGTGCCCACAGATGTGGGCGACATGGACCCGAGGGCCTGGCCAATGGCTGTGGCTCTTCTGTAACTGATAAGGAAGGCAGTAGACACTCAAGAGTTCCATGAAGACCTGGCCTCAGACTCTACAAGTGATCGCAGAGAACAACAGAGGCCTGGTAGGGGGTCACCTGCTCCACCCCCAAGCAGCTGGACCACAGTGGGGACATTCCAGTGAGACTTTCTATTTCACATTTACGGCTGCACACTTCACAAAGCAGCTGGACTGGTGAGAGCAGCCACTGAGCGTTCCAACAGAGGGACAGCAGTTGCTGCAGCCTCACCCGCCTGCACAACGAGTTGGGCCCAGCGACTCTTAGCAGCAAGTCAGCAGCCACATCCAACCCTGTCAGGTTGTCTGGGCTGGGGTTCTGGGTGGCACTAGCCACGCATGGCTTCAGGAGTGTTCCTGCATGGTGACTGTACACCAGTACCGCAAACAGTAGAAGGCCTGGAATGACCTTGTCTGCGGGGATCAGTGCCTGCCCAGGGTCAGTGGATGAGATGTTATCACTGGTGAGCAGGGACTGTGACGAGAGCTTCCTCTGGAGGCCTCGAGATGTCTACATTCTGTTCAAGTATAAAGACAGATCATTCACCTTAGGGCAGGAACAGATGGGACACCAGCTGCCTGCTTTCCTCATCACTGTAGCCAGACAGACGGATATTCTTACATTCTCAGTCCCTCTGCAGGACTCCAGACCCTGACCTTCCCTAAAAACACAGAAGAGATGGATGCCACCCTCTCTGCTCTACTGCAGGTAAATCTGGTGTCACTCAAAGCAAGGCCAGCCCACCTCCTGTCTCAGGGCTGGGTCAACTAGGGAAGAACCCAACCCAGCTTGGTGCTTGCTTCCTCATCAGTGGGGTCAGGAAGGGGGTTGGCTCCTAAGAGTGCCTCCTTCCTGGCTGTGTGTCAGTGGACAGGTGTCAGATGTAGCTTCACAGCCTGTGGACTCAACCAGTCTACAGCACAGTCTGAGTCCTTGGTTCTGGGCCATAGGGCCCCTGGGAGCCTCTGAAGCTCTCCACTATAGACTGTAGATGGCTCCCACAAAGATGTAAAGCCCAGGTCTATCTTTAGCCTGCCAAACTTAGGGTATCTCAGGCTTGAGGAATAGGGGGCCTAAGACTTCTCTCAGTTCCATGAGGCTGTCCTAAGTCAGTCCTGATTCTGGCCCTCTCCCCCACTTATTGACCCTTGGAGCTACACCTGTAGGAGAGGTTACCAATGACTTGAGCTATTAAAGTCCTGTACATGTGACATGCCCAGACCTGCCCCCACCCCTAGCCTACAACTGGCTCACAGCTGGAATTCCAGGGGTACATGCAATTCTCACTTTAAGGCAGGCTTCCCAAGGGCCCCCTTTCCCAATGCAGCCTACCCTGGTTCTCAGGATTGGAATGACCCTGAGAACCTGTCTACCTGAAAGGGTGTTGTCTCTGACCCTGGAGCCAGTAAAAATTTGCCCATCAGAAGTACCCACCCGAGGCAGGCAGAGTGACTATCAGTCACTGTGTGGCCATGGGCTGGCAGAGTCAGCCGTGCAAGGCTATGAGGCCTGGAGCCTTGTCTTACCATCGCCCTGTCAATACTGGGAGCCCACTGCCACCTGAGCTTTCCTCAGAATGAAGGGTGCCTGGTAGGATACGCCTTTCCCTATGGCCTGTAGGTGCCAGATTGGCCCTGGGCCAAATTTGGCCAAGACACACAGATTCCCAGAGCAAAGGGAAAAGAGGTATGTTTGGTGACTGGTTCTGGTTGGGGTAGTAACCTCGGGAAGGAATACAACACACCCACACATCTCTGCCTATAGGCCGTGAGGCCACAGGTGAGCAGGGGCACCCAGGAGGCTGGGCCCAAAGCCTGTATGCTCAGCAGAGCCCCAGGACCCAAGCTCTTTCAATCATGGATGGCAACAGGTGTGACTTTGGCCACAGAAGCGTTCTCAATACAGGGGACTCAACTCATATTGGGGTCCCAGAAAGGGAGGTCAGTCTAGCCTTTGGCCTCAGTGGGAGACCCATGCTACCTGAGGCCTGTTCTGGGCATTGAGAGGCTCTGGGCAGCACTTGGAGGAGCTTCCACCTTAAACAAGACTTTGGGGAACATGGGTGGTGAGCTGCCCTCTGGAGGGAGGTCTCTGCCTAGTGCTGGGTCCCCTGGCATCTTCCCCCACAAAGTATGATACCATTTTAATGTTCCAAGTGCTCCAGTTACAAAAGGTGCTTATGAGGCCTGGGCTGGCAGGGAGAGAATGGGAGAATCCCTATATGCACCTGTGGGGGCCTCTAGCCTCTTCCTCAACTGGGCCCCCTCTGGCTCAGACCTCCCTGGTGGGGGTGCTGGGGAGCTGTGCGTCTCAATGACTGGGAGCCAACCACACCCAAGCTCGGCTGCTTCCAAGCCTGATGGCACAGCTCCAGGAATTTCCCCACCCCCAGGGCAGTGGGCCTTGGGAAACACCTAACCAAGCCGCAGCTCCACCCTAAGGACAAGAGAACAGCTTTGGTGGAGAACAGCCTTGGCAGAAGACTCACACTGCCTCTGGCAGATGCCCCAGTGGTTCTGAAGAAGTGGAATATGGACACCCCCAGGGAACATGCCCACCACCCCAGCAGTGACCCCATTGCTACCTGAGGCCTGTCCCGATGTGTGTTCACAGCTGCCACATTCAGGAATATGGACTCCACTTTACAACCTGTCAAAGGGAAGAGACAAATGCAGTCCCCTCCTGAAAGGAAGCGAGTCACAAAGGACAGAGTTTCTCTCAGGAGGAGGCTAGGGTTTATGGGATGGAGTAGCTGTCTCAGCTTCATTCTAGTCTTTCTATGGCAGGCAACTCCGACAGTCCACCAGGAAGGACAAGGTGCCTTATCACACTTGTGTTCATTCATGTGTGACTACCAGATTTACCACACAGAAGCCCTAAGGTGCCTATCCCAGGGACTCAGGGTGGTCACTTACTCTTTTTTTCTTTTAGGATACTGGGGTTTGAACTCAGGGTCTCATATATGCTAGGCAGGTGCTCTTCCACTTGAGTCATTCTGCCAGCCCTTTTTTGTGTTGGGTAATTTTTGAGATAAGGTCTCGTGAACTTTTTGCCTCATCTGGCTTAGAACACTGATCCTCTTTAGCTCTGCCTCCTGAGTAGCTAGGATTACAGCCATGAGCCACCAGTGCCTGTTGGTCAATTACTCTTGAGGTTCCAAAGCCAGTGATACCCCCAACGCTGCCACACAAGGTTCAATCAATCAGCCTTGGGCAATGAGCTCGGTGCAGTGGGGGTTCACTGGAATGACATCAACTGCCATGAGCATCATGCTTTCAAGAGCACCTATATTGAAGGTATGGCCCAGGAGATGAGGAAGACACCTGAGGTCTTTGCTGACACAAGGGAAAAGCATGGATGGGAACAAACCTCCCTGCACCCGAATATTTTAAGAGTAAGGAAGGATCACTGGGAAGGCTTCCTGGTGGTGGTGGTGGTGCTGAGCTTTGAACACAGAGCTCTGTGCATGCTAGGCATATACTCTATCACTGAGCTATACCACAGCCCCAACACATAAACTTAAAAAATTAAGCAAATTGGGAAAGTGGGGGGAATGGGCCACTAATGGGATTTTCAAGGGATTTGCAGACAATCATGGAACTCGGCAGAAAGCCAACATCGTAACAACCAAGGTCGACATGGGGGAAGCTCCCTTACCGTAAGCCACAGGTGTCAGCTTCAGAACCGTGTGTAGGGGACACTTGAGGTAGGGCAGCTGTTCTGCTGCCTTATCAAGGAAGTAGGCCAGAAGGCAGCGCATCACCGCCTGGTGGCAGATGACCAACACGTTCTCCTGCCTCTCCAGTTCCATGATAACAGGCTCCAGCCGCTGGACCAAGTCCTCGTAGGACTAGAAAGGTAAGCAGGGAAGGTGTCCCTCAGGCAGGCTCCAGGGATAAGAATAGAGGCATCCTGGACAATGGTCACCTTCCCATCCTTGGAGCTGCTCATGTGGGAGGCTGTGGCTAGAACTCCTCCAGCTTGGCTCCTGAGGGCATGGGGTGGGCAGTTGTCCCTAAAGGACTGCCATAATAAGATGTCTGTCTTGAGGAGGAAGCGGGGCAGGGGAGAGAAGACCTGGGAAAAGGGCCACCTTCTCCTTGCAGGACCAGCTCATGGTAGAACTGAAGGGCTAAACCTTAGGCTCCCATCCCCAGGGGCCCCCTCATGCCCACCTGTGCTGAACCCTTCACTTGCTGGCAACTGTGACTGGTGGAAAAGATGCTGCATTCTTCTAGCCCACAGCAAATAGGGTAGAAAGGGCAGTAGGAAAGAGAGCAAAAGCCCCAGAACTTCCTGGAGTGTGGCCATCAGAAACACCTGAGATCCCAGGAACAACCCTAGCAGTCTGCCTGCCCTGTGCCCTCCCCCATTGCAGTGTAAACTTGGACCCCTGCTCATTGCTGGACCAACCCCTCAGCCTGGCATTTGAGACATTTTCACCAGAGAACTGGGCCTAAGCCCTGGAGGAGCTTCATTTGCACATAGCAAAGAGCCCTTCAAAATAAGGCCTAAACTAGTTGGAGCTGAATTTGCCCCATGCTTCAACTAGGAATACCAACACACTGATTTGTGCCAGCCCCTGGTAGTTCTTGGGAAATCCTAGATCAATTATTTTGGTAACTAATTTCCTAAGCAATTTTTTTTCTATACTCTCAAGTTTGAGCAGCCAGATGCTTTCTCTTTACTGCTATCTGAACTGGTTTTAAATCTGAACTCTGCCTCACAGCATGATGTGTGTGTGTGGGGGGTTATTCCTGTTACCATAGCTACACTATTCTTGAAGGCAGTACAGTATAGGGGCCTATATGAGTTTGGCTTCTGGGTGGGGATGCACCTCCATGTGGGGATGGCACATGTCGCTGTGAGAGAGGACAGTATCACCAGGTGACATGGGGAAGCATCCAAAGGAAGGGAAAAGGTCCTGGGTAGAACCATGAGTGGGCCTGATTCTCAGGCCTGGCACTGTGTCCCTGACTCCTTGGCCACTTAAGCACCTGGGAAGGGCTGACAACTCCCTGGGAAAGGAGCTGGCCTGGGAATGCAGGGGACCATGTGCCATCTCTATCTATAGGGGTCCTAGGAAAGCCAAACCCCACAGAAACAGCTCAGGCCCTGTCCTTCCGAATCTCCACTCCTGGGAAGGGGGAAACAAAGGTGGGGAGCAGGAATCCAGTGGCTCTCAGCACTGGGTGCCTGCCCTATACAGCTCTATCCTCCCACCACCCAAGGAAGGGGCAAAGGCCCAGGCCACAGAGCTGGAAAGGTGGAAGATGGAACCCAAACCCAGGCTGGCCTGCCTCAAGCGCAGGCAGACCCAGGCCCTTAGCCACAGGCAGTACTCCCAGGCAGGCAGCAGGCACTGAGATTAAGCCCCCAATCTTACCCACCTCTCCCTTGGGGTACCGGTATCTGTACTTGTCCTGGTCCCGCAGGGCAAATTCCAGTGGATAATGATCCTGAATCTCTTCATAGGTCATTTCCTCACAGACACCCTAGGGAGACACCACAGTCATCACACATCCCATGCCAGGCCTGGAAGACCAGCATGGGGGAAGGAGGCAGAGAAGACCAGTTTATGGAGCTGAGAATGTCTGGGAAAAGCAGGCCCTCTTGGGACATTATGCATACTGGCAACCTCCTATTTATACGAAGCTTTCAGAACAGTACTTGTCCACCAATCCATCATCCATTCATCCAGTTTATGATGCCATAGAAATAAGCAAATGTTAGCAATGAGTTTTCTTTGTGGGGGGGCTGGGAGGACATGGAGGGGTTGTTATGAGTCCAGGCTTGCCTGGAACTTGAGATCCCCCTGCTTCAGCCTCCTGAATACTGGGATTACAGGCATGTACCACCATGCCCAGCCTGTGTGTCTTTTCTTATGTGTCTCTACTATGCTGTGGAAACACAGTATCTGAGTATAGGTTGTTGTGCAAACTATAAAGCAAAACTTCACTTGTGTTATTTGGGACACACATAGACTACCTTATATAAATGTAAAAAATAAAACAAAACAAAGGTGCCCAGACAGCAAAGAAGAAAACTGGCTAAAAACACTTAGGTATCATTAAAGGAACCAGACTGAGTCCACATCACAAACAGCATTATGGAACACTTCCCCAGGACACTGTGAAGAGTTGACACTCCTCTTCCCAGGAGTCCAGGAATGTCTGAAGACAATATCTATCCTTTGCAAGTTCAAGCTAGGAGCAGCAGAAAAGACACCCAGGGAGAGAGAAAAGCAATAAAACTCCCTAATAAAAAACTGATTATCTCTGCCTTAGTTTTGGAATTTTTTCTCCAAAGGGTGAGGGCAAAGTTAATCTATTAGAAAAAGAGGCTGTGTATGGTGGCTCATGCCTATAATCCCAGCTACTTGGGAGGCAGAGATAGGATCGCACATCAAGATCAGCTCAGGCAAAACAGTTAGCAAGACCATCTCAACAAACAAGCCATGTGTGGTGGTAAATGTCTATAATCCCAATTACATGGGAAGCATAGTTAGGAGGATCACAGCGCCAGGCCAGCTAGGCAAAAAACGTGAGACTCTATCTAAGAAATAGCTAAAGTAAAAAAGGGCTGGGGACACAGCTCAAGTGGTAGAATGTTTGCCTAGCAAGTACAAGGCCCTGAGTTCAATTCAATGCATCACCAAAAAAAAGAAAAAAGATAAAAATGTGAATTACAGTTATAAATGCTTATATCAAAAAAGAATGCAAAGTCTCAGGAAGCAGAGATAAAAACAGAAACAAAAAAACCCTTCACAAAAGAGGGCTGGTGGAGTGGCTCAAGTTGTAGGCCCTGAGTTCAAACCCTCAAACCCGGCACTGCAAAAAAAAAAAAAAAAAAAAAGGCAGGTGCCAGTGGCTCACACCTGTAATCTTAGCTACTTAGGAGGCTGAGGTCTGAGGCCAACCCAGGCAAATAGTTTGAGAGACCCAATCTCCAAAATACACAGAGCAAATGGATTGGAGGTGTGGCTCAAGCGGTAGAGGCCCTGAGTTCAAACCCTGTTCCACCAAAAAAAAAAAAAATTGCATCTGTACTGAACATGGGGACACAGCTCAATGGTACAGCACTTGCCTTGCAAGCACAAGACCCTGAGTTCAAACCCCAGTACCACCAAAAAATAAAAGAGGCTCTCAGTTTGATTGCCAGCACCACTGAGGGAAAATTGCACAGAACATGTACAGACTTTTTTCCTTGTCATTATTCCCTGAATGGTATAGTATAACAACTATTTGTATAGCACTTACATTGTGGTTGGTGTTATAAGCAGCAAGATAGGATTTAAAGCAGACAGAGGATGTGCAAGCACTACACATTGGTGTAAAATAGACTTGAGCATCAACAGATTTTGGTATTCACCATATAGCCAATCCCCCATGGATACTGAGGGATGACTAGACAAACAAATTAGGCAGCTTAGATGATACACAAAATGCCTGTTGTGGATTGAATTGCATTCCCAAAAAAGATATGTTAAAATCCTAACCCCTGGCACCTATGAATGCCACCTTATTTGAAATAGGGTTTTTTTTTTTTTTTTGAGACACAGTCTTACTATGTAACTCAGATGGGCCTAGAACTTGGGATCTCCCTGCCTCAGCCTCCCAATTACTGGGATTACAGACATGTACCACCACGCCTGGCTATAAATAAGGTCTTTTCAGTTATAATCAAGTTAAGGGCATATTGGATCATGTAGGCCAGTGTTCTGTTGAAAAGGTATAGACAGTACTCATGAGGCAGAGGCAGGAGGATCCCAAGTTCCAAGCTAGCCCCAGAAAAATACAAACAGAAGGATGGGGGCATGGCTCAAGCAATAAGGAGCTTGCCTAGCATGTGTTCAAGGTCCTGGGTTCAACCCCAGTACCACACACACACACAGAGGCATAGACAGGCTATTCCAGTAGCACTTGGAGTGCAGTTTGAGGCCAGCCTGGGTTGCAAAGTGAGACTGTCTCCAAAGGGGGAAAAAAAGAACCATAGACCTACAGGGACGAAGGCCATGTGACAATGGAGGTAGGGACTGGCTGATGCACTACAAGCCAAGGAATGCCAAGGATTGCTGGGAACAATCAAAAACTAGGAAGAGGCAAGGAAGATTCTTCACTAGAGCCCTCAGAGGGAGAGGACTTGGCTGATGACTTGATTTCATACTTTTAGGCTCTAGAACTGGGGCAGAATAAGCTTTTGTTTTAAGTCACCCATTTTATGTTATTTCATTATAGCAGCCCTAGGAAACATATATTTTAGTATCAGGAAGTGAAACGTTGCTGTAATAAGTAACTAAAATGTGGAAGTGGTTAAAGAACTGGGTAGTAGGTGGAAGCTGGAAGATTTTTGAAGTGAATAACAAAAACTTAGAATGCCTTGACGAGCCTGCTGATAGAAGTATTGACATTAACTGGGCATGGTGGCCCACACCTGTAATCCTGGCACTTAGAAAGAAGATGATAAAGAGAGCTTGTTGTCTTAAAGAATACAGGTATCAAGCTGGGCACTGGTGGCTCACGCTTATAATCCTAGCTACTCAGGAGGCAGAGATCAGGAGGATGGCAGTTGGAAGTCAGCCTAGGCATACAGGCTATCTCGAAAAAATCCTTCATAAAAAAGGGCTGGTAGAGTAGCTCAAGGTATAGGCCATGAGTTCAAACCCCGGTACCGCAAAAAAACCAAACCAATATGGGTATCACCATGAGTAGGATGTTGATAGAAAAGTGAATGTTAAAGGCGAGGCCTCAGAAGGAAGACAGTGCAGGTTACAGAAACTAGAGAAAAGGGGATCTTTGCTATAAAGTGGCAGAGAACTTAGGCCAATTGTGTCCCAGTGTTGGGTGACTACAAACAAAGAGACAGGCAATAACAAGTGCTAGGAAAGATGTAGAGAAATCAGAACCCTCATGCACTGCTGGTGGGAAGGCAGAATGGCCAAGCCGCTTTAAAAAACAATCTGGCAGTTTCTCAAAAGGATAAACATAGCTACAATGTGAGCCAGAAATTCTACTCTGATGTATAGGATAAAGAGAATCCTATAGGATAAAGTGAAATCCTAGCCACTCAGGAGGCAGAGATCAGGAGGATCGCAGTTCAAATCCAGCCTGGGCAAATAATTCAAGAGACCCTATCTCAAAAAACCCATCACAAAAAATGACTGGTATAGTGGCTCAAGGTATAGGCCCTGAGTTCAAGGACCACAAAAAAATATATATATATATATCCACACAGACACTTGTACATCAATGTTCATACCTGCTTTATTTGTAATAGCTCCAAGTGGACAACACCCAAATGCTCATCAATTTTTTTTTTGGCAGTACTGAGGTTTGAATTCAGAGCCTCACACTTGCTAGGCAGGCACTCTACCACTTGAACCACTCCACCAGCCCACTCATCACTTGTTAATAGATAATATATGGCATAATCATACAATGGAACATTATTCAGCCATAAAAAAGAGTGAAGTTAAAAAAATAATAAAATACTGATACATGCTACAACATGATGAACTTCAAAAACATTTTGCCAAGTGAAAGAAGTCAGACACAAAAGACCATTTACTGTGTGAAATATCCAGAATAAGCAAATTTATAGAGAAAGAAAACAGGTTCGTAACAGACTAGGGAGAAGGGTGGGGGTTTGGGAGGAATGGAAGTGGCTGCTTTTGGATCCAAGATTTCTTTCTGAGGTGGTGAAATGTTCTAAACTCAGGGTTTGGACTCATTTGCAAAGCAGGCATTCTACCACTTGAGTCACACCTCCAGTCCATTTTGCTGTGGTTATTTTGGAAATTGGGTCTTGTGAACTATTTGCCTGGGCTGGCCTTGAACCACAATCCTCCTGGTTTCAGCCTCCCAAGTAGCTAGGATTGCAGGCATGAGCCACCAACTAAAGCTGTTATTTTTAAAAAGGGGATATAAAGCTGTAATTATGGAAATGACTAAGGAAAAAAATTACAATGTTGCAACAGAAGCCAAGCCCAAGGTTGTTTATCAGAACAGAGGAAAAGAACAAAGATAAATAAACATGGAACGATGATTAATAGAGCATAGAAATTATAGTAGTTTCAAAACTTGAAAAATCCATAGCATGTAGGAAAATAATTAGATAACCTTCAAAGGAAAAAAAAAAAAAACAAAAAAACAGGTGGCCTCACCAAATCAAATGCTAAGAAGCATCCATGTATGAGGGAGGAAGACACAGTCTGTAACTGGCCTCAGAAAGTTGCTATTTAGGCCAGGGGCTGGTGGCTCATGCCTGTAATCCTAGCTACTCAGGAGACAGAGATCAGGAGGATTGTAGTTCGAAGCCAGCCTGGGCAAATAGTTTTGTGAGATTCTATCTCAAAAAAACCCTTTGCAAAAAAAGAGCTGGTGGAGTGGCTCAAGGTATAGGCCCTGAATTCAAGCCCCAGCACTGCAAAAAAAAAAAAAAAAAAAGAGTTGCTGTTTGGGTGAAAAAAAGAAAATTAGCTGCCAAAAGTCTTAAC